ATATATATATATATATATATGGTATGATAATATGATGATACAGTAGGAAAGGTAAATAATACAGTAGGAATGTGCCTTGAAAGCGACACGTGGTAAACCACTTAGTCGAATACTGGAACTGAGCAGGTTTGGACGGAGGGCAAGAGCGATTAGTTCTTTCTTCGAAGACTTTTTTCATCTTCGGATTTCGGTGATTTTTTGAGTCACGCCTTTGGTTTGGGAGTCCAGAAAGACTGAAAGGAGAGCCCATATTCCGAGTTAACCTTTTCCCATCTCCGCCCAAATCGTGCATTTTTGGATTTATTTTCCTTGGAGTTCCCATGATTTTCACCCGTGCAGATTACAGTACAAATCCTACACAAAATAAGACTGAAATTACCAAAAAAGTTATGAACAATTTCTTCATAAACATCTTTTCTGTTCATTCATTTCTCTCCTTGTAACATCCAAACAAGAAAATATAGAACACTCCAAACTCAAATACAAACTAGTATCACCACCCCAACCATCATATTTACCAACATAGTAAAAGAATCATGTCACCACCACCATGATGATGGATGATGATAATTCTTCTTTTTCTGATAGTAGACTACTAGCTAGTGATGACAATGGTTCACAGTATGGTACTAGCGATGCAGACCTATCTGACAACAGCAGTGTTTGAGTGGTGAACCTAATGGTTCTCTTGGAAGTCTTTCTGATGCCCCTTACTACTACCATGGGATGCGTCACACAAACAGGTAGAAGTACTACGGTACTTTGTTTTTCCTGCGTACATAAAATATTCACAAAAATATTATTTCTACTTCATCCATTCCTCTGGTTGGTTTCAAATTCCTCTTCCCTGATGCCAACTCTTTGCCACCCAGCGACAATTTCTATACTTCTATCAACAAATTTATTTCACAGGAGTGAAGCAATTCTATCTAATTGGAAGAGATGAAATTCTAAATGTTTTGTGCTGCTATTGTCACTATTTTTGTATCCAATACGTTCTGTTATTGTTAGTACTGTAGTATGTACATGGACTTTAGTTTGGTATTCATACTGCTCGTATCTTTGACTTCAGTTCAATTAAGATCTCCTCATTGTCCTCCCAATATTTTTTCTGATCAAAATTTTTCTTCATTTTGCGCAACTTTCTTTTTTTATCAATTCTATCCTCCCTACTGTCTCTGTTTTCTCTTTTTTGTATGCTGCCCTTAGTGCTTGTTCAATCTCCGCTGAAGCATCTTCCTCTCTACGCTTCTTTACCTCTTCTACAAATTTTCCAAACAGCATGCATCCCTCGTAGCTCCAGCCTTCTTTGTTTCCTATCCTACTATTGGTGAATTGTTTTCTTTACACTCCCAGAATTATTCCATGATTTGTAGTCATTGTGCAAAAACAGCAGTGCAAAGGCTTTGTCTGTCGCAGTAAAAATGGAGCTCAGTTTATCCTTGTGTCGCATTTGTTTGAATTCTGTTTGTTTAGGGGACACTGCCCCTAAAAGCCTTGTTACAAAGTACTTGAATTCTGGACTATTTTCTCATCTGTAGCTACTTCTGAGCATGTACATCTCTCCTCCATCTCCTTCTACTACTATGAAGCAATTGCCACTGAACGTGTCTGGTACTACTTCCTTCTTTTTGTCTTCTGTACTTAGCAAGCAGAGATCGATGATTATGAGTCACAAAGTCTCTCAATTGTGTCTGATGTTGTGCATGCACTTGCATTGGTTTTGCTTATGCTTGTCTGCATGCAGTCATAGTACTGTTGATAGTCCCTCCCCACCTTGCCGCAGTGACAACCAAGCTATCTGGAACTGGGTTCGTACCAAACGTAGTTTTGAGGTTGACCGCTATTAGTATGATGGCATCTAAAACTTCATCTTCAACGGGAAACTTTGAGTACTTGAAAAATCTCTCCTTAATATACGTCACCAGATTATTCTTCATGACTGTCTCATGCTGGTTTTTATGTTTTTGTATTTGTCCAATCACTGCGTCTTCTTGATGCCCATCTTCATTGTTTGTCTCCTCAACCATCTTATGCTCCATTTTACTCGGTATGATAGATTTATCAGCTCCTATAGCTTGAACAGTGGCAAAAAGATGGGTTTTGATCAGCATTTCTCTGTTGTATTGAATGTTGCCATTAGAACAACAATATGTTTACCTCTCATGATCCAACAACTTACCTCTTTAGTAATATCTACCTATGATGAATGTGTGATAATGTGTCTGATGTAGTAAGTCTTCCGTTATCTACAACTTTATGGCAAATTTTTCCTTTGATGTTTATTTTGTTTTCTGACTTTACGCCAGGAAATCTTGGGTGCTTGTTGTTGCCCACCACATATATTCCCTGGCCTTGGTGTGAATTCTGGCGCGGCTCCTGTAAGATTTCCTATGACTTGGTACATCCGATATGTCAATATGAATTTAATTTAGACGCACATAATCTCGTGATCTGTTGGATGATCCCCGTCTACAAATTTTCATGTTTAATAACCATGTTTAGCATATCAGTTTTGGACCAATCATACCCATCTATCTACTATTGATACCAATGAATCATACATATCTTCCATTCCTTCAAAAACTTGTCACATGCTAGGCTAGTGACAATTATGTAGCAGGAGTATACCACTCTATCAAGCAACCAGAAGAAAATACGAAGGTACCATCTGATACCCATCTGTATTCTTCATATAGCTTGGTCACAATTTTCATTGTAGTGTAGAAGTTGTCCATGAACAGCCGACGGCCATTATGTTGTCCAAAATTGGATTGACGTACCAACCGCTGAATAATATCCCATGTAGACCCATTACTAATACCATTGTAGATCTCAAATGCAATTAAGTACCCAGTGTCAGCATCACACACACAGTACACCTTAATACTATGCTTGATTGGCTTCTTGGGAAGATACTGGACAAATCAAATGGATCGACTAAATGTAGAACACGCTCTCGTTTGTTGGGATTGGTACATCCTCACAGAGCATGAGCATCTTTGTCTTCTTTACCCTTCTATTACTAGCATCAGTAGCATCAGTAGCTTCGTCATTTTCTGTCACCCAATCTTCAAATGCATAGTGGTTGGACTCATTTGCTATCATCTGAAGGATTTTTTCATCAAACAAGGACAAGAACAAATGCGCCAATCCCTCCACCTTATTAGTGCAGCCATCCAATGAATTGCTTACAGCCCGGGTGGGACCTGGGGTCGCACCTCCTCCAGGTGATGTATACTGGACATTGGGAAGAGGATACCATTCCTCTGCATCATCACCCAGCTTCCAAGGTTCATTTGGTATGACTGTCAATTCCTCCTCCTGCCTCAATTGGTTCAGCTCCTTCACTGACCAGATACTCTCAATTGTCAAAATCAAAATTGATTGCTTCATATCCTTCTTCTTGTACTTTGAAAAGTCATCACAGGCTATAACTTTTGCCTGGGCTTTACAATCTTCCAAAGAATTATGTGCATTTGTAAGCTCTTTACCTGTGACACATTTATACAGTAGAGAGATGTAGATTTCCAAAGAATTATGTGCATTTGTAAGCTCTTCACCTGTGATAGTATGTTTATAGGCACTAGTAGAGGAGAGAAGTAGATCTGCTGGAAGCTTGGACTTGGATGGATTCAAGGGACACCCAGCATACTTTTTGATGATCAGATATGGGTCCATKGTCATCTTGGGAGGGGCTCCTACTGTGAGGGTGCAGGCCACCACCTCTGTTGCCAGATAGGTCTGCATCACTAGTAGTACCACTACTACTAGTAGTAGTATTATGAGGACCATACTACTACTAGTATGAACAATTGTCAACCATCAGAGAAAGAATCATTATCGTCCATCTTGATGATATGATTAATTTATTATGATGGTTTGGGTGATATTTTATATTCCGGTTTGGAGTGCTTTCTATTTTCTTGGTTGGATATTACGAGGAGAGAAATGAATGAGCAGAAAAGGTGTTTTATTTCAACTTATTTTGTGTAGGATTTGTATTTTGTGTAGGATTTGTACTGCAGTCTACACAGGTGAAAATCATGGAAACTAAAAAAAAATTCCAAAAAATGCACGATTTGGGCGGAGACGGGAAAAAGTTAAACTTTTTAATTCGTCAATTATTACTTCCTGTGACGGGTAACTAGCAACAACAAAACCGTGCAAAACGAAACACGGAAAGCTCCATTATTGACGGTGCACATGGGGTTGAGTTACAATAGATACCGCTACCGGAGATTGATATACATCTTTCTCGTTTCGCATCTACTTTCATCGGGAAGATAACTGAATGTTGAAAGAGGGGTTCGTAGAGCTTGAGCGAATTTCAATCAATTTCAATCAACATAAACATATTTCGATCAATCTGTCGTCTACCCTTATTTTATTGAGTAACGAAAACAGTAAGGTAAAATACTAGGGCTACTTCGTCCCATCCCTATTGAGCAAAGCCAGCAACGGACGGCCAACGCGAGACTGCACAGGAGAGACTGTCGCAACCATCCATCGTTTGGTTCCGGATGTGGGAACAGAAAGTCTTAATAGGACATAAAACAATTTTTCTACCCCATTTAAAGCTACAGCATTTGAAACGTCTTAAAACAAAACGCAGTGCTTGTAACAGCACCGACCGCTCAGAGACATTGTATTATGGATTCCATAGGTGCCACCGCCATGGTAGACGAGGACAACGAATATCCGAACGGTGATACCCTTTCCACCGACGAAGAACCCCAAACCGATATCGAAACCGGAGCATCGCTTTTGCCACAACCTCAAACTCTGGATACGGGAGGCACGGATGAAGGCATTGCCAGAGTCATCCATCCCGATGGCAACGAGGAAAATGGCGGCGGCGACGAACCCAGCGAAGACGGAGACGAAATCACCACTCTCCCCGTTGTGAAGGATATTGAATCGAAACAGGCTCGTCGTGCATACAACCAGTATCTTGTGACCAAGCTAATGGCCGTTGGGAGCGTTGGCGGGGGCATCACCACGCAACCAGAAATAAATACTCCAAGCAAGGGCTCCAAAACCGCATCGATCATTTCCACCATTCAACAAACCAGACAGCAATATATCAATAATTTTGGAAACACGGGTGTCAAAAAGACGTCATTCAGTGTCGGTGATAAGGTACTCGTAAATAGGCAAATCATGAACATTGCCAACAATGTCACGGTGCCCCGGTGGAAGAAACGACACATGGTAAACAAATCCGGATTTCCAGAAACGCAGGGCCGGACCCCACAAGAGAAAACCGGACCCTTTATTTACGTGGCCTGCGAGGTGAAGACTGTTCCTTCCGACGAGAACGAGCCTTATTTCACTGTCGAGCGATACGATACGGGCCAGAGGCAGCGCGTCCAGATCGACTGGGGCATGATCCTCCTTGAGGATCCTTTGGCCATTAAGGCAGCGATTTCTGCCGCCCGAATGACCGAGGCCGGTCTGGGCGTTTCCTCGCTAAGTAGGGAGAGCACCCACGAGAATGTTTCCTGCACGGACCGGATGATCTTCTACTACAGGGGCACGGTGGTTCCATTGTGCAGGCGGACCAAGAGAGCCGGTAAGGCTTGTCTCGTGAATCTCCTCCATGGGAATGATCCCTTTTCATGTAAAATCCGGTTCACGGGGATCAATTTGTTGGTCATGTGCAGCACTGTGTTTTTGTTTCTGGAGGTCGCACAGCTGGCCTTCCTACCGGCTGACACGGACGATATATGTGCGGCCATTGGGACGTAAGTTTGTGCAATCTTGAAAAACAAATTGGATGATTCTGTGCATCGAAACTAATCCTTCGTTTTTCTTTTGTTGGATGCAACAGAGCAATCTGGGTCGTCCTGGTGCTGGAACTGGTTTTCGAGGTTCTCATAAGGCCAAAAGATTATAAGCAGCTCATTGAGTCGGACAAAGCCTTTCGACCCTCCACAGCGCGATACATTCACAAATTTTACATCGTGGGGGAAGCCATTGCCCTTGTAACGTACATCCCCGAAATCTTTTGCCTTAATTATACGACGGATGTGTGCGGGGTTATTTTTCCAGATGGGCGCTTCGCGCTACCGGAAGCTTCCGCAGACGCCGTGCTGGGGCCCACTCGCAGGGATTCGATTGTAGGGAGGCTTGTTATGGGATTGATGGGCTTTCGGTTCTTTGGTGTAATCCGACACTGGAAACAGATGCTAATCAACCAAACGTTCCAGCCCGCAGAGCGACAGGGAATCGAAAAGTGGATTATACCATACGATCCAAGCAACAGGAGGATGAGGATGAGGCGGAGGAAGATGGACAAAAAGGAAGATGTAAGTTGTTGTCGGCCAATTCGTTTCTTTTGGGACTAGCGATATGATTTTTTATTACCCCAAAAAAATGGTTTGTGAAACTTATTTCTCTCTCATGACTTTCTCTCACATAATGACAAACACACGACTCGCCCGGCGACACCACACATTGTGCATTCAGGACGACGAAACTGTTGACAGTGAATTCGATGACGACGATTTGGACTCCGACAAATACCACGAAAATCAAAGGCTAAAAAGTGCAGCAAATATTGGAACGGCTCTGATATCGGTCAACTGTCAGCGGGTGTTGATTCTGATGATATTATCGGTGCTCGTCCTCCCGCTATTTTATTCTATTTCTCACCAAAATAATGTGTCGGACAATATGGCAAAGCTGTTACAATCACAAAATCTCGTGTCCACGGATGGTATCCGACGATGCGACTATTTGGAAACAGCCATTGATTCCTGGCTGAACATGGCAATTGTGAATCAACCGAACATACCCGATCAAGAAACCACGTATATCTTATGGGCACAAGTTCTGCCGGTTCGGTGTCCCTTCCAGAATGAGAACGGTGTCATAACGTCTTGCACCAAAAATGGAATGAAGTATCGAGAGCAATATCCGGAAAGTTGCAAAATATGGGACAACTCAAATCCACCTCAACTCATTCACGGCAATGATCAAGCCGTTCGGAATTATTTTGCCAAGAAGCTAAATATACGTGGGAATGGAATTTATGTGAGGTCGAGACCTGAAAAAGCAGATGCATTTCAGTTCGACGCTCTTAACGATTTCAACATCACCGTCGTTTTCAATCAAAATCCAACGATCAAACGTGCCAATATATTTCAGTTCTTCCTGTTGTTGATAACTTTCTTTCTCGGTCTTGCGTTCTTGGTTATTGTACAGAATGGTGTAAACTATCTCGCGTTGGAACCTATACAGCGCATGCTGAGAATTGTGTTGCGCTATGCCGAGGATCCCCTTTGGATCGACGTTAGGAAAAGGAAAAAGGACAACGACTTGGACGACATTGGTAGTTTCGAAACCGAGCATCTCCTTGACGCGATTACGAAGATTTCGGATTTACTGCGAAAGTGCTGGGGGGTGGCTGGTGCCGGGATTATTTCCTCGAATCTTGGTCGAGAGAAGTACGGACAGGTGGCCATCTTCAATCCAACCGTTCCAGGGAAACAAGTTTACGCCCTGTTCGGCTTTGTGACCATCTGTGGATACAGCGACCTGCTGAAAAATCTAGATAGCGACGTGATGATTCTCATCAACGACGTTGCAAAGGTGGTTCACGACGAGGTGTATCGCTGGGCACTGGGCGAACACGGCCAGTGCAACAAAAACCTTGGTCCTTGCTTTTTGATGGTTTGGCGTATCGGCGACTTTAACGAGGTCCAGAAAAAGAACAAAGAAGCCATCGAGAAGTTGTTTCGCGACAAGGTCTACAACACCAATAGGAACTACCCCAGCCTGAGGCGACGAAACCGGTCCGTGCATACGAGTCGCAGGAGGTCCACCCGGGCGACGACTCGTTCGGATTCTACGACTGTCGGCAGCCAGGAAATCCAGCTGGAATCGCTGCCGGGCATACAGGGGTTTACGGACCGGGCGCTGCTGGGGATGCTAAAATCCTTTGCCGGCATCCACCGCGACCGAAGCCTGAAGGAGTGGAAGAAGGATTTCCGCCTGAGCTCTAGCGTTGCGGCCTGTGAGGGGTACACCGTAGACGTTGTTTACGGGATGGACGCCGGCTGGGCCGTCGAGGGCGCGGTGGGGAGCGAATACAAGATCGATGCTACCTACTTGTCCCCCCACGTGAACATGGCGTCCCGGATGATGGGTGCCGCGAAGCAGTACGGCGTCACGATCCTCCTCAGCAAGGCGGTCGAGAAGCTCCTGTCGGGCGCCTGCCGCAAGAAACTCCGCCACCTCGATTGCGTGTACGTCAAGGGAAGCGCGGTGAAGCAGGACATCTACACCTACGACGCTCGCCACCAGGGGGTGGATTTCTTCCTGCTGGAGCGTGCCCCCGAGCAGGCGGACCGGGAATCGGAGGCCTACAACCAGAGCATCTGGGACCGAGACCCCGACGTTCGGGCCATGCGGCAGCACGTCTCGGACGAATTCCTGGAAGCCTACCACGCCGGCGTGGACCAGTACCTGTCGGGCCGCTGGAGCGAGGCCTCCGAGTCCTTCCGCAGGGCCGACACCATCATGATCCGGACGGTCGTGGAGGAGGGCTACATCGAGCTGGACATGGAGGACCTGGAGGACCGGATCTTCGACGAGAACGACCTCGGGGAGGACATTGTGGCGATCCGGCGCGAGTTTGGCGACGGCGCCTGCCGAACGCTCTCGACCTACATCGACCGGCGCAACGGGACGCCCCCGGACGACTGGGACGGGGTCCGCCAGCTCTTTAGCAAATAAGGAGGCGGTGCCACGGTCACCCACCGGTCGGTCGCCTTTGGTGGGAAAGCAACAGCCCTTCTGCTGCGGAGCAGAGCGAATCCTTCCGGTGATAGGGTGGATAGGTACAGTGCTTCTACTAAATACTTCTACTCTTGTTCTTTTTCTTTTCGTATCCAAGAAGATACCGCACGTACTGTAGTACGTACTCGTACCGATCCATACCAAAGCATGCCCAATTCTGTTTTGGCGCGCAGGTTCGAGGATCCGACTAGAGGAACGATTTCTGGATTCATACCGCCTTCATACCATCGGCATTGCCCACGAAACAATCCATGAAGGGCCTATTCTCTAGCTAGTGGCCTTGGGCCTGTCGGAAGGGCCCTTCCTTTGTTTGTTGGTTGCATACGGTACGTACCTTTCGGTTCGTACGTAGGGTATGTTCCGAGTTAGAAGGTACTTCGGGTACGAGTTACCCGTACGACTTGCGGCGGCGTATCATTCCAAATTCCAAAACATGGAACAAAAGTAAGTACTCCTACGTACGATGCATACGATACAATATGTTTCAGCGCCGCTAAGAGCAAAGAACTTCTTAGAGAGCGCCTCACACTTGTTCTCTCCGATCTGTTGCAACTTCCAGACCCAGCACACGCCATTGCGGTGGTATGAGATTCTCTACAAACTGCTAGTACAAAATACTAGTAGGCAAAAAGCATTGTGAGGCTACGTATTCGAAACGATAAAAATACTGGAAGCGAACAAATACTGTAAGAACAATAATAAAAATAATACCGCACGGCACATCGTCGATCATTCTTTTACCCGCAACTGCTACAGCTTTCATAGAAAAGAAATCGCAGTCAACGGAGGTGGAGATGGAGATTACCACGACAAGGAGCATCGAAGCATTTTGAAGCAACTACATCCACCACGAGGCTTGCACAGAACAACCTTGCGAAACAGCGACCAACGAATAGCAACAGCAACAGCAACAGCAGGCAGCATCAGCAGAAGAAATAGCAGCAACCCAACGATGCCCACCCCCTCGAACAACGGCAACGGCGGCCGCGGCGGCGAAGAACCCGGCCGCGATTCTCCACCGGAGACGTCCTGGTTCGACTCCCTCTTCGGGGGGACGGACGTCCGGGACGAGATCCACGAGCAGCTGAACCGGTTCGACGAGCGAAAGAAGCGGTACGAGGAGGAACGGAGGCGGATCTCGTCGTCCCCTTCGCTCTTTTCCCCCTTTTTCGTTTCTCCCGGGGAGCTCTTTGGTGCCCCCCCGCGGCGCGAAGGCGAACACGAAGGCCGGAGCGAGGATCGGTTCGAACCCGGAGCCGGAGTTGACATTCCGGGCCTTCCGCCCTCCCGCCGGAACCACGCCGAGATCGACGAGATCCACCGGGAGATGCAGAGCTTCTTCGAGGCGGCCTTTGCCGGCAGCGGCATCGTTTCCGACCACGAACCACCACCCAAGGACGGCAAGGGCGCCGGGCTCTGGGGAGGGAGCCACGGGAGGACCGCCGTGTCGTCGTCGTCGTCGTCCACCACCTTTGTTTCCAACGGGGCCTCGGTGCGGACGCAGCAGGATTCGCGCAGGGGGGCGCGGATCGACGTCGAGCTGCCGAAGCGGGACGCCCAAAAGGGCGGTGGCGTCGCGCTGGAGGTTCTGCGGGAGCGCCCCTGCGTCCTCCGGTGGAGGACCGGGGACGATCCCGGGGACGAGGAAGACGACGACGACGCCGGGCGGAAGGGCCCTTTGGCGCCGTGGGACCGGCGGGCCCGGGACCTCCCGAGGGTGGTCGAGCTCGGGGACGCCATCGACTGCTCCCGGATCTCGGCGTCCCTCTCGGAGGCCAGGAACGTGCTGACGGTAGAGGCTCCCGTCCGCCGGAAGACGGACCGGGAGGAACCCCCGGAACGCGCTGCGGCGGCGCGGTCCCCGCGGTCCGTTCCGGTGTCGAGGAGGGATTGATCGAGCCGGCGACCGCCGCTGTTTCTGCCATTGCCGCGGTCTGGAAGAGCGGCAATCCGAGTCTTTCATGGACCGGACGGGACCGGACTGCTCGCTCTAGAAAGCCGCACGCAGAATTTGTCGACGCCGATGCGTTGAACTGAATTGTGGTGCCAAGAATTCTTGCACAACACGTTCAAAGTGGTGTTCGTTTGGGTGGACATTTTACGAGCATGGCTCGCATCACATCGCATCGCATCGCAACTGGTGTGGCACTGCTCTCTTGGCGACAGTCCTTGCCACACCGGCATCCCACTAGAAGAAAGCCCTAGCAAAGGAATAATCTTGTCAAAAACCGATTCCGTATTGTTCGCACTCCGTCTCCGTGGCGTTGTTTAGGGGAGATGGCTTTGCATCACCGTGAGCTGCCAAGAACCGGTAGACCGTGTCGTCCGCTAGAAGCCGTAGCTAGTTAAGTAGCACTAGTACTGTAACATTTTTCATCATTATTGTCCTTATGGTTTTATTGTAAAGCCGTTGACCAAAAGCAAAGTGTCAACGCGATTATCATCGCAATCCTCTAATGATAAAGATACATATTTCTTGTGACGACACATTTCTAATTTCCAGTACGTACGTATGTTCTACGGTACTTGGTTCTTCTCATTTTACTGTATCAATCAATAGTTCTATAATCGTGGCGTCGAATGTCGAATGGTCCGCGCGTGTACGAGTGCGAAATGCTGATAGGCTCTTTGCGGCGTGTACGGTCTAAGGTAGAGTTTTTATGGTTACTATAGTACAGTATGAACATATGTTCTGGTGAGCATGGAAGGATCCATCGGTCTTCTTTTTGTATGAGACATCGTAGTGACCATTCATCGCTTCGAAATTCGAATTTGATGTCCACTAAAAAAATATTTAAAACTGTTAGTCAGCACTCGGCATCTAACATTATGGCCATCAGCCATCATGTCAGCCATCATCTGCGAACTTCATGGATCCACGTCTATTCACGAGAAGCCTTTCCGAATTCAAACTACGGTACGCTGGTTTTCTGCCGTTGCTGCCATTCAAACCCAAAACAACATTCTACAACAATTCTGTTCTGAAGGAGCTACAATCCTCTAGCTTCAATCCCCTAAAAGCAGAAAGCAACATCCTTCGTACATATACATAATCCAAATGACTTCGTCAAATAGCACGAATTGCCACACAGGGCCACTTCCTTTCCACAAGCTGATAGTTGCCGGAGTTTGTCTCTTTGTCTTGCTCCATTCCTCCGGTCTAGTGAACTCGTTCGGAATACACCACTATCCGCCGCCGCCAACATCATCACAACTATTGGATGGAAACTCTCTTAAATTATCTCAACAAAAACGAATATTGCAACGCAGGATAACACAGCGGAGGCGGCAGATCTGCTATATTAGCAATGACGATACCGATGAAACAGAAGACGACGAGTATGACTCGATGATGGACTACGACGATTCGGACGACGATTTTGACGTTGCCGCCTTGAACAAACTAACGATCCCCCAGCTCAAACAACAGCTGAGGCTCCGCGGAATGAAGATTTCTGGCAACAAGCAAGAATTAATCGACAGGCTTGCGGAGAAACAGACCGAAAGCGCCAATGAACGCGTCGCTTCCATGCTGGACGAGGAGGAAGGAGGAAAATCATCGCCCGGCACAAAAAGGAAAATCCCAGAAACGAAGGCGCAGAAATTTGCCAAGGAACAGGGGAAGGACTTTATCGACGTCGAGGCCTTCCTGGACGAGGAGGACAAGGGCAAGGACGTGAAGACGTCCCTGCCGACCGAAGAACAGAAACGAAGCAAAGAAGACGAAGAGAACGCCCCCCTGAGCAATMCGGAGGTCTGGGGATCCGATGCCAAAATCGTAGACGATTACGAGGGCCGATCCCCCGTCGTCGATGGCCTGAGTCGAACGATAGTGGAGTATACGGGGAGCAATCAAACCGACATCCAGGCCTACGTTGTGGCCAGCCGGGACGCCATGAAACCCTTTCTAGAGGGCGGGAAAAACAGAACCATCACCAACAGCGATCCCCTCAAGCGGCTCCGGGAGATCCAATCCAAGCGAGAGCGGGCCGAGCGAAGGCCCACCCGCATGGACGACGACCAGGGGCTGGACGAGGGAGACCCCGAAGGCATCTACAAAGATGCCATAAACCGGGACTTTTCCGACTGGGGGGAATTCACTGCAACGGGTGCCCAGCTTTCCGCTGAGGAGGTTCAGGGTGTCCTGATTCTGAGCGATGTCTACGGCCCCTTCACCGAGGCCACGAAAAACCTGGCCGAAAAGATTGCCTTCGAATGCCAACCGGTCGTTTGCATGGTCCCGGATCTGTTCCGCGGAAGGCCCTGGAGGGAGGACCTGACCACCCCCGGCTTCAACCAGGAGGGGCAGGACTACGAAACGTGGAGAGCGACACACGACGACCTTCGCATCAGCGTGGACATCCGTGCCTCGGCCGCGATTCTACGAGAGCAGTACGGGGTGAGCTCGCTCGTCGTATGGGGGACCTGCTTTGGCGGGGGACGCGCTCTCGAGATCGCCGCGGGGTACCTCCCGCGCGGTCAGATCCACGACGTCGACGGGACCATCGGCCCGGTGCCGGTGCGGCCAGAGGTGGTGGTGGCCTGGTATCCCACACGGTACAACGCCAACCTGCTGTTTGGGAAAGACCGGACGGAGCAGCTCAGGATCTGCGAGGAGCCCGGGCGAAACTTCGCGGTCATGGGGGTCTTTGCGGGAAAAGACACTCTGGAGGGAGCGACCCCCGGCGATGCCGAGAAACTCAAGTCGCTGCTGGGAGAGGATGACCGCATCAAGGACCACATGATCAAGGTGTTCCCGGACCAGGAACACGGCTTTGCCCACAACATCTACGGAAGGAACCAGGACGAAACCGAACTAGATCGGTTCGTCGACGAAGAATTCGGTGGTGCCGGTCGGGTCACGGTGAACGACGGAGATGCGGACGTTGCTTGCTTGTTGTCGACCGCGTTCATGGAAACCTACTCGAGAAAGTTCTTGCCGACCACCGGTTCCCCCGTAGCGGAGGACGAAGCAGAGTTCCAGTGGAACTCCGAGCTGAACATGAAGGATCTTTCCGTGGAAAATGTACGCGACGTGCGGACAGAAATCGACGATTCCTTACGGAACCACGAAGACCTTCCGCTCGGGGGGAAGTACATCGATCCGGGAGACGAAGAAGCACAGGACGAACTGTTCAAAGCACTGCAGGCAATGCAAGATCCCAATTCGGAGTCGGAATTCAAGATCAACGACGACGACAACCTAGAGACAGCCTACGCAAAACTCATTGCGAGCGATGAAGATTTTCAAATATTTTAATATTTTTAAGATGTTGTCTATTGTAGCTACGAAAGCCTGCTCTGCAAACGCTCATATTACTTTGGGTCTACCAAATGGTTTGATTCAATCTTTGCGTATTTTATTACTCAAAGATTTGAAAATGTTAGAAATAATTGGTAGTATTGAGGCGAGCACCCACTACTGTCACTAGCTGTAACGCAACGTATGGGCTGATAAAATCGTGGAGCTGCATCATTTCTTTTGGGTGTTTCGATGAAGGCAACAATGATTTCAAATAATTACTTTCTTCCTCAACACGTGCAAAGCATTGCTGGAACCATGCCATAGACTTATCGTCCTCGCTCTCGGTTTGCGTGGAGGGCCGGGTTGGGCTCTGTCTCGATTCTATCCAGTGCAACGCTCCGGTCACGGACAATGTCGGAATAATATTCATCAAGAACTTTAGCCGTTGACAAGCTCGTTGATCCGATAGCCAGTGGTCCATTTTTGACATTGCGGAGAAATGAGAATTTGAATCAAATCTACTCCTGTTCCAAACTATATTCTTTGCGATGCATGCCGCCAAGCATGCTCGCGAGGTCAGTTGAATACTCGTGGTTGTTCGCTCCGCAGAATATTCTGCGTCGCACAAGAAAGCGGTTTGAAGTCGCAAAATGTCTTGAGATGTGTCGGTATCGAGCTTCGTGTCGATGCAAAGGAAGATTGTAATGTGGCGATATCGTGAGGTAGAGACAAGCTCAACGATTTTTGGCAAAAAGTTTTGGAGAAGGCCATTTGGTCCAGACGTCTGAATCTGAGACAGCGTGGAAACCACAATCGCTCCCCGAAACGGCGTCTCTATATCTACGCCGCATGTGTCCATCAGGTAAGTGTCAGTGAAATGGATTGGCATGTTTTCCATAGATTGAATTCCATCGAAGATGCCTCGAGCTAATTCTGCAATCACTTCCCCGAAGTTTTCGAAAAATGTTTCCGAGCACAACACACGAACTGGCGAATTATTATTAGCTGCTACTTCAGTTATGTCGGAGTTGCTGATTCCCATTCGGTCATTAATATCACAACTTTCAGTGATATGTTCAATCTCTTCTGGTGAAACATAAAATGGATCGTTGGAAGCATCTCCTGTAATATCTTTGTCAGAATTGTCGCCGTTCAATCCCATCTGAGGGGTTCGAAATAGCTTACTGTTCTTGCCGGTTGCACCTTGCAGGTCGCTGAACTGTGTTTTTGTTCGAAGGGGACTAGTAAAATTGTTGTCCTTATATAGATTGGTACCATCGAGGACATGCTCGGGATTGCGTTGTCTAGCCGTAATCTGTTCGGGCGTGATATCTTCAAGCTTTTTTGGAGTTTCAAGTTCTTCGATTTCGATCTCGCTATCCTCTCTCTTGTTAGCTTTCATGAGGCCATTTTTCCCCAGCTTTTCGGAGCTCTTCTTAGCGACATCTTGGCGCATGTGTTTGTGCTGCGGTTTGCTATTTTTCTCTCCTTTATTCCGTCTTTTTTCTGCCCGCTTTTCTTTCCTTAGCATTTTCTTCTCCTCCTTTGTGCGTCTCCGCTTCTTTCTTCTCTTCTGTCTATTTTTGATTTCCGGATCACGACGAGAAGTTCTTTCCAAAGTTGGAGAGGAAGAATGGTGCTCCAATCTTCCTCGTTTGGAACTAGCAATGTTCTCATCTCTATCATCTTCTTCTTCATATTGATCCGAACAAACTGGAAATTCGAAGGGAGAAGTCTCGTCATCGTTGAAGTCGGATGGTGGAATCTCCATATCTTTGTTGCAGCGAGGGGTTTGACAATGTGCATTGGCGTTGTTATCAGCATCGTCGTTGATTCGGTCGTCGACGGCAGTATTGTGTTTAGGTGATGGCTTTCGTGCGATTGTGGTTTCATTCTTTGTTGCGCTGTAGTTGCCCCCAATATTGTTTTCTGCCACTAGACCGAATCGTTGCAACAATGTCAATTCTTTTTCTTTCGCCTTGACTGTGTGGTGATGCTCCTGTATGTTTGAGAGTTCTTCCTTTTCGTCACCATTACAAGCAATGCAACTGTTTTCCGTAGTACTATTATTGGTGAAGCCTTGATAGTGCTCCGAGGAACTTGTCCTGGGCCGCCTTTCCGTATATTTTTCTCCCATAACCAAAGGCTTCTCGTCGAGCAATCCTTCGATTGCGGCGTTGGGTTTGGAATTTTTCCCATTCCCTTGCTCGTAGTCATCGCTATCGATATATTCGACGTCATCGGAAAAATTCAATGCGACTGCAGGTTCTCGGGTTTTTTTTTCTTCTTCGTGACAATTTCTGTCGCCAAAGACTACATTTTCTTTCTGCCAATTTGGAGCGGATAGAAATAGAATGCTGTTATCGAACGGCCATTTCGTTGCTATTGTTGGTGCCACTGTCGCTGTCGGTGTTGTGATCTGCTCCTCCCATTTTCCCAATGGCGATGGAGATCGTTTCTCGTCGTTAATAGTACAGTCTGTTCTGTCAATTTGCTTCCACTGCACCATTGTGTTTTGCAGCTGCTGCTTGCATTCGCCTCTGCGTCCTCGGTTACCATTTGGCGAAAGTCGCAATGTAGTTTGTTCCCTTGCTGATATATTTTCTGACCCCGTCGATGCTGGAACTTTATGAATCAGAGGCGTCCGGTGACGTGTCCCTTCAGCTTCTGAAAAAGCTGCATGGGTATTTGGTGACTCTGACTCTTCCCTTCGATGCAAGGCATGCTTTTGTTGAAGCACTTGTTTTTGATAGGTGCAAATGGCTTGGACAGTCATCATTGCAGTCTTCCACAACTCCGGCGATGGATGTGGTGGTGATGGCAACAATGGCGATGATGAATTCATTTTTGTCACAAGTGGATTTTGTTCCCTTCGCGAATTGAGATACCTCCAGTTGCTACATAGGTTCCCTCCATCGCAATTATCCTCGCCCGGGACGGAAACACCATCTAGAGTCTCACTACCAGCAATAGTATTACGAAATGTAGTAACGACACCCAATTCTTGCTTCCAATCTTCCCATCGAGGACGCTTGGACCCAATCGTATATGCATGCGACCCGTTCTTCAAAGCGTTGTTGATATTTGGAGGCAATAAAATCGCTCCAGAATAGCGGCAGCTACTGCTGCTGCTGCCAGGCCGCGTCGAATGTCTTTCGCAGAAGGTATGTAAGCGACTTCTTATGGACAATTTCTTATCGAAAAGTTTCGTGTTTCTCTCGTAAGATGTCAATAGGATTGATCTATCGATGGTCCACTGCTGGATTCTTCGATAGAAGTTAAAGAAGGATTCGTTGGTCAAAGACTCATATTCCATGCTTCTGCGGCAGCGGTGGCGAGGATATAAGTAAGAACGGCGATTGTCATCATCATCACCAGCTGGATAGGATGCTATACGCCTTCGATTGGCCTGCCTTCGAATCGAAGACACCAAGCTTAGCAACCAAGGAGTGTTATAGAAAATTCTATAGTTTATCTTGTGCTGTACGGGGTGAGGGTAGTGGCTTTTCCCAATCGAAGTAGCGGCGGTGATGCTGGTGGCATACGTGTTCCCCGTACCAACCACATATGGTCGGTCTTCCTTTTGGTTGTTCTTGATCGACAAATTGTCGATATCGCTCGTCTATCATTAGAACAATGTAAAAAGAGAAAGATGAGTTGGATGAATCAATCAAAAAGGAAATACAACCGACGTTTCGATTAGATGGAGAGTTTGGCACGGGATATGAGGATTTTTTCAATTTCCGATCATATGAAACAAGCGCTTACCGCACAATCATCATTGTAATTTCGAATAGTGGGACAGAAGACTTTGCAATTGTCCCTGACATTCACCATTGTTGTATCGTCATCGTGTTCGTATTCGTTATGTTCGTAATCATTGTCATTGATTTTCTTCGGATAGTGGTTGGTATCCGTTTTGGTATCACTTACGGCGAGGCTGTCTTTATCGCTATCATTATTGACTTGAGTGGAGATCCAGAATGGCAACCTCAAAACCGCTTCTTTCTTGTTGTCATTTCTGTCTCGTTCTTGTTCGGGTTTGTGCCATCGTTGTTCCGGCTTCGGTTCCAGAGCCTCGTGGAATATTCGGATTACGCGTCGTTTTTTTCTCGGTCGACTTTGATGCGAAATAGATATCGATGAATCATCACATCGTTTATTTCCATCATTATCCCTTCGTCGTTCTTGTTTTCGTTGCTGCCGAAGCTGCCTTTCTTCTCGCAAGACCTCGATCGCCTCGGCCCGGTAATCAATTCGGAGTGAACGGAATCTCATTCTTCATACGTTAGGCTTCGTTGCGCTAGCTTTCTGTTCACTGTTAGCTATAAGTTGTAGTATCACTCTCCAACTATTCGCAGCTACGACATTAATTCTATTCTCAGTTGTCATTTCTCGCCTGCTTGTGAACGATTTCAAACTTAAAAATGGTGGTTTTGATGCCAAGAAAATCGAAAAAAAATTGAAGAGTTTCTCTCGAAAGATCACCTTCGTTTATGATTCGTGATAATTATTCGTGATTGAATTAATAATGGGACTGGATTCCATCAACGGTATCCAATCAAAACAACAGTCAATCAAGTCAAACAAAAAAAAATCACCGAGCAGAATTATCCTTTCCAAAACAAAATCATCAACGATCAACTCAATCATCGATCACATCACTGTTACTGCTTGCAATCTTATTAGTTTGCGCTGCCCACTAAGAAGTCGCATCATCGTCAGAAGCCACGCTGCGTATACGCTTCACAAAATTGAATACAATGGGCAGATGCTTCATCCAAATCGTTATGGGACCGGCCGGGTCCGGGAAATCGACCTACTGCCAAGCCATGCAATACCACGCGAGCACCCTGGGGGGAGCCCGGAAGCGAACGATTCACGTGGCAAATCTAGACCCCGCAGCTGAAGATTTTGGCTATCAACTCGCATTCGATATTCGCGATCTGATTTCCGTGGAGGAAGTGATGGAAGAACTGGACCTTGGACCCAATGGTGGTCTGGTCTACTGCATGGAATATTTGCTCAGCAACCTCGACTGGCTCCAGGACCACCTTGATTCCTTCGACGATGACGAGTACCTGATTCTGGATTGTCCCGGCCAGCTCGAATTGTACACACATATACCACTAATGAGGAACCTAATCGATCGGATGCGGATGTGGGGTTATGCCCATACCATGGCGGCCGTATTTTTGCTGGACGCCACCTTTGTAGGCGACACGTCCAAGTTTTTGTCGGGGTCGCTGCTGAGTTTGTCAGCAATGATCGCACTAGAACTCCCACATACAAACGTGTTGACCAAGTGTGACCTGCTTACCGACGAGGAGGTTGAAGATATACTGGACCACGGAAGCGCAACCCAGATGTGGGACCGAGAACAAGACCGACAGTCTCTGATCATGCCGACGCCCTTCAGCGTAACCGCAGCAAGCAGCAACCAGGGCGATGAGGTTACAGAAGAGCAGAGGAGGCTGGAACGCAGGCGACGGCACCGGCAGCGGTTGACGGATTCTATCAGCCAGTTGCTGGACGACTATTCCATGATCAGCTTCATCCCGCTGAACATCCGGGACGAAGAGAGCATCGACGCATTGCTGACGTGTGTAGATGGCAGCATTCAGTATGGGGAAGATTTAGAGGTTCGCGAATATGACGGTCCCGAGGCAAACGATGACACGTGAGCGCTACTTTAAGAAGGATGAAATTTTAGTTGACTGACCAAAGGCCAGTGTGGAATCAGTGGCAATTCTCACCACTGGTATGTTCCTTGGGTTGAGGGAAGTGCTGTGTAATTCTTTTCATCCGATCACCAAGAGGCAGGATGGAAACACCACGTTGGGAAAGGAAAAAGGAAAATTTTTCGATAGTAGTACTTAATTCTATTCGTCTCGGTAGTAGTAGACATTGGTTTTGTATTCTAGTAGTAGTTCCACTGATTGAGGAGACTAGTTTCACATGTAGATACTAGTGAATTAGTAATCCAGCCAAAATTACGTGCAAGGATGTTATCCAGCAATTGGAATCGCAAGGAAAGTGGCATTACTAATGAGGTCAGATTAGTAGTAATGTTTTCATTATGTTACCACTAGGGTTGGTTGAAATTGGAAAAAAATAGCTACTTGAATGTGAAATTGCTGGTGTTCATACATGATGGGATTGAGATGTTTTAAGCAACATCAGATCCACCATGGTGAAAGGCACATGTTTTGAAAATTAAATTTAGAGGGAAAGTTGTGGTAGCAAGCCTAAAATTTCAGTTCAAACTGGAATTGCCAATGACCAATAAATTGTATGGTTTACTAGTGATTCTTCCAAAACACCAGACCACCATTCTTTCAAAACCAAGTACAATTGTTATATGTCTTTTGCAGGCTAGCTACTACTAGCGGTAGTAAGAAGAAAGAAACTTTGTTTAATTGTTGCTTGATTGAGTTTTTAACTGGAAGTAGCTGTTTGATGGTGCTACTGCAGATTGTGCATGATTTATTCACCAAGGAAAAAAGGAAAAAATTAGAGCACATATCACTGAAGAATTTGTTAGTGCTACAAAATGCAGTATTCCCTTAAAAATATCACTGTGAGGAGTTGTTCCAATTGAAAACAATTCATAACATTTTATGTCAAATTTCAATCAGCAATGCACTATCCTCCTCAATGTGAACCCAATCCTAATAATTTCAATGAGTTGAAATCTAGGAGTAAATAAATGACACACAAACAATAATAATAAGGTGGTGGGTGTTGACAATTTTAGGGCAATGACAGACAATAAAAACACATAAGGAGTATGTACAACAATATTACTGGTGATGACTGCTAGTAATTATCAAGCAGGAGGAAAGAATAAGAGAAAGGGCATCAAGAAGGAAAACTACTACTACATGAAACAAATGGTAGCAGTATATAGAAATTGCCTAGTAGTACTAGTTAGAATGACCAGGAGTACTCAAATGCTGCACCAGATTTTTAGTGAGTAGTACTAGTGCTGCCTGCATGTTCCCTAGTACTGTCTACTATGAATTGAAAAAAGTGACAAGAAATAATTGTTACAGTGCGCAAAATTTTATTTCAATTTGACATTGAAGAATGCTGCTGTGCTGCTACCAAAGAAGTGTGATTGTGCTCCTTAATGTTTCTTGTTGGAAATTGTGAAAATTCATAGTACCAGATCTTGCCTTTTTGTGCTAAGAAGGAAGAACAACAAGCCAAGCATTATGGTAGTACTACTACTAGTTATATAATAATAATAATGGTATTCAAACTTTTATTCCATTCATCTTGTGCATCTTGATTTGTTGCTCCTAATCTTTATGTACTCCCTATGTTCTTCTTACTAATTTATATCACCAGAGCAAGAGAGTCACAGCATAGTAGGTTCATTTTTGAGGACCACAATTAGGAAATTATTTATATTGTAAGACCAAATTGTTGAGCAGCTAGTATTTGTATTACTAGTAGGGTTGTCTGAAAATATTGCATTATAGTTTAAAGGAACCTAATACTACTAACATTCTGTCCTTTCTTGTAGCTACTTATCCCTGACACTATTTTTTGTGTTTCCATGATCCATACCAGGAGACACAGAAGCTTAGTACTAGTCATATCATTTGCTTGGCTTTGTTAGCATATTGATAAATCTTTGTACTTATGGTTGTTTGACACCATACCAAATGATTTTTGTAAGCCTCTTGTTCACCTTGTTTCTTGCCTGAATATTGGTGCCACCAGCATCTTGCTCTACCCCTGTGCATTTTCAAGGTTTTAACTCTGTGCGAGTTGGTTGATTCATCACATCACATCACATCACATCACATCACATCACATCACATCACATCACATCACATCACATCACATCACATCACATCACATCACATCACATCACATCATCAATAAATATTTGTGCTCATCCTCATGATTGGAGGCAGGATCAAAATTATTCCAATTATTCCAATTATTCTAATCATTCTAATCATTCCAATCATTCCAATCTGCTGTGTCTGGTAGTACAGTACTAGTAAATAACAGCAATTATGATCTCCTCAAGGGCAAGATAAGTACTACTACTAGTAGTAGTACTAGAAGTAGTTTGTTGTTGTACCACATTTAAAATTTTATGTTACATGTGAGGTAGTACAAATCAGCCAGCACTAGTAGTACTAGCTACTAGTAGTAGTACTAGTGCTGGCACTAGTACCAGGGCCATACATGCACAGCATGTCTTTGTTTGATACAGCAACAAAAATAGAGTACTACTACTACTAATACTAGCAGTTTTCATGAACTCTTGGTCACTGGCTGGCAGTGTTGTAGGATGGAGGAGTTGTTTCTTCTTCAGAGACAATAGTAGTAATACTAGTATTACTTCAAAACAACAATCTTCTTTAATATAGGTTTTGGAAATAACAAAAGTCAATTCAAGGGAATAAATAATTACCAAAACCAGTAGTAGAAGTAAATTTCTAAGGTCGTCAGCTGGGCAGTGAAGTTGACAACAAGTTTGGGGGCAATGAAGGTAAACCCAGCAGCTGTATATATACAACCTTGTAGTTCTTTCCAGCACCAGATAACTGGTGGTGGTGGGATAAGGAAATAATTGAATTACTGCTATTACTACTACTGGAGGAAGTAGTACTAACAAATAATAATAAACATTCTTAGGAGAAATATTTACAAACTGAAAGAATAGGAGAGTAGTATTAGCGGGATTGGTGAAGTCAACAAGTACTACAGGTAGAGAGGAATTGTTGAGATACGTACCATCAAGAAAGAAGATGATGATGGCAGCACTTGCACTACTAGTACTAGGAGCTGTAGTACTGATATTCTAGTACTATCTGGTGTGTTCTTCGACAGTTCGTAGCAACAAACCACAAAGATGGATCACCTGCCGTCCAATCAAAATGATGGGTGCAACTTTTCGAATGGGATTGTGTCAGTCAGTCGTACGGATATTGGTGACATCTCCCTGACACCCGAAGAATGCTGTCCCCAAGAGCGAAGATCATGACAAATGGCAACAGACATGAATGAAGTACGTTCTTCTTCCTGAAATGACGAATGGCAAGAGCACTATGTAAATCGAAATTGGGAGAACACCACTCAATTTCGATTCTTAATCATTGTTGCAGCATGTTCGTTGTGAGTCATCGACGAATGGATAGTTTGTGAACTCGAATTTCGTACTTTGCACATCAGTACGTACTGACATACTTGGAATTTGCTGAGATTCCCATAACGAAACCCGTGGGGGGGGATCCGTGAAAATTCATTTGGTGACGCTCTCCCTAGTACGGACCACAGTACGGAAGCTACGTGCTGGACGATAGCGGCTGTGCGGTTGCCACCCAAATAATTCTTTTTCAATGCAATTTCATGGGTTTCGATGAGCGTGGATCGTCCTGTACTGAACCTCCTAACGGAATTACCGTAGTACGTACCGGTGAATTCAAACGATTGATTTTTCTCAGTTGATCACTCGTGTCAACAAAAACAAGGCTTTGAAACCAGCTTCAACGCGTCAACAAAGGCAACAAAATCCGAACATTTACCTCGATAAAAGGCCTTCCAACAGCTGGAATTCTCGTTTCTCAAGAAACAGCATATTCCTACCAGACCAGAACGGAAATCTTTTTTGTATTAGATTCAGTTCCATTCATTCCATAAAATCCCAATTCATGCCCGGGACAGTTTTCGGACAATTCCAGTTTTCTGACGATTAAATTGGTTTTGCTTCTTCTCACGCAGTTTCTTGCCCTCCAGGGAGCGAGTGAGTCCGAGATCTCTTACGCGTAATTTCGCGTTGCGTGATTAGTCGCCTCCAAAGTCGATCCATCCACGGAATTCATCATCGCTGTACGCAACGGCTATGAGCGCCGTCAAGTCTGTTCCATCCCCTCAGCTGTCACCGTCCTACGGCGGAGATATGACATCGGAGCTCTCTCCACAAGGAGATCGCAGCTGGGATGCGATGAATGGAAATGATACTGGCAACCACAATGACAACAACGGCGTGTCTCTTTCTGAGGACGGAACCCTTCCGAACGTGGGTGAACTTTCACTGACCCCCGAAAGAAAGCAGAAGAGACGAGTTTCGTCCTCTTCTATTCCGCTGCAACCAACCCCGGAAGAGCCCCCATCTCACCAGCAACAACACATCCAACCACCGGGAGTGCAAATTCCTGTATCGCCGCAGCCGAATTATGGAGCCCCGGTCCCGTTCCAGCTGAGTCCTCCCCCGCAACCCACCTTCGAACCGATCTTCCACCTCGTGGATTCGACTTTTCCTTGGGCAATTGGAAGCACCGATGGTTCGGTGGCCTATGTCAGGCTGAAGGACCAGCAACAGCAACTGTTGCAGCAGCAGCAGCAACAACAGCAACAGCTGCAAAATGACAGCAGCAACACCAATGAAGACTTAGTATCCGACGGAGCGGTGATAGGACCAGCGGATGACGGCCAAGGGATCCAAAACGGCAACCCCGGGGTATCCCCGGCCCAGGCTGCTCCGACCGCGGCAGAGGCTGCGATTGGACAGGCCGTCGCTGTGATCAATGCGGGGAGATCTCTTTATCACGACAAGCTCTTTCACAATTCCTCGTCCCATGTGGAGGCAATATTGTCTGGTTCTTGTGAGGTCATGGGGTTTGACATTGCTGAGATGTGGCTCCGAACCGGCCCAAAAACCCACCAGCTGACGAATTCGCACCTGCGGCCCGCGGCCCTCGAAGACTCCGTTCGCCAGGAAGTAGTAGACGTGTATTACGGAGAAAGGTCCAACGAACGCACGCACAAGCTGTCCCCGGCCCTGTGCAAGCGGGCCAAGGACGCAAACGATGTCGTGTGGGTGACGGGCCACACGCCGAACGGAGCCGAGGCTCTCAAAACGAGTCTTAGCAACGTGCGAACGGCAGTAGCCGTCCCCGTCTGCCACGAGGTGTCCAACACCAATGTCACCATCATCTATTTCTCCCTCCGAAGGATCATCCTCAAGCCGGCCGCGGTGGAATTCCTCATCCACATGTCGCTGAGCGCCGCGGTGACCTCGGTCAACTCCCTCGACACGGACGGATTGCTCGATCGAGCCGAGGGTGTCCGCACCGACCAGGACGGTAGAGCCGCTGTCATGTCGTCCAGCGCCGGCCACCACCAGCTCTCCAAGACCACGGGAGGCGCGGGCCGGAAACAAAAGTCGGCCCTGAGCAAGTGCTACCAGCGCGCCAACCGCACGTCGATCACCGGGGCCCGCCTGGACCTGCAGTGGCGCCAGCTGCACAATGTGGAATACCTGACGGACGGGGGGAATTCGTGGATCCACACGGCCGTCTTTGACGGAAAGCCGGTGGTCGTCAAGACCCTCCGGCCCGAGTGCCAGGACTCGGCCATGGCCTTGCACGAGATCGAAGCCGAGGTTGGTGAGTGCTCTCTCGCTTTGTTGTCGTGCTGGATTCTCGTATGTTTTGCCGCGATGGTGGATTCTTTATTACCCAGCGGAATGCCGTTCTAGACTAGCGTGTGTTGCTTTTTTCTCTTCATGCTCACACAATTTGTTTCGTTTCGTTTTGATACTGGCTAACAGCCGTTCATTCGAGATTGAACCATCCCAATATTGTCCGGGTGATCGGTGCCGGATGGACCAGCAAGAAGATTAGATTCATCGTTCTCGAACGACTGGACGGTGGAACCCTGACCCAGTTGCTGGGATACGACACACGCATTCGTGACAAGAGAGGTCGGTTTTGGGGGAAGAAGCCAAAGCAATCCTATCTGGACGTGTTGCGCTGCGCCCGATCCCTGGCCTGCGCCCTGCAGTATTGCAACGAGCAAGCCATCCCGGGAAGCATGGTGCTACACCGGGACTTGAAACCGGACAACATCGGCTTCACCCTCGACGGCCAGGTCAAGCTCATAGACTTCGGTCTGGCCAGATTGGTAGAAAACGCCAACCCGGAGTCCAACGAAACCTATCAGATGAGCGGGGAGACGGGTTCCCTTCGATACATGGCGCCGGAAGTGGCGGATCGACTTCCGTACAACCACAAGGCCGACGTGTATTCCTTTGGAATTATTTTGTGGGAGATGAACGCCGGAAAGCGGCCCTTCAACGGCCTCAGCAGAGAAACCTTTTACGAGAACGTCGTCCACGGCGGAGAACGCCCCCACCTGAGCAAGAGGTGGCCGCCCGAGCTGAACAAGCTCATCAGCTCCTGTTGGAGCACCGACATCGACGAGCGGCCCTCCTTTCGGCAAATCGTCGATGCCATCGACATTCTTTTGACGAGTGAAAAGGGAGGAATACTAGAAGGAAAAACAGGGAAAGCCCTGAAAAGCTTTGCAAAAATCATCGACCGCCATTCCACCTGGTTCTAGTGGATGGATCGATCCATTGATCCATTGATCGATGGATGGATGGATCGATGGATGGATCGATCATCCCAGACATATTATTACACTACGCTGTGCTATAGGCCGTGGTGAATGATCCCGCCAGACCAAACTAGAAACTACATCCAGAGGTTGGCGGAAGTACCAATGGATACTTTTTGTACACTAAACTATAAAGAGCAACAAGAATATTACAATAACAAAGAACCATCCGTACGCCGGTGCATCCAGCCGATGCAGAGAGCTGCAACCGCTGCGAAGAGACCTTTTTCACCACCGACGCAACACACAGCCGCATTCGCCATGTCCTTAACGAGTTTAGAGCTACTGCACTAGTGTATATTGTCTCGACTCGCAGAGTCCGAGACAACTGTCTTGGTACGGTCCTTTTGTTGCAGCAACCCGTTCCCTGTGTTTCGTTACAGTACTATTCGTATGTATGTCTATTGTATGAAGGTACGGTAGAAAGTTGTGAGACATCAGACATCCAAGAGTCATTCACGGTTCGTTCATCCCGCGAAGATCCGTGAATGACCGACCCGTCGTTCGTCGGTCTCCCAATCCGCACGTAGCAGTTTTACAGGAGGTCGTTTTCCTCCTCGTCGCGCGTGACCGTTCTACTCGTAGTTTCTCCTAGCTTGCATTAGTACTAGTATTACGCGGCGGAAAACAGAAGATCCAGGAAAAATCCTCAACAACGCATCAGTCAGTGGTCCATCCAAACGGTACGAGTAAGTACCAGTACCGCACGTACCGTACGGCACGGCAGCTCCTGGTCCTCGCATAATTCGAGAACGAGAACAAGAAGAAAGCCACACTCGCGAACAGCATCCTTCGGAAACAGAAGCAGTACCAAGGACCATTCGACAACGAACGAAGCAAAGAAATAGCGGAAGACATTCGACGAGACGATACAATACAATACGAGACTAAACAAACCAGCACAGCGCAACATGCCGTCACTCCTCAAGCCATCGCCATCGCCACCGCTCCTCCGGCGACAGCCGCTGGTCCTGCTGCCCCTCCTGGTGCTGCTCGCGGGCCTCCTGCTCCCGGGGCCGGCGATTGCCGCACCCAAAGCCCAGCCCGGGAAGGAGGACGAGGGGATGCCGGGCCTCGATTTCGGAACGGGCCGCATGTTCGACAAGATCGCCACCCGGTACGACACGATCAACCGGGTCCTGGCCCTGCGCATGGACATCGGGTGGCGCCGGGCCATGACGACCCGGCTCCGGGAGCTCCTGGGCGAAAGCGACGGCGAAAGCGAAAGCGGCACCGGCTCGTGGAGGATCCTGGACGTTGCCACGGGGACGGCCGACGTGGCCCTCCAGCTCGTCGACGACCTGTCGGGCGGGAAGGGCAGCGGCAAGACCACCGTCCTGGGCCTCGATCCCTCCGCCAACATGCTGGCCGTGGGGCGCTCCAAGATCGAGCGCCGCGGGCTGGCCGACGCCATCGTCCTGGAGCAGGCCGACGCCAGGGACCTGGGGCACTACTACGAGCCGGGAAGCAAACCCACCGAGCTCTTTGACGCCTCCACGATCGCCTTTGGAATCCGCAACGTCGTGCCGAACCGGGAGAAGGCCCTCTGCGAGATCCACAGGCTCCTCAAGCCGGACGGGGTGCTGGCCATCCTGGAGTTCTCCCAGCCGACCTACCAAAAAGACGGGGTCATGGGCGTCGCCGCCGGCCTCTTCATCCAGCACGTCGTTCCCCTGGTGGGGGGGCTGCTCAGCGGCGGGGCCCGGAAGGAGTACGTCCACCTGCAGAACAGCATCCGCAACTTTCCGGGCCCGGAGGAGTTTCGGGACCAGCTGGAATCCCTCCGGTGCCCCCTCCGGCCCGACGACGACGACGCCTACTTTTACGTCGGCCACTTTGACATGGAGGAGACGGTCCACATGAATTTCGGGAGCGTCCAGCTCTACGTCGGCAGGGCGGCGGTCCGGCCCAAGAAGGAGATCCACGCGGACACCCCCCCGCCCCGCGGGGCGGACACCAAGCTGCCCCCGATCGCCGCTGTTTCGGGTGGGGAGCTGTAAGCAATCCATCCAGCCCGACAGCTAGGTGGGAGGACACGAACGAACGAACGGTCGGGGGCTTGCGGAACACACGGCCAAACAAAACACAACACAACACAACACAAAGCAACACGGCACAACACAACACAAAGCAATTCATAGACCCATTCGCGAACCATGAGCCGATGCCGTGCCGTGCGATTTGATTCTTCCATCGACACGGGCAAACACCAATCGGACCTTCCATCGAGAATCATGCAACCTAGCAATACAACCTGCAACAGCAACGACGACAACAACGACAAGGACAACAGCAACACTAAAAATAATACAGACTAGAAACATTTGTCGCCCTCATCTATTCCCTTCCTTGCACTTTAGGCACCGTGTACTCTTGGAAAAGAGAGGCGGGAGAAAGGTCCGGTCCGTACCGTACCGTTGGATGGATGGGTGTGCACGACGCATGTACGGTACGGTACTCATGCTGGTCGAACCCAAGGCCGTTCGCAAGGCATGTATGTACGTACGGTGCTTGTGCACGGTGCGGTGCGGTGACGCATCGCAACGCAAGGCACGCACCGTGCGTTTGTCGGCCTGCGAGAACGGAACGCCAACCGCAGCGCCGACACTCCTTCCTGGCCTCTGACACAGTCCTGCCGTGATGCCTTGCATGGCATTGATTTGGGCAAGCCTGCTGTACGAAACTTTCTCGCATTGCTCGCCGGGAATGTGCGCACAGCACCATCTAGTGTTTGTTCTTTTCTTTTTTCGTTCCTAGTGCTGTTGCTATTGGTGTGCTATTGGTATTGGTATTTCGTATTTTTTAAAATAGTATAGTAGTTGCATTAATGGTAGTCGAACGGTGTTCTCGGTCTTGGTACAGGCAGGTAGTGAAAATTGTATAGCGAAATAGCGTAGCGTAGCGTGCGCAAATTGCGGGCATCGTTCGTACGGTACGGACTCGGTAGCATTGTTGTGATGGTTGTGGTTGTGACGTGATGTGATTGTGGGTTTGCGTATGCGTGTGCGTGTCTGTTGTGACGGGATGGGGTCGTAGTAGTTTGGTGTTTGTGGCAGCCGAGACGGGAGACTCCCAACGTGGTCCATGATTGCTATAGCTAGCGCGCTTTTGTATAAAAGGTGACAGTTGTGTTTCGTATTCGATTCTTTTTGTTCTTTCTAGTATATATCGGCAAATGGGGTGGTGGTGGTGGTAATGACAGTGACGTTTGTCTGTGTGTGCGTTTGCGAGCGGGTGCTGTTTTTTTGGTTTCTAGGGTGCTCTGTTTCCTCAAAAATCAAAGAGAAAGATGGTGGGGTCGGAGCTGCTCTCGCCGTTAACGTGGCCCTCCTCGTCCTCGACCTCTCCGTTCATGTGTTCCCATTCCGAGTAGTTTTCGTTGTTGGCATTGACGTTGTAGTGGCCGCTGGGCTGCGGGCACTCGTGCTGGAGGTACCGGCGGCCGCTGTCGCAGTAGTGCGTGTGCTGGTAGTGGTAGGGGGGTGCCGAGTGGTCCTCCCGGTCGTAGAGGTTGTGTTCGTCGTCCCCCCTCCACTCGGTAGAGCGGTGGAGGAAGCCAAAGCCGTGCGCATCGTCGTCCTCGTTGCCAAGGTCCACGTGGTGGTCGTACGAGTGGGGATGGCAATCGCTGCTTCCTCCGCACGCAAACGGATGCGCCTGTTGTGCAATGCATTGTTGTTGATGTTGTTGTTGATGGTGGTGGTGCTGCTGCTCCCCGATCGCCGAGGACGCGGTGGTGGCAAAGGAACCCGAAACGGACGAGGCCGGGGACGACCCCTTGGGCGGCTCGCGGCAGGGACTCCCGCTGGCAAAGCTCTGTGCCCGGGCCACCCGCCTGAGGGCGGGCTCCGAGACGGTGGTCCGGTTGGCCGCCGAGTGGCGGTCGTCGTTGCCCTTCTTGAGGTCCTCCCTCCGGGCCCTGGCGTTCTTGGCGTGAAAGGCCTCTACCTTTTCCCGATGGGTGGTGATGCGCCGGTACATCTCCCAGGTGCGGGAGTCGTACATGCGCTCGAGGTACGATAGGTCGGGAGGCGGCGTCTGCTTGGATCCGGCGCTCGGATCGGTGCCGGCGGCGGCGCTGGCTTCGGGGAAAGCCCGGGCCGCCGCTTCGCAGGAGCGGTGTGCGTGGTACCCCAGGGGCCGAACGTGGTCTCCCCCGATGGTCTGCCACCTCCGAAACTTGACGGGGTTCGATCTCTTGTCGGGACGGTGGACCCTCGCAGCCATCGTCGATCGCTGGTGGTGGTGATCGGGGTCTCGCTGGCGAAGCAGGGTTGCCTCGGCTTGGAGATTCCTGTGGGGGCATGCGTTTGCGTTTGTGGTTGCCTTCGAGGCAGCGTGTGGATTCGGGTTCGTGTCCGAATCGAGGCAGTTGTGGTAGTGGTGGTGAATGGGGTGATGCCCCACGTGGCTCTTGTGGTTCTTGGCCGCCGAAAGGTTGCTGCTGCTGCTGCTCCCCAGCGGGGAAGGCGGGGTCAGCTGCCCGGTGCTCTCGGTAGCCCTAGAAAAGCCGTCGTCGTTGTGGTTCTTGCTTCCGCTGGGGTGGCTCAAAAGGAGCACCTTGGGGAGCATCTTTCCCAGGACAGCGGGGAGAGAGTGGAGGTCTTCTTTCCGGGCCTCCGGTTGCGACAGCTCGGCGGTGGATGCGCTTCGCAGGTCCGGGGCGGACTTGCAGGCCGATTCTAGCGGGTCGTCTTTCGAAGTGGTTTGCCCCATGGTGTCTGTTGGTGGTGTAGCTTTAGCTGTTGGAGGGGTTGGTGCGATAGCGAGGTGGCTTGCTTGCTTCGCTTCTTGCCGTGCTCGTAGGATGGTGTAGTGCTTGTTTTTGTTTTTGTGGTTGTGGTGATGTAGCTAGCTAGCGGTGAGGATGGATTCAAACGTTGGCCATGAAAACGAATCTATCAATCTATCAAAATCAAATCTAGACTTTTCTCGCAAGCTGTCGTGGTCTTCCGTTCGTTGGTTGTGCTTAGCTCGAAAGGAAAGAAAAGAAACAGATTGGAACAAAACAAAACAAAACAGAACAGAATTGGACGGGACGACGGTCGATCCCTTTGCGATCGATCCAGAGTTGCCGTTTTGTGTTGCGGTTGGTGCAACTTTGTTGCAGCCCTTTTGTTCAATAAGATTGATCCTTCAAAGGAATCAATCCTCGCACAGCTCGGATGTACAGTTCCTGGAACAGTGCCTGTATTGGTTCCTGTTGTGTGGTATTGTGCACTCGGAGTTTCGACTTTGGTTACCGATGCGTACTCGTATTCGTATTCGTATTCGTATTCGTTCTCGTACTGGAAGAACGTTCGATTGAAACCGAATCGGAATGGACGGCAGTGAGACGACGAACCGGCGATCGATGTGTTGGGCTGTAGCGACGACCTTCCTTTTCCATTCCCAGTCGGCAGAGAATCGGAATCAGCCTCCCCAGGGGTTCTAAAAAATTCGGTGGTCCCCTACGGTGCTTTACCGCAACAGTTCCGAACAAAATGCTCTCGCGTCCTAACCGAACGAACGATGCGATGTACGATGTACGATGTACGGTGCCGTCCCGTGTAGTCGCTTAGTATTGCGGCAACAACGAACCCGGGGAAGCAACGCGGCATGCAACCGCGTTGTTATTTATTTACTTATTTGTTTGCCGGTACACTTTTCGTCGAATCACGGCAGCCCTCGATGGCACAACCAAACGGACGCAGCTGTTTTTTTTCGGGTGAAGCGACGACACACCCACCACCAAACCTCCAGCAACGAGACGGTACTTTTGGTTCCATGTGTGGTCAACAATTGAAGTGTCGTTGCACATGGCCATCTGCTTTTTGGGGGTGCCACCCAGCGAAGCTCGATGTCAGAAGCCGATTGGTTCCCTGACAGTTTCACGGAACCAATCGGCAGATGTTCTAGAACACCGTCGTTAATTATAACAGATGGCACCCATCTGTGGTCCAATCGGAACAGGGAAGGCGATTTCGAGGCGAATCTTGACGTTTTCTGTTTTTTTCGTACCCATAACCCATTTGGGCCAATCAGGAGCGGGCCATTTCGTGGAAAGTGCCGCCTGTCGTGATTCTTCTATTCACGCAAGGAGAATTTGCATCGAAGTCCAACGAATCAATCGAATAAGTACTGGAAAGGTACGGTAGGCACCTCTACGGCATCTACGTACGGTACCGCTAACGTTTTTTTATTTCCGGCACTGTTGCGCACGAGTACCGCAGTAAGCACTAATCAAAGGAAGACCTCGTATCCACATCACTCGTCTCAAAACCAACCAAAAAGGAAGAGTGGAACCCAAATCAATGGTCAAGAGCACTCGACAGGTCGACGGCTAGACCGGATGGCAAAGTGCCATTTTCCATTTTCGTTGTCTGCACTACGTTACTTGGTATGCAGTACAAAGTACTCGTATGCACCGTAGGTTATGATATCGTATTTGAAGTATGTATGGTACGTACAAGTACTACATGAGGTACTAGATCATACCTCTAGGAACGAATTCTCTTGCTCTCGGTTCTCTATTGCCGCACGGGACGATGCCTAGGTATGGTACAAAAGAAAGATACGTCGTAGTCTTTTCCGGTTTTCCTTCAGATTCATTTTGCGGGTGAAACAACTGAACTCAATCTACATACAACGACTGTCCAGTTTCTCCAGGATCCCGGCCCATAAACAACACTCCACTACACGAAACCAATAAGAGATTCATTAGCGGTTTGGTTTCGCTGTAGGTGCTACCGTGGTTTCGCTCTGCTTCGGCTTTGCCAATCAGTATCTTGGGATGGAACATCTTTCCTAGATTCCTTGGTAGGAGAGTTCGTCCGGAACTTCAACTCTACATATATTCTAATCATACAATTCTATAGAATGCTTGTGTTGATGGGTTTCATACTAGCTTCTTATTCCAATAAAATACCGTCCACCTCTTCGTGTCCGAACTTTTGAATTTGAAATCAAATCGGATGTCACGGCCGGAGGAAAAGCTGTTAGCTAGTCCCCCCCCCCTCCCAAAAGCAGAGTTATCGCTGTCGGAAAATACCCATCCAACTATACGCGAACACCACCAAGGTGTGGTGTTTGTTCTTCCTTCCTTCACACCGTGCGGAGCATTCCCGTGCTCTTTGTGCCTCATCGTCTCATAGTTGGGCTGATTTGTTTGTTCATAAATCTCCCGCTATCACCGCATTGCATAGTCTCCGCCTGAATATTCGTGTTGGATCGATCCCGACGACGAGGCCATTTCGAAGAGGTCCGGCCGGCTGACCAGCAGGGAAAACAGCGTGTCCGTCCCGCATTCCTTGCTGGCTTTTTCCAGCAGAAGGGCGCCGAACCGATCGTCGACGCCCTTGCACCAGTGGAGGGCGGGGGGAAAAGCCCGCAGGGCCACCGCGATGGTGTGGCCCCACAGGCGGCCGGCGTTGATCATCAGGCCCAGCGGGAACTGGTTCTCCTTGTTGCGAGCAGCGCAGGCGCTGGGATAGGCCTCCAGCAGGACGCGGAGTATCCCCATCCGGCTGCCGGGGCAGTTCCCGTCCAGGAGCGTCATTTTCTCAATCGGGATGCTCGCCTCGATGTGCAGGGGGTAGTTCCCGTCCTCGTCCACCTGCTTGACCTCCTCCGGATACATGTGGATGACCTGGCGGATGAAGGTGGGGTCCAAACGGATGTTCTGTCGGTGCAGGACCACGCAGGCCCGGAGCAGGCTGAGGTTTTTCAGCCCCTGCTGCTGGCACTGCTGCGGGCCATAGTAAACGATCTTAATGAGTGTCGACAACACGTTATAGGCATTCCCACCGTAACCAGGGAAACCAGGGCACTTGTCGGCATCTCTGGTCTCCTTAAAGTTGGCCATGGCGATTCCAATGGGGGTGTGGGCTGCCAGGTTGGGAACCAGGGCGGGCAGCACATCCCCGCTGCTGGCAGCCATGGCCATCTCCTGAACAACCTCTTCGGTGCATCTCCGCAGGCACGCCAGATGGAGGGGTGTGTCTCCGTACGTTGTCCGCGATCGGAGGGCATCGGGGGCAGCCCGGATCAGGCACCGGATCGAAGCTGCGTCGATCCATTGTTGCACGGCCGCATGAAGCGGCGTGTTTCCGTTCGAGTCCTTCTCCGCAAATATCTCGGGCCCCCCCATCTGGGCAAAGGTCGAGATGATGCGCTCGTCGATCCGGCCAATCATGCAGAGAAGCTGAAGAGGGGTGTGGCCCGCGTTGTTGCGAACCCGAATATATTCCGGATTCTTCTTGGCAATCATCTCCAGGTGCTCGTAGGGGGTGGTCTTGAGGAAGCAAGCGTCGTGTACTGAAAAATAAAAAAAATCAACCGGGAAAGGAGGAGGGAAGCGGGTAGTAAGAAACGATGAAACCTGTAACCGTTTAGCGACAGCCAACAAAAGGGAATATTCACCATGTTCCACATGCAGCGCACCCAAAGGGGAATTAAGGTGAAAAAGCAAAAATGCAACGAATCTCGCAAGTCAACTTACGCGGAGTATTTCCCATCTTGTTCGTTTTCACACTCTTTCGAGAAAAGGTCGGGTCCCTGCTGGAACGGTAATTGTTGCGGTAATTGTTGTTAAGGAGATCCAGGGCATCGTTTAGGGGGGCTTGTTCTTGGTGACTCTTTCCTCCAGCGCCGTTGTGGTCGTCCTTTTTGGTCTGCCTAGGGTTGCCGTCGGCGTTCTCGATCGAGTCGTCGGTCCAGGACATCCTGTCGTTCATGCCGCTTTCTCCGGGACCGGAAGGAGCGCCTTTGTTCCCGTTGGTTGCCAGGAGCTGCAGGATGCCCGCAAAGGTTCCGGTGTTGGTTTCTGCTAGCCTCAGCGGCGTCTCGCCGGCGTTCGTCTCGAGGCCCAGACTCTCGGGACAGGCAGCGACGAGGGCCTCCACGATCCCCATCCGCGGCTGGCGGTTCCGGCAGACGCAGTGCAGCGGAGAAAACCCGTAGTCGTTCGTCTCGGTCAGGGCCGAGGGGTTGGCCTGAATCAGCATCTGGACCGTTTCGGGGCTCTTGTTGCGGGTGCAGGCCAGGGAGAGGGCCGAGTCCTTCTTGCGGGTGAGGGCCCTCGCCGCGTCCGGGTGTGCCTCGAGCAGGGCCCGGACGACCTCGGGAGCGCATCCCATTTCGCAGGCGTAGTGGAGGGGCAGGTACTGCTGGAAGTCGGAAATCGCCGCGGCCGAGGGGTTCTTGTCCAGCAGGAGGGTGACCACCGGGAGGGGGGCCGAGCGGGAGCCCTCGGTTTTGCACAGCAGGTGCAGCGGCGTCTGGCCGTTCACGGTGTCCTTGTGCACCACCGCCTCCGGATCGGTCCGCAGGAGGAGTTCGACCGCCGCCGTCACACCGCTGCTGCTGCCACGGCTGGACGGTGCCGAGAGGTGCGTGTGGTTCTGGCACAAGAGGTGCAGGGCGGTCTGCCGCTGGGAGGTCTGCACCTTGACGGCGTCGGGCCGGGCCTCCACCAGATACCTCAGCAGGCGAAAGTTTGCGTTGGCCGCCGCCGCGTGGATGGGGGCCCAGCCACAACGGGAGTCCAGGGTGACGAGCGCGTCCAAGTTTTGGTTCAGGAGGAGCTCTGCTACCTCCGGAGATGCGTTGCGCCGTTCGCAGTGGAGCCGGAGGGGGGTCTCGTGGGAAGAATTCCTCTTGTGGGCGGCACTCGGGTTTGCCTCAAGGAGCCGAACGATGGTGCTGGGATCGACCATGGTTTCGGGGGCCATGCAGGCCGAGTGGAGAGGTGTGTCCCCGTTGTTATTCGTGCAGCCCGCAACGACTTCGGGATTGTGGTCTATGAGGTCTTCGACCAAGCCGGCCAGGTATTCCGGAGACCAGACAATGTTTGAGTTGTTGAGAACGGAGAGAGTCGAGTCCACAAAGAGCAAGTGCAGAGGTGTGTTCCAGTGGCGGTCACGGTCGGTAGCTCCGCGGTAGTTGGTCGCCTCCAGCAGGGCCCGGATCACGTGGCGGCAGGCCCCACGGAGGCAGGCCTCGTGGAGGGGGCCCCGGCTCTGCTTGGAGGTGTACCAGACCTCGTTGGGATGCGAAGCGCAGTGCCTCACTGTGCTGAGGCACGAGCCCTGCTCCGAGATTCCCCAGCCCGAGAGGACCGAGGTGCAGGTCCGGCCCTCCCGGACCATGTTGAAGAGGGTGGACGGTATGCTTTGGCGGGCTCGGGCAGAGATCCGCCGGTCCCATCGCCTGCTGGCCTGGGCGTGTTCATCGTCGTCGTTTTGATTCCGATTGCGAATCATTTGGACAAAAAGATCGTCCAGTGCGTCGTTGAAATCCTCTTCCGCGTTGTTGATGTCAACATTTGGAAAATTGTTGTTGTTGTTGTCGTCGTCGTCGTCGTTGTTGTTGTTGTTGTTGGCATTGTTGATTGCATGAAGGGCGTTGTTGTTGGCATTGTTTTCGTTGTCGTTACGATTGGGTCGGTTCCTGTTTCGAAACATGTACATGTTTCGAATCCGAAAGGAGGCAAAGCTACGATTGTTTTCGATAACGCTTCTTTCTCGTTGGGCAAGCCTCTCCGCCTCCCTCCGAATCCGAAAGGAGGCAAAGCTACGATTGGCTTCGAAAACGGTTCCTACTCGATGGGCAACGCTACGGTTGGCTTCGATAACGCCGCCTTCTCGCTGGTTGGGGGGAACGGGATCGGGAAGGTTCCCCTGGTTCGGGATACGAACGGCGTTCCCCTGTTCCCCGACCGCGTCCACCTCCATCCCCCGCGGAAGATCTCCATCCGCCTCCCTCTGGTTCCCCTCCCAAGGATCGAAGCGAAAGTCGTTGTCGCCTCGGATTGGCTGCCGTCCTTCCCCGGTAGGTTCGTTTCCACGGTTGTTGTTGTTGTTGTTGCTGTTGTTGCTGTTGTTGTTGTGGCCGGAACGATGGGTATGGACGTTTCCGTTGCCGCGATTGGATTCTACCGGTGGATCCTCCGGCGGGACTTCCATTTGAACATCCCGGTCTCCGTCCAACGGACCACCAGAGAACCGCGCGATTCGTTCGTCGTCGTCGATGTTGTTGTTGTTGTTGCCGGTTTCGCCGTGCTCGTGATCGGTCCTTCCATTGCTCGCTCGTTCGGCGCTCGGGCTGCCGCTGTCGCCGCCGCGACCGATTCCTCCGTCTGCGCCTGGATCGTCCACTCCGGATCCGGGTCCGACCGGTCGAACCCGCGAGAGGGGCCTCCCCCACAAGCGGTTGTCCCGTTCGTTGTGGTTCGGATGATTTTCTTCTTGCATAACCGATCGATCCACAGCACCGTGTCGAAATCCAGCCGAGACAACAACGGGTTGTTCGTTCCGTTCCGAAAGATCTATGTTCGATTCGATTGGGTTCCTAGCGGTATGTTCTTTCTCAATTTTGTGCCCTCGATGCTATGCGAAGAAATGTCTATCCGTATGCGGTATGGAAACACCGAGCGCTGGCTCCTGAGCTGTTGTATTCTATTTAGTTCACAATTTATGCCTGAAGTTTTATTTCTTGCTTCAAATGGTAACTTGGGATTCAGGGGATGATGAAAAATGATGATGTTGATGTTGATGATTCCTTTTCTCAAGTCGTGGTAACGCTTTTGACGTTGGGAGTGCAGGGAGAGGTACCTGGTACCGTACCGTATCACAAAAACAGCAGCAGCAGTTCTACCGTTCCGTGCTACAAGGACGATCAATACTGAAATTTCGACAACGCACCGTACGGTACCTACCAGTAAGTACGTACGTACAAGCGGTGGTTTGAATCTTGGCGTGGATACAGTAACTATCGTTGGAATGGTCGTACGAATGGTCGTACGTAGTACGGTACTTAACCACGATCGTTGGAAGGGGGGGGGAGTCGCTCAAAGACGAAACGAACGACCGAAGAATGTTACAAAGAACAATTCTTCCGCAGGAACCATGTCGATTTCAATTTTTTGGAAAAAAAGAAGATTCCCAGATCCCCCTCTGGGTAACGAAAATTGTGATCAGTTTTGATCACAAAAAAATGTGATCAGAAATAACAAATTTGTGATCAGGTTTTTGTGATCAATCTTGATCACAAATTCGAACTGTCTTKTGTACATTTTSTACTAGTMCCGTTTTTATATAGGATTTWAATACCCTAATATAAATAATAACAGTATTTTTACACGTTTGTACTACTACTAATAGTACACCAGTCCTGTATTACCAACATAGTAATAAGCCCTATTAAGAATTAACGCGACGTGCTACTAATATGACCATCAATGACTTAGTATATATAAATATATATATATATATTTTATATATATATATATATATATTTATATCATATAAATCGAATATAAATATTAATGTAAGAATAAAAGTACATATTAATTCTAATCCGTTGGAAAAAATGTGATCAAAACTGATCACAAAAAATTGTGATCAAGAAATTCATCAATTTTGTGATCATTTCTGATCACATTTTTTTGTKATCAAAACCGATCACATAATGGAAAAAAGGGGACCGGAGAATTTAAATTTTTCGAAAAACATCGAAATCGACATGGTTCCAGAGCTGTCACGTTGGATTGCGGAATGTTTTGATTGGATCAGAAGGTTCCCTCCCTCCACCAAGTGCCTGTACTTCTGTACGGTACTCGTATGCAGGGGTCATGCTCGTATGTATGTACGGTAGACCGTGGTTCGTTGGTACAGTAGGTCGATCTATCATAGTATCCTTAATACTTTATTAGGATATGTAGGAATAAGCACGCCTTCGAACCCAAAAAATGAGGAGCATTGCGTGTGGGTCGATTTGTTGTAGGGTGCCCGAGTACGTAGGGGAATGCTTCTGTATCGCCACCTGCTGCCGGAGAGATCATGTAGCGTCCGGAGTGGTTCTGGGCTTCTCTGCCACGCTGCGACCAGAAGTTATTTTTTTCATTGGGAGATGGCTTTGTCGATTGGTTTCTTTCTCTGACTCTTCTACGGTATGTTATGTACCGTAGGGTATGGTATGTACCGTGGAACCGATGGGATGCACCAGAAGATTATTCGTCTGCTACTGTACGAGTTCGTACTACTAGTTGTACCCGGCGCTACTTACTGGCAGCAATTGGCTGGCTGCGCTGACAGCGGGAAATCTACCGCACTTGCACCTCACCGAGGCATGAATCTTGTCCCCAACGCAGCACAAGTACAAGCTACTGCAGCAGTAGCATTGTAGAGGAGGCCCCCACCGTTGTGCAGATAGCTTTGCAAACAGGTCACACGCAACTGTCGTTACCCTTTTCACATACACACTACAAGCTCGATACATTGCATCGGAAACACAATTGTCCATCCAGCAAAAGTTTCAGCTTGAATCAAGGTCATTTGCCGCATGCTTGTAGTGTAAGCAACCATCTATCTTCGGCATCGAGTCGCATCAGCAGTGCTGTCGCCAGAAAAGCGCCGTATCAACGCATTGGCAGACCAAATCCAGACGGGGCGATCCGCGTGCAGCAACTGAACACAACAAGACAAACTAAAACAGCAACAGCAACATAATCTAGAACAACAACAAAACAACACAATGGTCATCGCCGAGGTACCGCTGTGGGTGGTCCACTCCAACTCGAACGCTCCCAAGGGAGACGGGAAGGCCCCGGCGTCTTCCGCGGGTGCCTCGTCGCCTTCTGCTTCCGCGAAGGACAGGGCAACCGAGGCGAGGGCCTCGGAGTCCCTCCGCCTCTTGTCGTCTCTGGGGGGGTCGTCCTCGTCGCTGTCCCCCGCCGGGCTCCAGCGCGCCGGGATCTACGGGATCGACGTCCACGGGAGCAAGTTTGCCACGGGCGGGGGAGACGGAACGGTCCGCATCTGGAGCGTCGGGGCCCTCTTTCCCACCGTTTCGGGCGAGGGCTCGTCGTCGACGTCCTCGTCGATCAAGGGGAGCCGGTACCGAAAGGGCACCGGCGGTGGCCTTGCCCAAACCCCGGGTGCGGCAAACGGAGGCGACGACGCCGGATCCTCCTCGGACGACCCCGCCGCCATGGACGGAACGCTGCAAACCATTGCAACGGCGTCCGGCAACCATTGCTACGAGAGCAGCGGGGAATCCTCACAGGACGACAGCCTGGTGGGGGATCCGGAATCCACAGCGACCGGCGCAAGCAACGGGAACCGCATCGGCAACCACCACCAGCACCCGGTGAGGGACCTGTCGAGCGTGGTGCGGAAAAAGGGCGAGGCGGCGGCCCCCGTGTCTCCCTCGGCCTCGGGCGATCTCCCCGATCCGTCGACACCGCCGTCTGCCGGTCCGAACGCGGGCGAAACCCCGGCCCCCGAGGGTCCGGGTGGCCGGCAAAAGCACCACCGGCTCCTCTGCACGCTGTCGGCCCACACGGGCTCGTCCGTTCTGGCGGTCCGGTTTTCCAACAACGGCAGGTACCTGGCCAGCGCGGGGGACGACGCGGTGGTCTGCATCTACGCCAGGCAGGCTCGGAACAGCATCGGCGCCATGGTGGCCTCGGGGAACCTGGTGGAACGGAGCGAGGACGGCCCGGTCCTCGAGCACTGGACCCGGATCAAGCTCTGCCGGGGGCACGGGCTGGACGTCGTCGGCCTGGCCTGGGCCCCGGACGATTCCCACCTGGTGAGCTGCTCGCTGGATTCCAACACGCCGATCGTGGTCTGGAAGCTCACGGACCTGGCCGAGCAGGGGGGCGAGGCCCAGCACAACGGAAGCAGCAACGGCGGCGGCGGCGGCTACTACCAGCACAACTACAACAACGTTCTGTGCAACCCCTACAAGGTTCTGGGGAGGGGCATCCACACCTCCACCGTCAAGGGGGTTACCTTTGATCCGGCCGGGACCTATCTGGCCAGCAGCGGAGACGATCCGAGCGTCTGCATCTGGAGGGCCCACGACGACTGGGGCCTGGAGCGGCGGATCGACGCGGCGTCGGGGATCTTTCGCAAGTGGAGCACCGCCGGCGGAAGCGGCCACGCCGGAGCAACGGCGGGCCTTGCCACGACGTCCTCGCTCTCGGCGCAGTCCCTCTTTCGGCGCCTCTCGTGGTCCACCGACGGGGCCTACATCTGCGCCACCAACGCGGTGGTCCGCAACAAAAACGTGGCGTCGACGATATCCCGGGAGGGCTGGGCCGTCAGCGGTTCCAAAACGGCGGCCTCCGGGGCCGTCAACCTGGTGGGCCACAAGCAGCCGGTGGTGGCCTCTAGGCACTGCCCGTACCTGCTCAAGAACGCGAGCCAAGGGGGGAACGGCAGCGACGACGACGACGACGATCCCGAGCCGGACTACTCGACCCTGCTGGCCCTCGGCGACAAGCGGGGATTCGTGACGGTCTGGAGCACGCGGAAATCCCGTCCCGTCTTCAAGATCCAGTGCTCGGAATCGCGCTGCACGGTGACGGACCTCGCCTGGGGGAGGTGTGGGAACGCGGGCGACCGGGCCGTCGATGCAAACAAAACCAGTAACAACAACAGCAACACCAAAAACAACGATCTGATGCTGCTGGTTTCCCTCCTGGACGGGCAGGTGGTGGCCCTGAGATTCGGCATTCCCGACGAGCTCGGCAGCTTGCTCTCCCCAAGGGAACAGGGCAGGGTCTTCCAGCTGCGTTACGGAATAGATCCCAGCGATCTGACCAGCTCGAGGCGGCTCTTTGTCGGGGACAACTCGGGGGGCCCAAAACTCATCGAAAACGCGCTCCAGTTTGCCCTCGAGAACCACCAGCAGCACCAACAACAAATCCGTGTGTCGACCGAAGAGGAGGGCGGGGAAGCCAACTCCGCCGCGGCTGCCGCAGCAGCCGCTGCCGCTGCCAAGGAAAGGAGTCTGACCTCGGAAGAAATCCAAAAGCGCCAGCTGGAGAGCCGATCCAGGGGTGGGAAAAAGCGGATCCAACCCCTGCTCATGATGCAGACCAGCCCGCTCCAGCCACCTACCAAGAAACAAAAAACCACAAACGGGGAACAAGACAAAGAGAAGGCCGGGGCCGCCGATACGCTCGAGTCGGCGCTGGAACTGGCGGAAAAGGCTGCATCGGGGGCGGAGGCGGTAACAGCGGCCCAAAAAACCGCGAGCAAGACCACCGCAATCACCGGGAACGACCACCACCATCAGCAGCAGCAACAACAGCAACAACAACAACTCCAGCACCACCATCGCGATCCTTCTGCAGCTCATCACCACTCACAAAACATCCAGCTTCTCGCGGGCGCTTCCCAGTCGACTCCGCAGATCCCCCACAACACCGATCGAATCCACTCGGTAGATCTACCCCTCCTGAAACCCAATCCTCTGCGAGTCGGCGGGGAAACCGCAGGCAACGTACGCTACGTCGCGGATTGCACAAATTCCATACGGGTTCCAGCGGGGTCGTCGGGGGGTGCCCTGCCTTGTTCAGTCCTGTCCATCAGCAAGGGTGGACAGAGCCTGTGGAAGGACCAGCTCCCCGGAAGCACCTGCTGCGCCATTGCGGCTTCCAAGTCGTGGCTGGTGGTGGGCACGTCGGACGGATGCCTACAAATCTACGGGACGTCCCCTACCCTCGGATGGCAAAGCGCCAGTGCCTTTCGCTCTCATCCCCCCTTTGTTCTGGGCCGGCCGATCGTAGCACTTCACCTGCGAGAGGGTGGGGCACAAACGGAGCTGCTGGTGGTTTCCTCGGACGGCCGATTCGGTGTCTACGTGCTGGAGCCCCGATTGAAATTGTTGTACAAGGGGAGCCTCTTGCCGGCCATGACGCACGTGCTGCTTTCTGCCGACCTCCAAACCGATCTGTACCTGCCGAAACTAGCCCGGATTCAACTGACGGAGACCAATCGGTTGCTTTTGTTGCTTTCCCTTCGTTCCGCGAGCACACCGGGAAGGAATTCTGGCCCTGATGAGGGGCGGGCGGGGAGAGGAACGAACCAGGCGCCTTCCGTTGGTGCCGGTGGATCCCTACAGGGGTTTGTGTACGATTTGGAGTCGGAACTGTGGATGCGGGTGGCCGATAGCCGGTTCGTGCTGTCGGACTTTTACAACTCCCTTCCGTCGTTTTCCTCCTTGAAAAAACAATCGACCACGGACGGACCCCTCTCAAAGCTCGACGACTATGTCCGCATGGGTGCGGGCTCTTCGTCCCTCCAGCGTTCCCGGAGAGCCCGATCCATACTGGGAAATTCGGTTTCCTTCCAAACTAGCACCGTCACCACAACCTCACGACAGAACGACGACGAAGCCAACAACGATGTTGACAGCCGTTCCCACTGTGAAGATCGCATGGCTTGTGCTCTCGCGCTGGGGTCGGTGTCCGAATTCGAGTTCTGGTTTTCCATGTACGTCAAGATACTGGCCCTGACGGGAAACGAAGTTTTGCTGCGACTTGTAATAGACATGCTCATGGGAAAATACCCATCGGGCGCTTCGAACGGGGAAGCTGCTTGCAACTCTACCTGCTGGTGGCTATCAGAATCCCCTATGGTGCTGACGTTTGACCGCGTCAAGTTGGTCTCCACCGTCGTCATTCCAGAGATGAGCAAAAACCGGGCTTTGCAGCGACTCACCAACGAGATCGCCGTGGAGGTTGAACTTCTGCACAAAAAGTAATCAATACCGAGAACGGCAAGCGTTGAGTATTGCCAATAGAGATTCTGTACAATACCAGAAAAATAATAGAGCTAGCTCCAATCGTAATAGGGGATGCGTATGAAATACAGTAATATTTTAACATCACAATTTGATATCAAAGTACTTCAGTCATTGACGGAACCTACACACGGAAGTAAAGCGTACGGGAAGCATGAGATCACGAAATGCAGCTACCGAGCCTCAACCAGCGAGATTGCAGACGTACGTTTCTTGCTAACTAGACTGTTCAAATCATTGCATTTGTACCCTGCATATGGCCTCAAGGACTGTGTTCTACGGTACAAGGTGATTTCCTTTTAAATTAGACCGTTTTTTATATTACCTATCTTAGAATTATATTCAAATTGGACGATATTTTCCCCCCTGAAATTCTAATTGCGACTGCCACGAAGGCCTCTGGGAACTCGGCTAGGGGCATCGGATGGTGCTTCCTGCTTCAAAAGGTTACGTCCATCGATGGTGGGTGCCGAAGAAATGTCTTGCTTCAACAATCCACGAATGCTGCCACCGCTAGGGGCTTCAGATGGAGACTCAACCTTCAAAAGATTGCGTCCATTATCAGAAGTTGGGGCTTCAGAAGGAAGATCAACCTTCAAAAGATCACGACCAACGTTGGTCGGGGCGGTAGAAGGAGACTCAACCTTCAAAAGATNATCAGAAGTTGGGGCTTCAGAAGGAAGATCAACCTTCAAAAGATCACGACCAACGTTGGTCGGGGCGGTAGAAGGAGACTCAACCTTCAAAAGATTGCGTCCACCATCAGAAGTTGGGGCTTCAGAAGGAAGATCAACCTTCAAAAGATCACGACCAACGTTGGTCGGGGCGGTAGAAGGAGACTCNAGATTGCGTCCACCATCAGAAGTTGGGGCTTCAGAAGGAAGATCAACCTTCAAAAGATCACGACCAACGTTGGTCGGGGCGGTAGAAGGAGACTCGACCTTCAAAAGATTACGTCCATCATCAGAAGTTGGGGCTTCAGACAAAACTTGTTTTAAGAGGTTCCGGGCATTGTCAGTAGGGGCCTCGGAAGGAGACTCAACCTTCAAAAGATTGCGAGTGTCTGCAGAAGGTGCTTCAGAGACATCCTGCTTCAACAAACCACGGTTGCTGCTGCTTGGGGCTTCACTTGGGGCTTCTTCCTTCAAAAGTTTTCGTAATGAATTATCAAGGACACAAGTCCATGTTGCCACAGGTAGCACTTCAGTTTTCGTTGGATCTAAAAGAATTCCACTTGCAGGGACCGTGTTTTTCGTCAACTGTAAGATTGGGCGGTGAGGATCCTCTGGATCATTGTTGATCGAGTAGGTATTACCCTTTTCTGTTCCGGCGTCCCATGGGAACGTGTCAATTTGGAAAGCTTGTTGCCAAAATTGTTGTGTTGGGTCGACCGGACTGTAGTTGTACAATCCAGTGAACCAATCTGGACTTGGTCCCGCCATGCTGATGGTTGACAACAGGGGAAAGTCAGGAGTCAATGAAATCGAAGCGAATCTTTGAGGTGGGTCGATCGAGTTGAATTGATTGTTACCAATGACCAGTTCTCCCGCCACGCCTCTTGCTTGAGCGCTAGTCACTTCGCTGGCAAGTATGGAAGTTACGCCTCCCTAGTTTTGCGCACAACGTGGATGTTTTCAAAATGAAAATGTAAGTTGAAAGGTACGTCAGAGAAAATAAATATTATACAGCTGCGCTGCAAATTTTTAAAACGATAACATACCTCCGCGACAGCTTCAACTCCAGGAGAAGCCAAGCTTCCTGGAGACCAAACTTCATAGTCACTGCTATGAGCAACAAGAACAGGTGCAGTCCAATGGGCAGAGCCAGATATGGATGCATAATCCACGGGATGGGTTGCCCCCGACCACCTGTTTGTGAGGACGCAGGAGTAGTTGACACTTTGGGTGGCTGGGACATTGCTGGAGACGATGTGAAGGATATCCATTTTTGGTTTTTGATTTGTTGTAGTATTGAGTTGCTTTGTATTTATTGCTTTTGCTTTGATTGCTATTTGATTTTGTGAGTAGAGAGATAATTTCGATTTGCATAAACCTGCGGATTGGAATATAGCGGGGCTTGCTGAGAAAAGTTGCTCGCGCTCTTTCAGAAATATTTTCGTTGAAGTTTCAGGGTGTCCCAACGAAGAAGCTATTTTGATTGGCGGCAGCCCATGAATCGAATTACTAAAAAAAGGAAGATATTTTTCTTCCCGCTTAAAACCCCAACCTACTACATTATTGCAGTATGTATTTTTTAGCATGTGCCGTAGGAGAATTCTTTTTGATCGCTGATGCAACATTCCTCCGACTTCTTCCGAAAGAAAAAATATACGAAAAATGAATCACTGTTTGCTTAAACTTCCCCCGTGAAGATTTTTCTGGAACATGACCGAAGCGAATACATCGAGAAAATGGATTGCAGAACGAACACATATAATATGATAACATATTCACATAGTTATATCAAGTTGAGAGCATTTCAAAGGATACTGCAGCGAATAAAATAAGGTAGAGAGTAACGATTGCTTCGTTGTATTGGCTATTGATCTAGATTTGGACTGTGAACCGCATGACAAGTAGTCGGCACCAGCGAGCTGAAACATCAGCCAAGTTTTGTCATCCATTCGTTTTGAACCTAAAGAAAAAGTCTTGCGCGAAAGTTGTGGATTGCCTTTCTCGCCTTGTAAGTGAAAAGGAAATTGGGAGAAAAGAGTCTAACAAAAATACCAGTGATAACAATAATAATCATTATAGCAAGAATGTTGTTGTATTCTAATGGGAAACACATGGCTTAAATCCACTTTAATTTACTGTACTTTATTGGAGGGATGTCCGAACCGAACCAAATCTCGCCAAGGATGGTGCCTCGTCTAGCAAGACAATCTTTTCCCTCGTTCGCGGTCGCAGGGAGGAACTCAGGTAGTTGTAGAGCTTTCGAAGCCAGGGGTGGACAGGGCCAACGTATATTCGGTAGATACGATCGGGATAGGCCTTTCGCATGAGCTGAATCATGCCGCGGGGAGCCGAGAGGGGTGGAGGGAGGCGGGGAAGGTTCGTGGTGTCTACGAGTATCACGAGGGATTCCGAGAGGGGTCCCACGGCTTCTTCGCCGACGCTCTCTCGGAGATTCCTCTCCCGGTTTTGGTTTTCCGTTCGGATCCGCTCGAGGGCTTCCTCCAAGACCAAAACGTGGTACTGAAGCCCCGCTGTCACGCCAGTTCGCCACCAGTTGAGACGAGACGTATCGGCGTGCACCACCAGCCTGCGGCAATTTTCACGACGAAAGGATCCGTCCTCGTCACGTTGGACCGCGGGATCGCGAAGATCACCGATCATCTCTTCGTCTCTTAGCACAAATGCGCCGCTGGCGCAGACCTCTACCAATTCGGGGGTCGGAACAAAGTGGCTCTCGCGGATCGTCCCGTTCTCGGAGTTGGTGGATACCGGAGAATCATCGGAAGTTGTGGGTGTCGTAGCATTCACCTCTTTTGGTTCTCGAACGCCCCCTTCGGGATCCGAAGGTTCTTGGGCATGCGCAGGAACAAAAACCCCGCCACCGTTTGTTGCCGGATGGGTTTCGCTCCCACCACCCTCCCCCCGGACGTGGAGAAACGCACTTCGCAGGTCGTCAACTCCGTAGCATCTCCGCCACTCTAGCGATTCCCGGACCTTCCGGTGAATTGCGTAATCCAGGGATCGCCCTGGAACGCTCGCCACCGATTCGAGGTAGGCGTCGGAGCAGAGGGCGTCGATCTCCGGAAAGTCTTTTCGGAGGGCCTCCCGGATTCTCGACGCGCCATCCCCTGCTGGTTCGGGGAGGGGTGGGGGGAGTGGGGCTCCTCCCCCCCGGGCGACAATCATAGGAACGGAAGTGGCTGCTCCGACGACCGAAATGGCCGACGCGGCGATGTGGAACTGCCTGCACCTTCCAAACGGTCGTCCTTTATGTCCCATGATAAGATCGGACCGACCCGATCCGTAGTATTGCTCCGTAGGGATGTCATTCGATCCCAAACCCCGGTCGTTCGGTTTTGTGTTTTGTTGCTTTCGACGATGGTTTCTTTGTATCATGTATCGCTTCTTCGTCGATGGATATGATTGATCTTGTCGGCAAAAGAAGGAATTTGGGACCCATCGTCTTCTCGTTTCAGAGAATCTTTTCGTCAGAGGAATGACATCTGTTTTCTCCGAATATTGTTCACGATTGAAGTAACTGCTACTGTATGTATGACTACCTTTAAACAGTACATATGGTATGATCATTTCGAGCCATCGTATTTTTGCATTTTTCATTTTTGAGAAATTAAAAAAAATTCTGAAAAAAATTTTCACCCCCAATTTTCTGTACGACTGTCTTGGGAAAATCCAGAATCGATCAACATCAGCTTTTTGTGTCTGCAGAAGGGTCAACCAAACTAAACTGAGTAGAGCACAATGGAACTAAAGTACTACCGTATGATGTTCTCTCACAGGAAAATCGAATACAACGCCCGGGGTCGTCAAATAAGGATGCGACGAGATAGAGCCATTGATAGGAGACGTTCGGAAAAAAGTCTAACAGCAGTTCTAGTGAGTTATGCGAAACACAAGAGAGTTGAGTTACGCTGGTTCTTCGTTCCGTTTATTTGAGGAGTTGCTCGTTTGTTTGCTCTACGGGAACGAGATTTCGATGGCGGCACGGTGGAGCATATGGCTTCACTTTGCTTCGATCCGGGGCACAGACCACCCTGCGAAACAAAGAAAGGTATCCCCTCGGCACATCATTCTTCCCGTCGGTAGCTGTTTCGTCGGGTATCCGTTGCTCTAGTACTGTGGTTGTGGGTACATAGGTGAATTCCGAAGTACCTCGTCTTGTGCGTGTCTAAACAATAGATCGATAGATTTGTCGATTCCTCCGCTGTGTCGAACGCACATACATGCAGGATGAATGGTTCGCGTGTGGCCGGACACATGGCTTTCTGGCTGGCAGATAGCTTGCCGGAGCCGAACCGGGTGTTGTTTCGTTTTGCAATTGTTCGTTCGCTTGACCTTTCAGAAGGCGCCCCGTTCCTGGCTCTTGTTGGTCAGCCGCCAAACCTGCTTCAGGGCTCCGTTGTCGTAGTAGGCCTGGTTTTGCCTCTGGATCCGGCTTCCGTGGACCTCTGGTGGTGTTGGTCTCTGGCGTTGGCGCTGCTGGAGCTGCCGCCGCTTCTGCTGGGGGCTTGTGCCGGCACCAGCGCTCGCGTGGCCGTTCCCGCCGCTTACGTTGGACCTCGGCAGGGTGGAAGCCGACGCACGGGCGGTGGGAATCTCGGTGCCGTTGCGGTACCGTTCTAGGTCGGCCTGGTAGGAATCGTTGCTTTCCGTTGCCGCTGTTCCGACAGACCCGCGGCGGCCGCAGCCAAGGGCCCCCGTCGAAAACTCGGAGGATCGCGGAGTGGTGGGTGGGCGGTGCCCGTGCGTGCGTTTCGGCTTCCGGGCTCCCACCCGCACCACCTTGCTGTGCTTCTCGCAGTGGCAGGTGCAGTGGTTCTGGCACCGCATGCAGTCCCCGCAGACGATCGGGCTGCAGCCGGGCAGCCCGCTGTCGCAGGCCACCGGGAGGAGGCCCCGGTGCCGGTCCCCGCAGGTGCAGTGCCCGTAGGGCTCGGCGCAGTCGATGCACACCCCCTCGACCACCGGCTCTTCCGGCGGCCTCGGGGGGGTTGCGCGTGCACGATCTGGGTTGCGGTGGGAGGGGAATACCCCCCCGTTGTCTACGATGTCGTCGTCGTCGTGGATTCTATCGCCGTAATCGGTTCCATCCTGGGACAAATCCACCGTGGAGGGAGTGTCGGGTTCCTCTTTCCTAGCCCCAACGAAACAAAGCCAGCCGCCGAGTGCTTCCCGTACAGGCGAGTCCAATCCGAGGCCGCAATTCATTCTGTGCTCTTCGATAAATGTGGTTGGGAGAGATGCGATGCGATGAGATGCGATGCGATGAGATGAGATCTACTTTGGTTGGTGAGTGGTTTTATCTGCCAGTGCGATTCGAGACTGTTGGGAGAGAAATTTGGATCAGCGAGGCCATGCGTGCTTGATTGTCGGATTCGTTTTTGGTCACAAGACAACCCGGTCCTGGAAAAAGGAGCTCCCAATCCAAGTTGCGACTCCAACAGGCTGCATACGTACCTGTACCTTTTTCGTTCGAGGCGATACTGTGAGGAAGGTGAGTCTTTTAGAGTCGGCATGCGCCGAATTTTCAAAAATACGCATTCGTGGTACCGATTTGTTTTCCCGCTCGACAATAATATCGATCCTACAATGGAACGGAAACGCTGTCGAAGCCAATGATTGTAGTAGGTACGTAGTCGTAGGTCACGCACCTCGAGGGAAGGGATGCAGGTGCAGGGCCATAATATGGCCCTCGGCATCGTCTTCTTGGACAGAAGATGGACCCGCCGTAGCCTTTTTAAAGAATCCCGTCTGTCTGACCGTACGTACGTCTGGCGACCCACGTCTGGAAGTGCGCGTATTTCTGGTTTGCCGCGCATTTAAATTTCCAGGGAGATTTGAATCAAGGTTTTTTTATCAACCTATTTTATCAATTGCTTCTGTTTTTATCATTTACCGGTAGACATCGAGTCTCATAATATTATTTATGCTCTTCAACTAATATTAAACGATATGATTTTGGTTGACCCTTTTCGAAGACCCATCCAACAGAAAATTCTACCGTAAAAACAAACGCCACTAAACTACCGAGAATTTTCCTGAGACTGCATGAAGGAACAGCCCTATGACGATTGTTTCGGAAAGCAGACTACAATACGCGTCGAAGGCACTTCCACGAAGGAATCGATGAACCCCAACACACCGGTACGGTAGTATCTGTCGACGACGGAACCACTATCCGATTGCATTGGTGCTAGTGGAGGCGCACTAATTTAACGGCGGTGGCTTCGTAGCATCCTGTCTCGATATTCTCGGTCCGATAGCTCAGATAAAAAACCATTGCCACTCGAATCATCTGCTCACGGAATTTCAATGGGAACGGCTCTAAACGAACGATCAAAGAAACGAACAAGAAACAAACACGCGCACCATGAAGAGAATACTGGGGAAGCAAAAGGCAAAACAGAAAGAACGCGACGACGACGATGAAGACATCGGCGGTGGGGATGCCGACGTCAACGCTCATCACGACGAAAACCTCGAATCCTACCGCAGCAGCAGCGAAACCACCACCGACGGCCCCGAAGACGACGCCGACGAGGTGTACCGGCACGCCGAAACGGACTACGACCAGAGAGAACGCGGCAGCGACAGTGACAGCTATGGCAGCGAGTTTTCGGAACCCTCCTCCGGCGACGAGGAAGACGACGGCGACAGCTACGAGAACGAGGGCTTCGACGAGGACTACCAGGCGCGGTACAGTTTTGCGCCGGATGGCGGAGACTACGGGATCGATCCCGGGGACGCCAGCCACCACGTGGTCCTGATGGAGGACGAGGAAGACATGGGGGATTCGACCATCAACCACAGCGGGAACACCACCCTCGAAAACAGCAAGAGCAACAGCAATAGCAACAGCACCGGAAGCAAGCACCGCCACAAACCCCGCGGCGGCAGGAGGAAGGAGATACTCCAATCGGGAGACGACACAATCGACAGCAAAAAGGTAGACCACGACCAACAGCAGGAACAAGAAGAAGAAACACCCGCCAAGAAGGTGAAGAAGAAACGGGGATTTTTCGGCAGGCTGTTCGGCAAAAAGGCCGGCAAGAAGGGGACTGGCTTTGGCGACAGCAAACGGTCGCTGGTGTCCGCGGACTCGGTCTCCAGGGCCTCCTCCAAAGAGAGCAAGGCCAAGAAAAAGAAAAAGCGGAAAAATCAACGAGAGGAGGAAGAAGAAGACCAGCACGACGTCCCCGTTTCGCCGAGCATCGCGGACAGCGAGGGGCAGTCCTACAGCGTCATGGACGACGAGTGGCAATCGCAAACGGGCGAAAACCAGTCCTACGCCTACTCCGTCGTCATCGACGACGGGTCGCAGTCCTTTGACGACGACGGATCGTCTTCTACGGCTAGCCAGTCCCTCTACCGGCAGAAAGGCGTCAAGGGGAAACAGAGAAAGAAGTACTTCCACCAGATGCCGGGGGTGGCCGAGGAGGACGAGGAATCTTACAACCCAAGCATGCCGGGGGAAGAAGGGGAGGACGATGAATCCTACAGCATCAACATCGCGGACGACGGGTCGTCCTTCACCACCTTCCAGACCATGGAGGACCAGAGGGGGCTACAGTACCCCCCCATGGAAACCCTGCGGGAAGAAACGGACGAAGACCAAACGGTGGACAATTCCGCGAGCTTCCACTACAACAGCAACGAAGAAGACACAGACATCGGCCACGACATCGACTCCATGCACCGATCGGAACGGGTCGGGGACCCCGATACCGAGGGCTTCGATGCCGATGCAGAGGGCTTCGATGCCGCCACTTTTGATGCCGCGACCTTCGATGCCGCCACTTTTGATGCCGCGGCCTACGATGCAGAGAGCTTTCTTTCCAACCTGGCAAAGAAGTCGGATCTGAAACCCTCCAAACAGAACAAACCGTCGTCGAAGCGATCGTCGAAGCGTTCCAAGAAGCCGTCGTTCGATGCCGATGCAGAGACCTTCGATGCCGACACTTTTGATGCCGCGGCCTACGATGCAGAGAGCTTTCTTTCCAACCTGGCAAAGAAGTCGGATCTGAAACCCTCCAAACAGCAGAAACCTTCGTCGTCTTCTTCACTGAAGAACAAACCGTCGTCGAAGCGATCGTCGAAGCGTTCCAAGAAGCCGTCGTCGAACAAAATGCCTTCGATAAGCTCCTACGCTCTGCCGCCGCTCCAAAACATCAACGCCTTCCAGCACTCTCTGGGCACTCAGAGCAGCGGAAACAGCTCCCCCGCCAGCACCGATACCCCCTTCTCGGTGGTGCAGATCCACGACCTCCAGACCGAGGTCGACAAGCTCAAGATGCTGGTGAGCCTCTTGGTGGAGCGGATGGAGCTCTACGAACGCCAGTCAGAGTGCCTGGTGGAGGCCAGCGTCGCGCACAACACCAAGTGGAAAAAGGCCACCATCCGAAAGTACGACCGGTCCAGCAAGCGCAAGGCCTCGCAATCCTCGTCGGTGGCCCGCCTGTCCACCATCAAGGGCCTCATGGAGGAACAAGGCGTGATGGACACCTGGATCAAGCAACTCGAGACGGTCCAGAGGGGCTACAGGGACCGGCTGGAGGCGACGACGAACCAGCTCAAGGCCCTCCGTTACGAACAGATGCTGACCAACAAGCAGATCATCGAGCTCAAGCGAGAAAAGAGCAAGGCCAGGCACACCTCCGTTTCCAAGTACGCGACGGTGATCGAGGTCCACAACAAGCCCGGGTCGTCTGCCGCCCCGAGCAGCAGCAGCGGCGACAGCGGCAACAAGGGTGCCAAGCGAGATGCGACGAACCGGGCCCAGCAGAACTCCCTGGTCGAGGACATGATGTCGAACTGGCAGGCGGAGCAGCAGCACACCTCGGCGGCCCTGGGGCCCCACTTCATCGGCAAACCTACCAGCCGGAGCAACAGCTTCACCAGCAGCCACGCGGGCAGCAGCTACACGAGCAACAGCAGGAGGAAGAAGAAGGACAGCAGAAAAAAGAAGAAAAAAAAGAAGTCCGAGGCATGAACAAAAGAGTGGACGGGACTTTCTTCTCTATTGGGAACAAGATGGGGTTGATGCGTGGAGCTGCTTGCATCCGATCGGCAGAATTCGAAGGTCGTCAATGGCTTGAGGTTTGCGTGCTATCTAATGACTAATCTAGTGTAATAGTGTTGACGTAGTAATACAATAAAATCGGGATCAAAAACCACTCGTCCGAATCGTATTCTTTCCATTCCATTACTGTATTTGTAGCGTACAGATTTTTGTTTTTGAGCAAGGTGTTTTGAGAGCTTCGGTTTGTTTCTTCGTGCTCGTGTTGTATCTAGAATAGTATTCTTTTTGTCTACTGTTTTTTCTGCATCGTTTCCGATGGGATCGTTCCAACGAACGAAAGACGATCCGGCGTTGCACTCGGTGTGTTCGCCCGCAACAGCCGGTGCCGGCCGCTGCTCCGGATCGTTTTTTCTGCTTTTTTGTGGAAAGCGCCGGCGGGCCCGGATTCTAAAAGGTTTCCACGGTCGTAAAGCCCCCGCTGCCGCTGGGGACAAAGCCGCCGGTGTTGGTCGCCTCCTCCGACGACTTGAAGGCCGAGTTGAGCTGGTCCATGATCTGCTTGCACATGCCGGCCATGGTCTTTCCCTCCTCGCTGGTCATCTCTTGCTCGTTTCGCATCGCGTCGATGTCACCGTGGAGGGTCCGGAGGCCGTTCTTGATCTTTTCGAGCTTTTGCTTGTAGGCGTTGCGGTCGGCCCCGCCGCCGCCGCTGCCGTTGGCGTCGGTTTCCTGGGCCAGCCTCTGCAGGCCGAAAAAGTGCCGGAGGAGCTCGCTCGCCCGGCGAAAGTACGAGTGGAGGCGTTTCTTGAAGCCGACCGGGAGCGCGTTGACCACCTCGAGGGTGTCCGCGTCGGTCCGGGAATCCAGCTGCATCCGCTTGGTCAGGGCCTGCATGAGCTGGTGGCCGTGCCTGGGTGGGGGAAAGGCCATGCCGAGCCGGCTGGACGACTCGCTTCCGTTCGAAGGAGACGACGAGGCGGCCCTGCCCCCCGAGGAGGCCCTGGCCCGGTGGTCCTCGAGGAGCTTGTTCATTCGCTGGTTCATGAGGTTGGCAAACATGGCGCAGCGCTTGGCCTCCGCCGCCCTCTGCTGCTCCTGCTGGTTGTCGCAACTTTCGTTCGAAGGGGCATCGCCGCGGTTGTAGTAGGCACCGACGTTCTTGAGCGTGAGGGCCTCGTAATCGTCCGAGTCCCCGATCCCCAGCGCGTGGTTGGCCTGTTCCTCGCTGGCCTCGGCAAAGCCCACCAGCCGGCGCATCTCCTCGTCCCAGCCGCCCCCCGGCTCGGCGTCCTGGTCGTTGGGGATCGCGTCCCGGACGCTGTGCCGGGCGACCTCCATGAGGTTGCTCCCCGCCACGGCCTCGTCCGGGTTGAGGACCATGGCCCAGTGGCGGTTGTACTTCTGGATGACCTTGGCCCCGATGGTGCTGGTGGCCTCGTCGCCGGTCCCCCCGGACGCGCTGCCGTCGTAGTGGGGGTGGTTGTCCTTGGGGCCCTCCAGCAGGTTCCCGCGCTCGGTCTCAAAGGTCGAGGCCAGGTCGAACTGGCCGATGGCCAGCCGGGACCCCCACCTCCGCCGCTTCGAGGCCGGTTGCTGGGATTCCGACGACGACGACGACGACGACGCCGGCGCCGAGGGATCCTCGCCCTTGTCCCCCTGCGAAAAGCCCCCCTCGTCGGGCTTTCCCGACGACTCGCGGAGCTTCTGGTCGTACCGGCTAAAGATGTCGTCGGCGGCGACCACCGCGGCCCGTGCCGCCTGGTCCTTGCTGGCGTCGGCCTGCTCCTTGGCCTTCTTGGGGTCCACCCCGTCGGGGACGCCCTGGCCGCTGGCCAGCCTCCCGCTGGCGGCCCCCACCCGGCCGCGGTCCCGGTGGAAGTACTCGCTCTCCAGGTACTTCCTCCAGAACTGCTCGTCGCTGAGCTCGAGGGGGACCTTTTCCTCGTAGGCTTTGTGGACGGCCGGGTAGAGGATGAAGATCTGCCGCATCTCCTCCACCCCAAGGGTGATCCGGCCCGTCAGCACCTGGAGGTGGGACTGCAGCAGCGAGGAGGTCCCGGCCCGGGTGATCCCCGAGATCCGCGCGTATTCCTCCTCCAGGAGGGACTTGTGCGTGGTCCAGAAGTCTTCTTCGCTGACCGTCTTGGATTCCTCCACCAGGTACCTGTGCTGGGACCGGAGGGAGGGGTTGGAAGCCAGCAGGCTGGACCGCGTGACGGCCTCGGAGGTCGGGTCGAGCTCTCCGTAGGAAACCGCGGTGGTGTTTCCGGTGGCGAGGAGCGAGGCGTTGGAACGGGAGCCCCTGCCGGAGGACGACGAGGCGGAGGAGGGCGGCCCGCTGGCCTTGCGCTTGGTTCCGTGGCCCGGGCCGTCGGTGGTGTGGCTCTGGCCGTTTCCGTTTCCGTTCCCGTTGGCCGGCCCGGAGGGCGTCGCGGGGGGTTCCTGCCGGAGCACCGGGGCCGTCTCGGAGCGGGAGACCCGGATGCGCTCGGTGATCTCGTTCCGGGCCTTTTCCAGCCCGGGCCGGTCCCCCAGCTGAAAGGTCAGCGGCTTCCCGGCCCCCTCGACCGGAAGGATCTTGAGGAGGGCCCTGGGAAAGTTTGCCGGGCTGACCTGGTGCTTGGCCACCTTATTCCAGGAGATCTCGGCCATGGGAGCGCCGCCCGGGTCGTCCGGAAGGGTGGTCTCGAAGCGGAGCCCTCCCCCGTGGAGGCAGAGCTTCCCCTGCTTCTTTTTGTGGAAGACGGGGGCGTAGACGCTCTCCGGCGGCAGCTCGGAAGCCATCCTGGCGAACCGCTGCCGAGTGGTCTCGGGCTGGTTCGGATGGAATCGGGAAGGAAAGGGACTGAGTGGAACGGTACAAGGCTAGGCTAGGCTAGACCAGACTAGACTAGACCAGACTAGACTAGATCAGACTAGACTAGGCCAGGCCCGATCGGGATACCGACCAAGGGAATGGATCGTCGCTTTCGCTTGTTGCGCAACCGGCGGAACCACCGAAAAGGAGCCAGAGCCACGGCTCAATGCTTTGTTCGTTGAATCGGTTGGAGTGTGGTGTGGTGTGGTGTGGTGTGGTGTGGNGTGTGGTGTGGTGTGGTGTGGTGTGGTGTGGAGTCGCGCTTGTCCGGCTGTGCAATACAGCAAGCAGTCTCGATTCAACCCGGCAATCGCTGCGTCGGCAATGGGGTGAGAGAGATTCTTTCGTTTTCCTCTGCGGCACCGTCCCGTATGGTACGGTACGGTACGGTACGTACGGTAGGACGCATTCGACGACGGCTGATCTTGAATGTTCGGTTTCAAAGAGGTACCTGGGTACTTTACCGGTAGGAAAGGACTAAATAGTTTCGTCCGCACCCTGTATTTGGGGGCAGATTGCAAAATGCAAAAATATTTTGGGGGAGATTGGACAACCGAATTATCGGTAGATCGATCAGTCGGTCGGATCGGGTCATGAGCCTCTCGATTTCGTTCTGCCGTAGCACGGTAGTACAAGTACGTACGTGATGGTCTTCACGAAATGACAACCAATCAAATCCTTCCAGCACCCGGCACGGAACAGGAATGGCAACCGTGCGGTGCGATTGTGTAGGAAACCACGCTAGGAACCCCAAGAAATATACAGTGGTACTCGTGCGTACTAGTGCGAACGAATTCCGTCCCTCTCTTCACTGAGCGAGGTCCCAAATGAGAGAGGAGCGAAACGGCATCAAGACCTCGCGACTCTTGCCGTTGCGCACCGGAACCGAATTCTCTTCATGTCTTCGGATTCGGCTAAGCCCCCATGCGCAGCCTACGTACTAGTAGTACGCTAACGGCCTATCGTGTTAATGGATTGGTCTTTGGTGGCAGTTAGTGGAATGTATGAGTTGGTCGTATCGCACCGTAAGCTCTCTACGAGAGCTAAAGTACGATAGCATGCGTAATGAATGATTCAATTCGATTGAGCGAGTTTGTGCCAAAACTACACTGTTAGGCTTTTTCACTCGTGCTTTTTGATACCGGTAGATATTGGTTCGTTCGCTGAAGACCATTCGTAGTACGAAGTACGTACATACAGTACATCAAACCGTACCTTACTGTAGGAGCCATACAGTACTACGAGCACCGCAGCGCACCGCAATGCACCCCCCCCTCCCCAGTCAGTCCCACCCGATGGGACAAAACAAAGCAAAGCAAAACGAAACAAAAACAAAAACAAAAAAAAACAGAACTACCTCAGCCACAAGGCTCCTGGCTCTGGCATTCCAAGAATAATAACAACGAACCAACCAAGCCACCCACTTTGGGTCGAAACACACAACCCAAAGCGGCTCGCTCTTCCGGCCAAAATGAACAAGATACGATAAGGCGAGAAGACCAATTCCATACCATATCACACAAAGCAATAACCCAACACCAGAGCAATGAGTTCCCTCCGGCTGGCGCTGAAGCAATCCCTCGAGGAATCGGGCGGCGGGCCGCTGTTTTCGGGGAACGGGGACAAGAAGAAGCGCAAGAAGAAAAAGACAGGAAACCTCCCGGGCGGCGAGTCGTCGCTCGCACAGGCTTCGTCACAGCAGCAATCCCAGCAGCAACAACAACAGCAGCAGCAGCACCGCCGGGGAAAGTCCGCGTCGTCCAAGCGCAAGCGCGGGAGGCCCCGAAAGCACGGCCGCGCCGGGGAAAAGGGCCGAAAGCCGCAGGCATCCACGCTAGAAACATCCACCAAGACGAACAAGGCTACCGCGGGCGAACGGGAAGGGGACGACTTGTCGAGCGGACACAGCGAGCACGAGTTTACCGGCTCGGAGGACGAGGAGACGGACTACGACGACGACAGCGACGTGGACGAAGACGACTACGACGACGACGTGGACGACAGCGAGGTCGATGACGAGGAAGAGGGCGCAAGGAGAAACCGGAGGAGGAGCCTCGACCGGCGCCGCAAGGTGGGGGACGAAGAAGAGGACGACGACGACGATCTGGACATGGAAGACGAGCCGATGCCCAGCGACGACGACGAAGCCGGCGGGGGAAAGCCACCGCTTTCGAGAGACCGGTCGTCCGTGGCTCCTCTGTCCCTCTCCGCCCCGGCCTCGGAGGCGGCCTCGGCCGCCCTGGAACACCTACGGAAGGAGGATGCTACCGCCAAGGCGAGCGAAACGGCAGGTGCGGCAGCAACAACTACAGCAACAACGGGCCGGACCGGAAGGGATGCCCTTGGCGGCTCGGAAACCACGGCTTCCGATGTTGCCCAAACCGGAAGCCAGAACCGAAAGGAACACGAGCACCAAACCGATGCCACCGGCGGTTCCACGGCCACGGGCGACGGCAACAAAAACGCCGAGGCCTCTGCACAGCCGGCACCGTCCGGCGAAGGCACCGCGGAAGACTCGATGGAAGCCCTGAAGAAGAAAAAGCTCTCAAAACTCAAGAAGAAGCAGGAAAAAGACTCGGCGGCGCACAAAATCCAAAACCAGTGGAAGAAGAAAGCGAGGGACCTCACGGGCCAGAAACAGGCCGAGGCGGCGACCTTGCCTGCCCTTGGCAATGGGTCTTCAACGGCAGCGGCCGAAACCAAAAACGCCGCTGCCGCGGCTGGCACGGGAACACCTGCTGGCTCTGCCGAGACGGCGTCACCCGCTGATGTCGAGATGCCACAAACGGAATCGTCGCGGCCTCTCTCTGCGGAGGAGACGAAAGGAGTGCCGGACACCTCGGCAGATGCTTCGACTCTGGATCCGAACTCCAATCGAGGCGTTCCTCCACCGTCCAGCGACAAGAGAGATTCGGAGAGCGGGGACGGGAAGGACGGAGATGCCGCTGCTTCTGCTTCGGCCCCGAGGGCCGACAAGGACGGCACTAGCGCGGAGGGTCCGGACAAAACGAATGGCGGGAGCAGAGACGCCAAGACCTCCGGGGAAAGCCCCGCGGCTCCAGCGAAAGCGATCGCCGCCGGGGATGGTGGCGGGGCCTCGGGTGCCGAGAGCGATGGGGAACTTCCTCCGAGGCAAGAAGAGGACGCGGATCGGGCCACCAAGAAGAAAAAGAAGAACAAGAACAAGGATTCCGCTGCCAGCGCCAAGACCAGCGAGGGCAGCGGCATCGTCCCGGCACCGACGAGAGAGGTCGTCTTCTGGGGCAAGCAGATGCCCCAGAAACGGGCCCGCAAGGCCATCGAGGTGGGCATGCGGGTGAAGGTCCGCTTCGCCACCAATGCCACCCGGATTCGAAAGGACGGCCGCAGGGTTTCCAAGAAGATCTTTTACGGGGGAAAGGTCACGGCAAAGTCGGCCCTTGGCTCCAAGATCAAGATCAAGTACGACGACGGGACCTCGGAGGTCTCCAAGTTCCCCGACAAGGACGTGGTGGTCGATGCGGTGGGCAACGGGGAGCACGCGGTGCCGGCCGGCGACTTTTTGCCGCCGGAGGACGACGACAACATCCAGAACGGCAACGAGAACGAGAACAAGCGCGGCGAAACGGAAGCCGAAGCCGAAGGGGCAACCGCGGCGGCAACGACAACGGGTGGCATTCCCCGTCCCGAAGGCCCTCCTCCGGCGAGTTCGAAACCGAGCGCGGAAGAGGAAAAAAACCCGGGCGAAACGGCTTCTTCCGAGGACGCCGCCATCGAGGACGGAGAGGTGGAGGAAACGAAAGACACCCAGGCCGCGGAGCCTGCGAAAACAGCTGCCGACAGCGCTCCCGTTACCCCCCGGCGCGAAGCCACCGATGCGAAGGCAAAGGAGGGCAAGGCCCCCTCAGACGAGCCAATGGCTCCGGCCTTCTCTCCGGAGGAAGGAGAGCTCTCGCCCGGCATTACCTTTGCCAAGAATGGCGAGACCGACTCGCAGCAGCCACAGCCACAACAGCCATCCCTCGCGTTTTCGGCCCAATCGAAACCGGTACCCTTTTCTCCGGAAGCGGCTCCGCAGCCACCGCAGGCGGAAAAAGACGACCATCCACCCGCGGCGGGTCCGCCGAAGGACCAGGACCAGGCCCCCACGGCCCTTTCCACAGGGGAGGGTGGAGCGGGCCAACAACAGCCTCCCTCGGAACGTCCGGCGGCAGCGAAACCAAAGACGGGAAAGAAGCTCTCCATTCGAATCCCCGGCCTCGCCAGCATCACCAAGGCCCTGACCCCCAAGGCGGTGCCTCTGGCAGCATCGGCAGACGGAGCGACTAATCCCCTCGCTGCGGCCGGGGATTCCTCCGCCAAGGCGGCCGCAAAGGCCCCCGGGGACGGCAGCGGTTTGCCGGGGGCGACGGAAAAAGCCTCGGGCAAGCGCAAGCGTGAATCTCCTGCCTCGGCCCCCGCCGGGGATGCTTCCGCCGAACCGGCCACCGTGGCCGAGCCATCCACCAAGCGTAGAATCAAGGTGGTCCTCGGAAAGACCGGCCTCGGGGGAAGCAGCAGCAACACCGCTGCCCCGGCGGCTCTGGAGGCACAGGAAACGCCCGCGTCCGGAGAACCCTCCGTTTCGCTCGCTGCGGGATCCAAGAAGGACGCTGCGGTCGAGGAAGCCCCGCTGGCCCCCCCGGCCGTGCAGCCCCCAGCTGCCGAGCCAAAGAAAAAGAAGAAAAAGGCGGATCGCGCCAAGAGCCCGAGGCCGCTGTCCCCCCTCCCGAGGGCCGGGGAGGCCGAGACGGCCCAGCCCGAGGCCAGCAAGGAAAAAGCGCAGGCCGGTTCCTCCCGTGCCGGGGCCACCGAGAAGAAATCCAGGGACGACGGGCAGGCGTCGGCGAAGGCCACCGGGAACGACCCCGCGGTTCTACCGGCCGAAGCCGCGGCCCACCGGAGCGGACGAAAGGCCGCGGTGGACGCCAAGGAGAAGATGAGCGCCAAGCAAAAGGCCAAGAAGGAAAAGGAGGACGCACCCCCGCCCGAATCCGGAAAGAAGAAGAAAAAGAGACGCCGGCAGGAAGACACCGAGGAACTCAAACTCGATTCGGACAACGAGCCGAACGAGTGGGTCCAGTGCGACAGCTGCAAGAAATGGCGGGTCCTCCCCGACAACGTCCGGGCCTCGTCCCTCCCCGATCAGTGGTACTGCCACATGAACATCTACGACAAGAAACGCAACAACTGCCAGGCCCCCGAGCAGAACAACAAGGAGGTCCTGAAGGAACGAAAGGAGCGGAAACGCCGCCTCAAGCTCAAGAAAAAGGCCAGGCGCGAGGCGGAACTGGCCGAGTCGCAGCAGCCGCAACAACAACAGGGAAAGAAGGGCAAGCAGCAGCAACAACAACTCTCGGGACAGGACGACGAGGTGGCGGCGGCGTCGGCGCCACCGAGCAAGAAAAAGGCCAAGCTCGAAAAACTGAACGCGGACAAGCAAACCCCGAGGAGCACCAGCCCGAAACCTACCGGCAAGACGGTCAAGTCGAAGGGATCCGAGTCGAAGAAAGCCATTGCCGAGGCCAAGAGAAACGCTGCCGAAAGCGGCAAAAAGTCCAAGGTGAAATCGGACGACGGGGTGAACCCCACCGATTCCGGGTCCGATACGAAAAAAGAGACCAAGAAGAAGGGAAAGAAGGCCAAGAAGGAAGCCCAGGAAAGTTCTCACAGCCAGGACGCAGAAACGGGTGCCGATGGCAAGAAGCGCAAGAGGGGCCGCCCGGCTAGGAACCAGGCCATTGCGTCGGGGACGTCTTCTCCCAATGCCGGCTTTGTCGAGGACCAGGCGGACGAGGACAACGTCGAGTGGGTCCAGTGCGACAAGTGCCAGAAATGGCGCAAGCTCCCGCCACACATCAGCTCGGACGAGCTCCCCGACGTTTGGAACTGTGCGATGAACACCTGGAACCCCGATTCCGCCAGCTGCGAAGCCGCCGAGGACAAGACGGACGCCCAGCACCAGGAAATCAACGGAACCTCGGAGTGGCAGCTCCGCCAGACCCACGCCGGAAAGTACTCGTACCGACAGATGATCTTCGGGGCCGCGGCCCGGAAGCCGAACCGGCCACCGTCGGAACGGGCCCGCGCCGCCGAGTCTCTGTTTGTCGCGCAGAGCACGGACGAAGAGAACCCCGTTCCGACGACCCAGTACACCAAGTCCAGCGTCTTTTTGCCCCGGGTGTCGAACTTTAACAAGAACAATGCCACTGAGGAAAAGGCACTGGGCATCTTTGACATCTTGAAGAACTCGAACCTGTGGGACGAACTGAGGCGGATGGATCCAAACCCACCCAAGGTTCTGTCCACGGCCTGCGGGAACATCCCCGGCTACCCGGCCTCGACGAAAATGATAAAGACCTACGATTCGCTCACAGTCGAGGTCAAGCACGCGATGCAGGACGCGGTCCTGCAGACCCTCGAGTTTGGCTGTCTGAGCTCGGACGAGGTGGTTGCCAAGGCGCAGTGGTTTCCATTTGAGACGTCGGTGGTGAGGGCCTACTGCAACCCGGACATTATCGTCCACACGCTCCTGGACCTGGTCCGGGACGGCCTGGTGGAAACGAACGCGGTCCGGAACCCCTTCCTCCCCCTCTCGGAGTGGGTCCCCAGATACCGGAGGGTAGGGACCCGCCGGGCGATAGAGGCCGTGGAAGCCATCAAGGCCTCCCGGTGCATCAAGATTTCCAAGCCGTGGAAGCAGCGGGGGACCCCGAAGTCGGCTTTGGAAGAATGGGTCACCGGGGCCGGGCCGCAGCGGAGCTAGCGGGCCGCCGAAGCAAATGCATCCCCCAGGGCAATCCCCCGACGTACCGCGGGCGAAACCTTCGGTGCGACGCGATGCTTTTCTGCAGCTTGGTTTCGAACGAATCCAGGGGCATTCATATAAAAACATAAAATTTGGATTTCAACGTTAAATGACAGTCGTGTGCTTGTGACTGTATTCTGATTGTGTTGTCCGATGCGTTGCATTGTTCTGTCGGCCATTGGTGCAGTGTGATTTTTGAGTGCAAACGCGGACGATAGGTTTTGAGAATGCTATAATCGGAAAGCCCAGTGTTCCTTCAATCGTCAAAGGTTGTTTTCAGATGGGGTGGGTCTCGCTCGGTGGTGCGTCAAGCGGTACGAGTACTAATTTGGCAATTATGGATCTTCGACTTCACCCTGTAAATAAATGCCCTCAGCAGTGTTGGAGATCCAACCCTTTGTCTTGAGATTGTTGCCATTCGTTCAATTTTTGGCCATGAGGATTTTGCCATCTTACCGTTTGTTTTGGTGTTGTTGGTAGAAGAAATCAGGGTCTATTCTTTCAACTACTAGTATTTCTAATGAGAAATCCTAGTGCCGTACTTAGTAAGTACCGTAGTTCACAATAGGAATCCAATGTATGCGGAACTCGTTAGTGGAGAAATTTGAACAAGGCAAAGCTTGCACAAAGTATGCACTACCTAATTTACTTGTGCTACACGACAGCACTGCAACAATGCAACACTACTTGCTCGTATATGCTAAGGAAAAAGCAGGAAAATGCGAGTTCATGAATACTCATAGCTTCTATTATGTTCAGGCTGTTGCTACCTCTCTTAAAAGCGGGATGAAGTGGTCACACACACGCCTGCTCGGAAACCAACCACCGCACAGTTTTGTGCGAGTACCAGCCGAAGCCTGCCACCACCTCAACGCTGCATTCCGGACTCCCCTCGTCCTCAAGTAGACAATCTTTCGTTTTTCGACTGGATTCGATTCGAAACGATCCAACTACATCAGAAAGAACGCAGTTTCATTTCTTTAGTCTTCCAAAAAAACGTTCACTCTCAAGGAGTCGTTGTGAACACAACATCGCTCCACAACAGTGTGCACTGCATTGTGTATGTATCATATCGAATCTTTTTTGCCCTGTGTATACCAAAAATAGCTTCGTCTCAATACCAAAACATGGTTTTTGGATTCGCCTTCTTTTTCCGTATCACACACGTCTCTTCATAAGCATGGTATTGCAATAGAACATAATATCAAAACCGGTGCCAATACCAGCATTACTGTAGGTCCATGGCCATCCCTTCGGCTGTAGCGGCAGTCGACGACCGTGCCAATGCCGCATGGCAATCGGCGGGGGCAATCCCAACCCGGTGCCGGCCGGGCAGAGTGCTGTCGAACAGCAAATCGTACCCAAAAAAGGCATTGGTGCCCAACACGGATCCCGCCGACTCTTCAAAGTAGAGACGATTTGCGAGCTCCCTGGATCCCTTCCAGGGCACAACCCAACCCGTTTTGGAATCGATCGGGACTCGTTCCATGTAGTGCAGCGGCAAAATATCTACCGTCGCGTTGTTGGCCAAGACCACCGTCACAGTCGGTAGTAAGGCTTGGAATTCGGCGTATGTGTACATTCGATGGCGCCACTTGTTGGAAAACAAGTCAACGTTTTCCGCATTGTATCCGTTGCCGGAATCGTTGTCGTGCAGATTGCTGCTGCTTGCGTAGTCGATGACAGCCTTTCTTACTACCCTGGCTAGACTCGAGGGAAAGTAGGAATCGGTCGTTCCCGAATCTAGTATGCAACCCTTGCCGGCATTCATGTCGCGGAGCAATTTTGGCCGGGTCTCGCTGTCAGTGATGACGATGCTTTCCTCGCCGCTGGGATCGCTGCCTCCATTTCTCCCCACCAACAGGCGAATCACCTCCACGCTGTAATATCCGTGGTCCTGCTGCCGGGTCAAGGGAGTTGTCACTATGGGCCGGAAATGATACTTTTTAGGATCCAGGGTTCCGCCTAGGGACATCACCCCGCCCTCGTGGGTAAAACACAGCGAAAAGGCATTCTGGGGAATCAAGCCCTCCCCGTAGAGAGCGGTTACGATCGAAGTATTGTGGATGGACAATCCTAGAATCCCATCGGCGTATTGCTTTTGGAAGAGTCCCTTGCTGGAGGTCTGGCAGCCAAAGGGATAGGCAATTGCAAGTTGCGGCAGAAATCCCTCGACGCTTTCCACCAAGTCTTCCGAGCCCAGCCAAACTATGTCTTCCACTTCGGTGGCTGTCCAGGAGGATCCTTCCGTGTATCGTTGAGTAAAAGTGCAGAAATTGCTGTTGCCTTCCGCTCCTTGAAGCGATGAATCGAGACCAAAAGAATAGAGCGGGCACTTGGAAATCCCCTCTAAAAGGCAGTCTCCACACTTTGTGATGCGATGGGTTGTGGACTGAAAGGGATCGAAATAGGGGCTCGCGTGCGATCCACAGCATTCTGTGCAGGTTTCGCAGGTCTTGCAGGGAAATGCCATGGCTTTCGAGCCGGTGTCAACGATCAGGGTTTGGCGCTGGGGCGGAGACCCAACGTACACGTGAACGTGCCATGTTCCCGAGTGAGCGTGCAGGGGAATCGTGACATTCGACGACAACACCGCAGGATCGGCAGCAGAAATAAGATCGGAAGAATCAACCCCCGGAGACGTCCAAGACTCTCCGGTTCCAACATTGCCACCACGGAGTCCATGTTCCAGAAGCTTTCGATTCTGGTGATCGTCGGTGTTGCTATTTACCGCATGGCCATCATTCTCTACCACAATAATTGTTGGTATAATCAACGGAAGCAAAAAAAAAGCGACACTCCACCAACCAGGATACCGCCGCAGCATCTGGAATCTTTTGACCATTCGATTTGAGTACTTCCTGCTGCAACGTTTCTCCGATCTCCGATTCCGAAAGCGATTCCCCCTGCGAAATTGTCGTTGTTCCTATCGCTTTCATCGGCAACTTCAACGGACACCCCTGGTATTGCGTCCGAGTTGAAAACGACCTTGTACTGTGTAATACGGCAGGGTACCAAGTACCGTACATTACCGTACGAGCACCCAATTACAGTAAAGTACGTACCGTACGGTACTTAGATTTCGGTACCTACCGTACGTACCAACCGTGACTTCTGGTTTGAATCGTACTACTAGTGGGTATTGAATAACCTCAACCTTAACTAAATTGTGAACGACTCATTGGCTCGACAACGCAAATTGCTTTTTAGGGTGACGTGAGTGCAAAGGTGAACATTATTGTCAAGTAAAGTACTGTGCTCATACTGGGCCCTCCGGAACCAACGCGCGCGCGTCCCCCCTTTGAAATCTAATATCGGGGGTATGATTTCGTGGGGTTTTTTTCACAAAAAATAACCCACGTTTCTAAAACGTGGGTTTTTTTTCCCAAACAATAACCCACGTTTTAAAACCTGGGTTGGGTTAACCCACAAATAACCCACGAATAACCCACGAAATAACCCACGAAAAACCCACAAACCTGCTGGGCCTTTCTCCAAATATTAAAAACAGTGATTAAATAACGTTAATGACTAAAATACTTAACACCCTTGGTTCTCCATCAACCCAGATGACTGTAAATTCGTGGGTTATTCGTGGGTTCTTTCGTGGGTTATTTGTGGGTTCCTGGGTTCTTTCGTGGGTTATTTTTCAAATTAAAAAACCCACGTTTTAGAAACGTGGGTTATTTTTCACCAAAAATAACCCACGTTTTTCTAGGGGAGGAATTCGAAAAGGGGGATGTGCGCGTGGGTACCGGAGGGCCCTGGGTTAACATGGACTCTACACCCAAAAAATTCTTTTTGTTTCTTATGGAAGTCCACATTTTCGATACGAATCACTCTTCTGGCAAAGCAAAGGATCTATTCCTCCGACTTGAAAGAAAAATGAATCCTATTACGTACTAATTGTCGTAGTACCCGGGACTGCAACTCTGTTTGAACTAGTAGTACAACGAATATTTAATTATCATCATGTTTGACTAATTGGCCATAATTTTGAATACTTATTGTTATAATACGCTACCAAGTACGTACTGTAATAGAAGTAATTATTAGCGACAAGCAAGCATAAAACTTCATGAAGTTTGATTTTAGTTGGCAATTTCAGCAACGAAGCTCCCACCACCCTGATATTATTTTACAGTAAAGTACGAGAATGCACTACTAGTAGTATGTATTCCCTCGAGCATTTCAACAATTTCAACGAGGAGAAAATTCTGGCGGGCGAACACTCCGTACACTCTAGCATAGATTTTTTTTCCATCGTTCTATTCTGCCACGAACGCGTGCTAGTCAAGCACTCATGTACTGAGGAATTTTACAGCAGAAGGCAAACAATTAGTGCATTCTCATTACGACAGGCATAGTCTTTTCCCTTCGGCTTGCACCTTTGCATGCATCTCACCAAAACTTTCAGTCAATCCCCTAGATTCGACGTACGCCAGAGCCGTGGCTCCGTGGCTCCTTTACGACAAATACCAACAGACAGTCCCACGCACCAGCAACTATGGCAGAGGCAATGATAAGCAACAATACAGAGTCGAAGACATCACCCAAGTCGATGCCTGAGCCGCCCTCGATGGCAGAATCATCAGCCACCAAGCGAAAAAAAAAGCGCATGTCAATGAATTCACCAATACATTACCCAAGTCGATGCAGCTGAAAGTACCTGACGCATCATCATTAACATCGAATCTGCTGAGAAAGACCAACCAGAGAAAGAAAAAAGATACCGCGTTGTCAAAAATCGACAAGACGGTACCTTTCGACATGGATCTCGATTTTGAAATCGGTATTAAAGACATGAACAAGGATTTGAACGCGAACGAGCATGATAGCAAGGACGCATTCATACGTACGCAAAAAGAATTCGAAGGAGATGTGCCCTTGATAGCTGTTGCATTCTTCATCATTGTAGGGTTTTTAATTATGAGTGCCATCGCTGCCGCGCTCGATATGAACGATAGTTACCTTGACGCATCGCCAGTATCCATATACAGTGGCGTTTCAGCCGTTGTTTTCGTTTCATTGTGGCTGTACAATTACACACGGAATATGAAAAAGAAAAACGATGAAAATGACAACATAAGTTACACGGATGATGACGAAAAGAAATTTCCGGCTGACGCGTACTCTTTCGTGGCCCTCTTCAGCCCATGGAAGGACTCTGACGTGTTTTGCATTGGGATGATTGTCTTTCTTTTCCAATCGACCTTGTTTTTACTCATGATACTGAGTGTATTGTGCCCAGGTTGGAGATCAACGGGAGTAACTGATAATCCAGATTCTGATTTTGAGTCGCATTGGTGGGCTGGCTTCTCTCCAGCGAATGCTTCACCAATCGTCAAAGCGACACAGATTATCGCACTTCTGTCTTTCGTGGTTTTCCCCGAAGCCAGTTTGTTGGATATATCCTCTGGAGTTGAGATATATCCGGACCTGTGGAGAAGGAATCTAGATGAAAGCACATTGCTGATTGCATTTTCTTGCACACTACGCATCATACAGGGCCTGTTGGCAATCTTGGCAGTGTTTCTCTTGGTCATAACCTCATCAAATGCAACGGAGATTATTCTCAATTTTACTGCGGTGAGTTACAGCAGATGATCGGAGAAAATCATAATATTGTTCAGGAGACAACTAAGACTTACTTTCGTTTTCTGGAATTTTCTACTTTATCTGAAATAGGTAAACTTCATTTCATTGTTGGATGACATTGCTTTCGATTTAGCGAAGGACGGCAAATATGGACGAAAGTTGAAAGTAGCAGCAAAAAGGGTAGAGAATGAGGCCCTTCCTAGATACACCGTCTCCAGGAACAGTTTTCTACGACACAAAGTCTCTGTTTGTCTTGTCTCTATTATTCTTTTTGGAATGCTGAGCTATGTTATTTTATGTCAAGAGAGTAGTCAGACGTGGATAACGCGTATAGTTCAAATCAGATTCGGGAACAAAGACTTCAAAGCCCTGAGCGGATGCTATGATATAATTGATGAGTTGACTAATGACGGACGATATAACTACGAGATATCAGACAAACTTCATCAAACCACTCGAATGCGATTTGGTTACTGCAAGAAAAGTAGAAGATGGGTTCTTTTTAGTGGTCGGCACCTTAACGGTACTGAGTTTGATGATCCCTGTTTGGCTGATGAATATGAAATAAAAGCACGTTCGTCAAAGACAGATTCGTTCGACATAATGTACTCTCTTGATGAACCATGGTATTCGCCATCCGGTGAAGCTCTTGATTTTACACTTGTTGACCTGGAAGACAACCAACAAAAGTGCAATTCTGTCGTTGGCGACGGACTTTGCAATGAATTCTTTAATAATGAATACCATCGATATGATGACGGCGATTGCTGCTTCATGACATGCAATTCTACTAACTGCGGAAAGAATGGCTATAAATTTACGCCCCTATTCGGTGTGACCATTGCCGCAGCAGATGGATATCCTCGCTGTGATCTCAAAGCTCCAGACTCAGCCGGTCTGAAATATGTGTTTATTCGATTAGATTCGATTTCAATAAGTGACAGGGAGTCGAATCCTTTTCTAGTTTTAGAATGCGATGGAAAAATGGTTTTCTCCATTCCAGTAGACCAGGAAATGCAGAACAAGACTGAGAAAGCGATAGTCCCCAAGGAAGGAAAATGTACCCTCAATTTCGAACTCAAAAGATCACAGGAGATTCGGGAATTCTCGTGGGATTTGAACTACAGCATATATAGTGCGGGGAAAGATTATATTTACCGTCAAGAAATGGGAGAGAAAATTTTCAAGGGTCATAGTTCCAGCGAGAAAAGCAAGGAATATTTCTCATCTTGTAAGTCGTTTGTTATGAGTTTTAGTGTGATAGCATTGACAAAGGGAATTTATTCGTTATCTAATTCGACATCATGCGATTGTGTTTGGTATTCTTTCAGATGACTTGGGAAGTGAAGATCACTTATCAAGCAACATAGGAACGCTACTCCACGGCAACACATCACTAGATCTTTGTGCGTTGAATATGACAGTAAGAAGTCGAATCTCAAAATAGATTTGATGAGATGATCACCCGCTTGATACATGTTACTATGTTCTGGAAACTTATCAATTGTTTTTTAAATTGTCGTCGTAGATGATATGCAGCTTGACGGAACTCTTCCAACAGAGATAGGACTGTTGACGGACTTGACTTCAATAAACTTGTGTACGTGCAAGGATCTCAACAGAGTCACGATATTACTTTATTGTTATTCGATCTGATTCCAAATTGTGTTTCTAATTTCTGTGATGAATACTGCAGGCGGAAATTCATTCAAAGGAGGTCTTCCGAGTGAGATTGGTTTCCTAACAAAATTAACTGAGTTTGATATCGCTTGTAAAGATATAGACGGTGGCAATGGTAAGAAGGAGTACCTTGAGCACCTCCACTCCGATGGCCTAACTTTTCAACTTATTTCAATCTCAAATCTTCGTTTTTGTCACTATTACAAATACAGCCAATATTACAGATGGGTTAAGAGGAACGCTACCAACTGAAATTGGATCGCTGTCAGATTTAACTTCAATCAGATTTGGTGAGTGGGTTTACCTTGAGCGATTGACACTACTGTATTAAAATTCATTTGAAGTATTTTTTGATCTAATCGCAGGTTCTTTTATTTCAACATAGGCATAAGATCCTTCACGGGAACCCTTCCGAGTGAGATTGGCCTAACCAAATTATCAGAGTTGGATTTTCGTACGTAAAAATTGTTGAATTTCATCGCTTTCATTGGCACCAATAATTTTTGGAGGAACTTCCAAACTCATCAATTTCTTTTAATTTTCGCCGCAAAAAATTCAGACAAAAGTTCTTTCACAGGTAGTCTTCCAAGCGAGATTGGGTTGCTGACTAACCTCGCTAAGTTAGATTTTAGTACGTGGGAGTACTGGTACCACGAACACTTTTTGTTGCAAACCATCGCCTTTTTAAGTTTCATCTCATCGCACTTTTCTCATTTTCACGTGGATATTGCAGATCAAAGTAGCTTCACAGGCGATCTCCCAAGTGAGATTGGGTTACTGACCCAATTATCTGAATTAAGATTTTGTATGTGAGAAAATGTTTGAGAACCTCCGTGCTGTGAATGTTTTGAAATGTTATTCTATCATCTACTCAAAAGTTTTTGGATTTTCCTTTGCGCGTCACAGACAATACTTCTTTCACTGGAGTTCTTCCCACTGAGATTTGGTCGCTGACCAACGTGAGCAAAATATGGTGTGGTACGTGGGAGCATGACCACCTCGCGGAATTCCCGTAGTACTAGCCAATCTCAAAATTTGACTTCTCACAATATTTTTGCACTGTTTACGCAGGAAATAGTACCTTTAACGGAAGCCTCCCGAGTGAGATTGGGTTCCTGACCAAATTAACTTCGTTAGTGCTCTGTACGTGCAAGAATCTTGGGTTATTTCTTAACTTTCGATCCCCCGTCTCATTTTTGATTTTTCTTGTTGGTACGAATACTGCAGTTAATAGTGGTTTCAAAGGAACTCTCCCGAGTGAAATCGGGTTGTTGACCAGATTAACCTTTTTACGTGTTGGTACGTTGATAAACTTACTATCGCCAATAATCATTAGGAGCTTTTTCGATCTCATCAGATATTTTCATCTTGCCGATACTCTTTACAGATAATAATCATTTCACAGGATCTCTCCCAACTGAGATCGGGTGGTTGGCCCAATTGGTTGATTTGAAAATAGGTACGTTGGAGTAAACTAATCATTTTGCCGTTGCAAAGCATGGAAGGAGCTTTTTACTATCTCATTCCACTTTTCTGATTTTGGTGACAAATTTCTCAGACAGTAATAGTTTGACTGGAACCTTTCCGACCGAGTTTGGGTATATGATGGGTCTTCACTCACTTCAAATTCGTACGTAAAACAAAACTGAAAGTTCTTTTTAATATTGTTTCCGACCGCATTGGAATGTCCGCGAATCTCATGTGATTCTTGTCATTTCTTCTGTAGAGCATAATAATTTATTAGGGACTATCCCGAGAGAGATTGCGAAGATGGCGAGTTTGTACTCGTCAGATTTAAGTATGTAGAAATGGCATGCCAATGAGGATCGTTTCATACATTTCAGAATGATTTTCGTCTCATCATTTTATTTTTTGGCTTCGCTTTTGCAGGGAATAATAGCTTTACCGGAAGTCTCCCAAGTGAGCTGTCGAGCTCATTTTGGAGTTTCAATTTAGGTATGTGCACTTGATCGATTCCCGCACACCCCATTATTTTCTTACAATTTTTGCGACTCAACCGAGGTTTTCTGTTTTTGTTGAAAATTCTAGATGGAAATAATTTTTCTTGCCCCATACCGCGAGGCGTCGTTTATACCGGTGCATGTGGTGCAGAGGAACATGACCAAACAAATGAGGAAGAATTGGATTGGTATACGTTGTGAACTGTATCGATTGATGATGATGATGTCGTTTTGATTCCCATTTAAATCTGTAAGGTTGGAACGTTGGGTATAACGAAATGATGAGGAAAGACCAGAGAAAATGAAAATTGTCGTAGCGATAAATACGCTGCGTGATTCAAAACACTACTACTTTGGATTGAACCTTGTTGACTTGATATGCATGCTGGTGAAAACAATAATATGAATACTTGTAGTTGTCATGAATTAGATTATCTACAACGCGAAAAGTGAGCTGTCTTATTTTCGTGAAAATTCAGAATACCTCTTCGATTTCAGCGTGTACGGGTAAAAACAGAAACGCACGTTAGAGTACTGTAATGCGTACATAGAAGTACATAGGGACCGTACCGTACCATACGTACTTTCCTTATTTCTTGTCCTAACGTCATTTTTTACTCTTCGATGAGATCGTTTCTGGAGTGAAAAAAAGTACACGTACGTAACGGTACGGAACGGAACGGTACTTCGTACAAAGTACTATTCGTACGTAGTCATTGGTATACACAAGGAGGTACAGTATTTCGTATTTCGTACTACTACTACTACGGTAGGTATGGTACGTCCAGCCTACGAATTGTGCTCGGCCCTGCATGAGATTGGTTCTGATTGATAATCCACTCAGTACCGGGCGGAAATGTCAAGCATGCAAGTGTGAGAGCATAGCTATCATTGTTCACCTTCTTTCAGGTGCACAATGGCTTCACAATCTCCTTCAGAAAGTGCAAGCGCCTCGGAAGGGAATAGACGGGGCGACAGTGGCAATGAAGTGAGCGGTAGCACAAGCGCGGAGCCGTCGTTATACTTTTGGAATTACAATTCCTATGTTCCCTTTTTCGATCCAAGGGATGGCGCTGTCGAAGATGGCAGGGAAGATCGTTCTCGTTGGAATGATAACGGTCGCGACCTCGAACAAGCATCTGAGAACGCATTTCAAGGCGAAAGATGGAATCTGCGCAGCAACACGGCGGAGCCGAGCATCCGCCAACAATTCCGAACCTTCTGGGCAATGTCGAAGCCCTACTTTTCCGAGAGCGGTGAGGGGCGTTGTCTCTTTTCCGGCTTGGTTGTTCTCATGCTGCTGGACAGTGCTGCCAGGATTGCCTTTTCTTACCTGGCCAGAGACTTTTGGAGCGCCCTGGGGGACAAGGATGCCGATCGCTTTTATGCCGTGATGCTGGAGTTTCTTGTGGCTCTCTGTCTTTTGGCGCCCATCAATGTCTTCTATCGGTTCCAGCGACAGCGACTGGGGATCAAGTGGAGGCAGTGGATGACGGAGCGACTTCTGCATCTCTATTTTTACAATCCCCACCAGATCTACTATCGATTGGAACAAAACCAACGGGGGCAGAACCAGGGTGACTCGGAGGGGACATCTAGGAGAGCAAGCAACCACCACTGCGTCGACAATCCCGACCAGCGATTGGCCGAAGATGTTCGATCCTTCACCCAGTATAGCTTGTCGCTCTTTCTTACCATTGCTGTTTCGTTGATCGACCTGACGGCCTTTTCCGTGGTCTTGTACACCATTAAGCCCGTCCTATTTCTCTCCATTGTGGGCTTTGCTACCTTTGGAACGGCCATGACCTGTCTCCTGGGAAAGGACTTGGTTAAGCTCAATTTCCAGAGGCTTTCGAGGGAAGCCGATTTTAGGTACTCGCTAGTGCGTCTGCGTGAAAATGCCGAATCGATTGCCTTTTTCCGTGGAGAAGCCACCGAAGGACACGAGCTAACGAGACGCTTTCAAAACGTCGTGCAAAACGCTTACGACTTGATCGGAACACAGAGGAACTTGGAATTCTTCACTACCTCCTACAACTACCTAACATGGATTCTTCCGGTCGTGGTGGTGGCCCCCGAGTACATGGCGGGGGCTGTGGAACTGGGAGTCGTCCAGCAGGCGGCGGCCGCCTTTGGACACGTCCTCGACGACCTTTCATTGATCATCAATGAGTTCGAGGGCCTCTCCGAGTTTTCGGCCAGCATCGGTCGGCTCCACCAGTTTGTGACTGCCGTGAAGAATGCCGACCCGGACCGCCGGGACGAAACCGACGAATCTGCTCCACTCATGGGATATCCTCCCGGTAACGACGGCAGTAATAGTACGGCCAACAATAGTGGAGGAGATGGAATCTTCAAAACTACGAGCACCTCGGATGCGAATGCGGAAGCTGCCGGTGCCTTGTTCGACACTAACTATACCGTTCATAGAACCACACAAGAATCTATTTCTCTCAAAGAAATGCCAGCATTATCTGGTAGCGGCGTGGATCCAACAAGTCCTGCCCTTTGCATCCGCAACCTGAATCTATATACGCCAGAGGCCGCGATTCCTAGTCCTTCGGAGAACTTCCTTTCTCCCACGGCAAGAACAAGAGAATTGATTCGCTCGCTGAATTTGGAGCTCAAGTGGGGAGAACGACTCTTGATCATTGGTCCATCGGGAATCGGAAAAAGTTCCTTGCTCCGAGCCATTGCCGGTCTCTGGACGTCGGGGAGCGGGGTCATCGAACGCGCCAATACCTCCGATGTTTATTTCTTGCCACAAAAACCGTACTGTCCCCTTGGTTCACTAAGGGATCAGCTGTTGTACCCAATACGTAGCAGTACCTCTAGCACTGTGCTATCGTCATCCTCCGAGAACAAGTCCATCAACGACGACAATAACGAGATTCCAAAAACACCATGCGATCAAAAGCTGCTGGAAATCCTCGAGTCGGTCGACCTGTCCGGCTTGGCGAAACGATCAGGCAACGGTGATCCCTTTCGCGGTCTCGATGCGGTCGTGGACTGGAGCAACATTTTGTCGCTTGGAGAGCAGCAACGTCTCGCATTTGCCCGGGTCCTATTCCACGAACCTAGGCTCGTGATTGTCGACGAGGCCACCAGTGCAATGGACATCTCGACCGAAGAAAAAATGTACAAGCTGCTGATTGCAAAAGACTTGACCTACGTAAGCGTGGGCCATCGGCCCACCCTGCTCAAATACCACACCAAGCGATTGGAACTACACAAGGCCGAGGGAACTAGTGACTACACCTTTGAGGATATACGTTCAACAGCTGATGGAGTCGCAAACGAAGAAGTAAATTTGTTCTTTCGATGAAACGATTTCGGTTACGGGGAAAATGTACTGTAGAAAATAAGCACCATATTATGTAGAGCTCATTGTAAGATATCTCCTACTATTGATAGAATTAGGATGAGATGCCCAAGATATTTCAAACGATAGTCTTGATTTACTCAAACCAATAGTTCTATTTTCAATCTTCTCTCTTTACTGATTCAAAAATGCATTTGAACTTACCAATTTAGAAAAGATATTTTCTAATATTATTGCAACTAATAATACTGCTGGTAGTATGAAAAGCACACTTCATAAAAGTGTGACATACAAATGGAATAGCCTTTGTCATACAATAGTAAGGTCATCTATCCTATTACATTTCTGCCATCCGAATACAAATAGTATTAGTGTCAAACAAGATCACAGTAGATAAAAAATGACTCAAAATTCATGATTCGTTAATTTTTTGGAACTCTGCCCCAATTGCATTCTTTTATTTCTTTAAAAATGAGTTTCTCTCTCTCTCAAACTATGTAGACTGAAGTACAAGTCCTACACAAAATACGACTGAAATGCAAAAAAAGTAGAAAACAAATAAAACCACTACTTTTCTACTCATTCATTCATTCCCTCACAATTTCCAAACAAAAAAATAACTCCAAACCAAAATATAAAAACTATCACACGACAAACAATCATATTTACCAACATTAAATTACTATAATATTACTACTATCACCATGATGCATGATGATTCTTCTTCTTCTTTGATGACAATTGTTTTGTATGGTAGTAATGCTAACCTATCTGATGATTAGTATTTTGGTCCAGACCCTCACAGGAGTCCTTCCCCAGAGGACAGGGGTGTTCTCAGTGGTGATGATATTTGTTCTCTTGAATGTGTTCCTGATGCCACCTACTACTACTAGTAGTATTAGTACTCTGATGTGTCCTCTGGTGATGATGAGATCCAAGAACTCCTTCTTGACCATGACCTCTCTGATTCATCTGATCTGGTGGAACAAGATGAGCTGCACTAGTTTTGCCAGAACTTGATCTGCTTCTCTCTACTACTGTGTACAAATATGTCACAAGTGAAGAACTGAATATATTTCAAGCTCCATAGCTACAACATATTGGCATGATTGCATTGGCAGTGAAAATATGAAGGAGCAAAGAGGAACTATTGTTTTGCTTATATAGAAAAAGCAAAGCAAAGGTATCCTGACTTGTCAGTGAGCAGGAGATTGAGGAAGTTGCCAAGGATTCATGTTAGTACTACTATGCTGAAAATGTCAAGGAAGAATGGTTGGTGTTGCAGAAGTTGCCATCATGTTGTTGTATGTAAAGAGCATAGGAGTAACTCCAACCATCAGGTATACTGATCATGTGTTACATGAAAAATTATATTTTTATTTTTGTTAAAACAAATTCTTATAATATTGTATACTAGTAGTGATGAGAGGAATGTAATGAGTAGAGTACTAGTGTAGTAGTAGTAGCAAAGAAAAAAATTCTAAATGTTGCGAGTGGCAACATGTGGCAACACTACTACTACTACTAGACTACAATTAGTGATGGACAAGATACACATTGTTGAAAGTCTCATATTAATGTAGGCTGTAGTAGAATGTTGATTTTACATCATTTCTACTAGTACTTTAAGTAAGAATAAATTGCCAAAAAACAGTAGATTTTATCTTCCTAAACATTTGTCACACTAGTAGTAGTAGCATGATAGGTGTAAGTATCAAATAACTGCTATTTTCAAAATTACTAATGTCATAGTATTTGATATTGAGGAGCAGTACTAGTAAAAGGAGAGGCACTATGATGAAGCCAAGTACTACCATTCTTGTTGCAATGCTACTAGTAGGCCCACCAGTGCTCCTAGTAGTGGTTCTAATAGTTGCACCAAGGACAAGTAGGAATACAATGCTATTATAGTACAATGTTTGAATAATCTTGTGAGCTACAAAAGGCATCACTAGAATAAAAGACAGGACAATTGTATTGGGAGGTTCAAAGCTCCTTCTTCATAAAGCTCCTCAACCTAGCTGTACTACAGAAGATGTTCATGCGGTGCTAATAGTAGTTTTCAGTAAGGAAATAGGGGAGATTTGCTGCCCAATCACGGTTCAGCAGGTACTGGTAGTAGTACTAGTGTGGTGGGTTTTGTTGAGTAGTATTGTTGCTTCCAATTGCTCTAGTAACATTATTATTGAGTTCTTGCTCATTTGACAAACTGATCAGCATGGCAAAAGGATATTTACTGTGGAGGGCAAAGAGCAGTACTTCTATTCTAGTCCACCACCAGGAGAACTTTGACCACTTCTGAATGCTTCTTATACCAGTGGATATGATTCTTAGTACCATGCCAAATTAGTACTAGTAAAAGTCATTGCTACCAGTAAGTACTACTATCATCTTGTCCCATACTACTAGCAGTGCAGCAGTACCATTCCAAGGCAAAAGGTAGCATCTACCTCTATAGGATTTCCTTTGCACTTTCCTCTGTTAATAGTACCACCAAGGGGCTTGTTGACTGCAATTTTCCTTTATTGGAAACTAGATGAAAAAACTGAAGAAGATCCTCTCTGTAGACATTGTTGTTGTGATAGAGCACACACAAAAGCAGTGTAGAAGAGTTCTTGTTGGCTGTTGTTGCCAAAGCTGTAAAGGAATGAAAAGGTGGAATGATTATATCTAATGACTGTACTCCAAGGGACTCCTCTGCCTCTTCTCTGGTGGTGCTCCTTTCTGTTATGGTGTACTTCTCCCAAGGCCCGGGCCTCATCAAGAGCAACAAAGCACCTAGTACACAATGATTTACCCCACAAGCACACCCATCAAAACTGCAGTTCTAGGTAGTGGTGAACCTTGTCAGGTAGGAAGGGTGACGTAGTAAGAGTGAGGACAAGAACATGATGGTGTATGGAATAAGAAGGTACTCATGCTACTAGCTGTGCTGTTTCTAATACTGTAATTAAAAAAATTAATATACTACTACTAGAACTACAAGAAAGAAGAAAGACTGCTCCTGAAACAGCACAAACTTGTGCATTCTTCTTCATGTACCACCTACTGTAGTAGTAGTGCTCCAACAAAGTATTAGTCCATTAATTCAGTCTAAATGAAATATCTTAATTTAAAATTTCCCCACATTCACCTGGTACCAGAGTGTTGTGGGGGAATACAGGAGCGGCATTTTGCTCATCATGTAAACAACTCTACTTTTGAACCTGATTTATCTTGGTGGAAATTGAGTAATATTAGCTTTATTCTCATTTCATATTCTTCTTCCTACTACTATGGTGGAGTGGAAGGAACTACAACTAGTAGTAGTACTACCACTACCACTATTATTATCTACATCCTTCTTGTATTTTGGGCTTTTTATCATATGATGTAATTGCAGTAGTAGTAGTAATAATTCATACTATATCTTGATTTTGATGACAAAAAGTACCATCAGATGAACATGCCTGTAATTGGTTGCCAATTATCTTCTTCCTTGAACATTGTGAATAATAGTTGTGTTATTAGTGCTCAGTGACTGGCAACACAAGTAGGTTCTTGCAACAAAGAGCTCATTTTAGGTTTTTGGTCAATTTTTTTATTTTCAGGTATGTTGGATCTATTTTTGTTGTACAAGTTAAATTTAGATTCTTATTATTACTAGTAGCAGTCGTAGCACTAGTAGTATTGCTCCATTTATATTGAAGCAGGGAACAAAATTTATGAACATCAACATAAAGATTTCATTACCAGTAATTGTCAACTTGTTGTATGATACAAGTCAAAGAGTTATTGTTGAATTACCACTGCATCATGATTATATCTAAACACTAATTGACCATATTTATTTCTTCTGTTTGCTTATTTTGAATGGTGTGTTCTTCTATTCTAATAGCCACTACTGCTACAAATATAATATTCTATTGCATCATCACACCAGTACTACTAGTACTACTAGTAGTTCTATCACTACTCATAGCCCATTTTTCCAGTTGTTTTTCCTGCTGTCAATAAGTTTTTTCAAGAAGAAAGTAGTTGTTTCAAATGGCAAGCAAGAAGCAAAACTCCTCCAGCTCTAGTGTTACTGGTAAACAATTTTCCCCAAGAAGTCATAGTTCAGGAGCAACAACTTTATTATTGCTGATTCAAAGGTCACCAATATTTCTCAACCAATTACAATATGGGCAATTCCTGGGGAGCACATTCTTGTTCATTTAGAATAACAAGAAATCTTCTCTATCAGTTCACAATCATTTGTTAGCAACAATACAATATTTTTATGAATCAATGAGTAGTAGTAGTACTAGTGTCATAGAAATGCATTGACAAAGTCATGCTAGTACTTCATCTTAGATCGTTTAAAAATGACAACAGGCAGAAGAGTTAGAAGTCAATATTTTAGAAATTACTACTTTGAGTAAGTATTTGGTCACTATAGAGGAGAAGAAACACATACTTGTTGGTACTCCTGCTTTACACAGAGCAGAAACAACCACCAGTTGATTCTCCTACTAGTACTGCAAGAAGAAGAAGGGTAGAAATACTTTGAATTCTTACCACTACCACTACTACTACTACTAGTAGTAGTAGTAGTAGTAGTAGTAGTAGTAGTAGTAGTAGATAACAACCAACAGCAAATGCCAGCACCACCAGTACCACTAACAGTAGTTGAAATGCACAAAAGCCAGGCCAAGAATTTTACTCCTGAAAATCACTAGTACTACTAGTGTAGAAGATAGATAATGGAACAAAACAGTATCATACTACTAGGGCCTATCTATTCTTCTTCAATAGTAGGACTGGTGATCTTTTCAAGAAGATTCCTCCTCCCTTTTGCAATAACCAGTAGTTCCATTTTTTCCTGACAATATTCTTGTTTAATCTTGCTGGTTACTGTCCAGAATAGTTTTGACTACAATTAGTAGTGCTACTAGTGTCACAAGAAGGGAGTGCTGAACATATTCAGAGTTCAAATTCCTGTTGCTAGTACTAGCTTGTGGTATGGGGATGGGATGGAAATTTTTAGTTGATCTTACTAGTACTTGCACCAAGTTCAATAATATTTTGCTGGAGTGAACTGAAAGGGAACAAAGGATAGTACTGTCATTACCACTATTATCATAGTGGTACCAGTCTTAGTAGTAGTAGTAAGAGTAGTAGTAGTAAGAACAAACAGAAGAAGAAAAACCTCATCATGTTGCTACACATGTTCTTGCTTTGTTTATCAATATCAAATAGTAATGAGTTTGGAAGTGCTCCAATGGAACAAAATCATTGCACATTTTTGTTGTTACCTCCTCAAGCAAAAAAGAACCTTGTTTGTACTATGGGATGCCAGCATCTATTTCAAAAATTTCCAGAGTTGGTTGATAGTGTCATTCACCAAAAAGAAGAATTCTACTGTTGAAGTACTACTCACCATAATAAGGATGTACACAGGAAATTTCTAGCAGACTAGTAGTATTACTCATATTTGTATTCATTTTTGTTGCAAAGGAACCTCACAAGATCCCCCCCTCTTCCCAATGCCTCCACCACCAGCTATTACATGATGACCTGCTTGGCATATTTGTGATGTACCTGCTGACAGGGGGCAAGATTCGTGTGGTACCATACTACTAGTAGTACTTATTTTGATATCTGAGGAGTTGCTGGTTCACCACTTTTTTTCTGAAGAATAGTAAGTTCTCTGGCTTCTGTTGGTTCACTCTTCTCCATGATAACAGTATTTTCTTGGTACTGGTGGTGTTGTTTCTTGTGGTACATCTGCTCTATTTGTTGTTGCCAATAGTGCAAATCATAGTTTTACTTCATACAATGGGCAGGCTACTCCTATTAGACTACTATTGTTATTATGATACAAATAAAGGTGGGTGTGACAGTTGTAGTTCAAAATTTACTGCTATTACTAGTACCAGTGTGGTAATCTTTCAGCACCACCAATCAAGCCATAATTTAATGCAAATATTACTAGTAGTAGTACTACTACTATTAGCCAGTACTAGCTCTTCATGTCAAACCACCAGGAGCCGGTGCTACCCCTGCTAGAGGTTTCTTTGGTGCAATACCTGCCTTGGCGGTGGTGGTTTCGTCATGTCGTATCCACCAGGGGCCAATAACTACTAGCACATTCTCGTTGGATTCTCGAAGACCAGAACAATGCTCTGCCTTCCCTACCGCACGACCACAAGGACGCCAAACACTATTTACACACACTATTGTCGTTGTTCGTCCACTCCGGCACAAGGCATCGCTCGATGCCCAAGGCCGCTTGCTCCCCGTCCAAAAAGGGGTACGGCGGTTCGGACCGAACCACGAGGTTCCCGCGTCGCTGCTACAGCAGGGGCTCCCGAAGGCCGTTGCCGCCTTCTGCACCGCCCGGTGCTTGCGGGTCCCCCCCTCCGGCTCCGCCGGGGGCCTCCAGCAGGTCCGGAAAGATCCGGTCGAGGCCGGCCGGCACCCTTCTCCCTTCGGCTTCCCCGCTCCCCGCCACGATTCCGGTGGGGGGAGGACGACCTCCGCCGCCGTCCCCCGCCCTCCCCAGGAAAAACACCAGCTCGTGGAGGGTGTCAAAGACGTGCGGGGAGGGGGCCCGGCCGGTTTCCTCGTCGTCGATGTACGACTCGCCGTCGTCGTCGTTGTCGCCGCCGTCTCCGAACAAGCGACCGGAGGCCGAGCTCCCCCGCCGGAGGATCCGCCGGCAGCAGCGGTCGCCACCACCGTTCCGCGGCCGGCGGTGCAGGGCACAGGCCATGCAGCCAATGGCGAGGAGAAAGAGCCCGGTGACCACGCCCACCTCGGCGAGGGCGCGCGCCGTGGGGTGGGGCATGCCGCCGTAGGAAGCCGAAGCGGAGCCGGGATCGTTTTCCATGGTGTTTGTTGTTGTTGCTGTTGTTGTTGCTGTTGCGCTCCGGTATCGGTGGCTCGGAGCAAGAGCGGGTTTTGGAGGGAGCTTCGACTTAGATTAGATGGGTGGAATGTCTTGGCAAATCAGCTGGAGCTCCTTATACTTGCACTACAAAGAAATGAAAGACTGCCACGGAACAGTTGTAGAAGGACTTCGAAACAGAAAATGCAAAATGCTTCTGCTTTGAAGTCGTCGTAGAAGTACTTACTCGTACTCGTACTATTCGTACTCATCGATCGATTGTACTCTGTACTGTATCCTACGGTAAATAAGCGCTTCGCAACTAAAACTGTTCCCGTGATGTCAAATGAGTCGAAAGCATGGCATGATACGACGAACACTGCATCGACGATGAACTATGTTCCTAGGATACCAAAAGTACGAGTACGAAATACGAAGCATGCCCCACGAAGAACAAGAATCGATTTGGCGCGAAACGAACGAACCAGCCGTTCTGCAGTATCACTAAGGATGGGGTTCGGGACACGCCCGCTCGATGGATTTCAAAAACAAACCGGCACCCCGTGCCGTCGTTGGTGCCGTACCGTAGAGACGGCATCGTACGCAGAGCAGAGAGAGAGGCGAGGGAGACCGACCCGGACGGCTAGCTCCGTAGGTATGAAGAGGGCTATTGCGTGAGAACCCGCAGGGGCCTCCCTCCGCGCTACTTTTTTCATCGGAGCATTGCGCTTCGCAGGCTACGGGAGAAACGTATGTAGGATTCGTTGCCCGTCCCACGCATCGGATCCGGTCCTGTACGTACGATGCTGTACGATGCCGTGCAATGAAACGTCGGCTCGTTGATTTGCTCCTCTCGCAAAAACCGTCGTCCTCCCAAAGCAAACAATCATTGCCTCGAGGAACGACGCAGTGTTGTACCAAAGCCTGGTACGGAACCTGGCAGAAAAATACCACCCGAAGACGAGGCAAAGAGCCGGCGCCCAAAACAGTGACAGGAACAAATCGGACAGCAGCAGCAACAGCAACAACACGATACAATACAACAGAGAAGCAACAGGATAGCATTGGTTGGTGGTTTCTTAGGTTAGGACTTCGATAGCGGTAGCAAGAAGCACGATGGCGGCAACCGACTTTTCCTCGTTGAGGGACGAATACGATAACTTTTTGCGGCAAGAGGTGAGTATGCGCCGGGGTTCTTTCGAGGTCAGCAAGACAGCACAAAGATAGCGTCGACGAAGAACCTTACAACCTTTTCCTAACCCTTGTTCTCATGGCTCTAATTCTACCGGCGACACGAAACGATTCGAAACAAAACAAATAAAACAAAACACAACAACCACCAATCCGATGAAACGGATCCAACCCAACGAACCCGACCAATGCAATAACAAACATAACAACAACAACAACAACCACAGCGCTTCCAGTACGTCGACAAAATCAGCACGGTCCTCGACGACTACGCCCACCGCAGCAAGTCGCTGAACGTGGAGGGATGGGGCTGCCCCCGGGTGGAGATCCGCATGGCGGAGCTCCGGTCGATGGGAAACGGCGGGCTCTCGCAGCGCCTGCGCACGGACCCCCTCCCCCACATCCGGGCCCTGGAATCGGCCTGCCACGAGGTGGCGGTGGAGGCCCGGCCGGGATACGACAAGAACGGTACGAACAGATCAACGGGACGCGACGCGACGCGATGCTACGCGAGTGTAGTGTAGTGTAGTGCGGTGCGATCTTGCACGATTTCTCACTTTCTGTTTCTTTGTTTGTTTCATCGAAAACGTTGATTTCACTACCCATTTCCATTCCCATTTCCATATCAATGCCAATGCCAATGTCAATGTCAATCTCGCTGCAAATATCAATGCCAACGACTCTTTAGGAATCAAAATCAAGGTCGCCTTCTCGGGCCCCGTGGGTGCAAAGCCCATGAGCCCCCGGAGCCTCACCTCGTCCTCCCTGAGACAACTCGTATGTGTTGAGGGAGTTGCCACCAAAGTGTCTGCGATCAAACCAAAGATTGTTCGTTCCGTACACTACTGCCCCGAAACAAAACAGCACCTGGAGAGAGAATACAGGGATGCCACCGATCCCGAGCTCGGCCTCCACGCCATCGATGCCCAGGGAAGAGAACTTCCGGACCGAATGATCGGAATCACCCCCACAGCCTTTCCCCAGAAAGACAAGGACGGGAACCCACTCGAGACCGAGTTTGGTCTGTCGGAATTCAAGGACCACCAAACGGTCGTCCTTCAGGAGATGCCGGAGCGGGCACCGATGGGACAGCTGCCCCGATCGGTCGAGCTCATCCTGGACCACGATCTGGTGGACAAGATCAAGCCCGGGGACCGTGTGCAGATCGTGGGCGTCTACCGAGCCCTGTCCAGATCGGGAAACAATCCGTCCGGAGGCGGGGGGGCCTTCAAGACGGTGGTCTTGGTCAACAACGTGCAGATTCTCGGGCGGGACACCAGCCAGCTGACCTTTTCGCCACAGGACGTGCGCATGATCAAGGAACTGGGAAAGAATCCGGACATCTTGTCGATCCTAGGAAGGAGTCTGTCGCCCTCGATCCACGGCCACTCCGTCATCAAGAAAGCCCTGGCGCTGCAGCTGCTCTCGGGATGCGAGAAGAACCTGAAAAACGGCACGCATCTGCGTGGAGACATCAACATTCTCATGGTGGGCGATCCATCGACGGCAAAGAGCCAGCTGCTTCGATCCGCCATGACGATTGCCCCACTCGCCGTGTCGACCACCGGAAAGGGAAGTTCCGGTGTTGGTTTGACCGCCGCGGTCACATCCGACGCGGACACCAACGAGCGGAGGTTAGAAGCCGGAGCAATGGTCCTCGCCGATCGTGGTCTCGTGTGCGTGGACGAATTCGACAAGATGGGGGAAAACGATCGGGTTGCCATCCACGAAGCTATGGAACAGCAGACGGTGACCATTGCCAAGGCCGGGATCCATGCCAGTCTCAACGCGAGGTGTTCCGTCCTCGCCGCTGCCAACCCCGTCTACGGGCAGTACGATCGCTCCCGAAGGATCCAGGAGAACATCGGGCTCCCGGATTCACTGCTGTCTCGTTTCGATTTGCTCTTTGTGGTTCTCGACCAGATGGACCCGGAAACGGACCGCAAGATTGCCAACCACGTCATCCTGGGCCACCGGTACCGGTCGGACCGCGGAGGTGCCGGGCACGATAGCGACTACGACGACGAAGACGAGGACTCGGACGACGACATGGACGACGGGGACAAGGTCCATTCGATATGGCAGCGGAATCGACAGGGCTCCGACCCGAGCGAAGCCGCGGACCCGCACTCGAGCGATATTTTGCAGCACGACTTTTTGCGGAAATACCTCCACTTTGCTAAGACGCGGATGAAGCCCCACCTCACCGAGGGCGCCCGCGAGTTCATCGCGAACCGGTACGCCGAGATGCGGTGCCGCCAGGACGAGAGGACGCTGCCGGTAACCGCCCGTACGCTCGAAACCGTCATCCGCCTCGCCACGGCCCACGCCAAGGCGCGGCTGAGCGGCGTGGTGGAGGCGGCGCCGGACTGCGAGGCCGCGATGGACGTGCTGGGCTTTGCGCTGTACCACGAATCCGGGGGAGACAAGAACCAAAACGACGAGCCGAGCGAGGGGCTCACCGACGGCAACGAGCAGGCGGCCGCCGAGGTGTCGGACGACGGGGAAGCGTCGTCCGCTTCCGGGGAACCCTCCGCGAAGCGAAGGCGCACGGCCGTGACCGACGACGACAACGACGACGACGACGGGGAGAACAAACTGAAGGGCCAGATCCTCGCCGAGCTCGCGCAGAACGATGGATACCTGCCCATCGACGAGATCTTGCCGAGCCGAGACGACCGCGACGAAATCCTCAGGCTCGTCGAAACGCTCGTGTCCGAGGGGAAGGTCATGACGGAACAGAACGACGAGGGGACGCTGGACGTCTTTCCCGTGTCCGATTAGGCATTGGCCTGCGTGCGTCCTCTGTCTCTTTTTCTATGCATTTGCTGGCTCTCGCGGGCCCACGGTGGGCACCTGCGCACAAAATGCTCGAATTCAACATCCTAAAAATATGTACTCGTTAAACCAATCCATCGAACCGGACCGAATCAAATCAAATCAAATAGCATTCGATTGCATTTTTTTTGTGTGGTGGGACAACGTTTCGCGGTAGTAATGTAGAGGTTGAACTATGTTTACTTGGTGCTATGTATAGTAAAATTGTCTTTCACGCAGAGATGACTGAGGCAGGCAGCATCGCCACATAACGATTGAAAGCATTATCCGTATGCATTGGCACCCACAGTACTCTATGCTTTCTTCCACGTATTATCAGTTGCGGCTTCTGTACCAGCAAGGATGCTTTGCCCCCGTGTGTTCGGTAACTCTCTAATAGGCCTGCTTGTTCCTAGTACGGTGTGCAACTTTGGCATTGACACCCATGTGCTTGCGAGCTGTTCATACAACCAGGCGTAATGGCATTACATAGACAATATTTGACACAGGTATTTTTGTCATTGCAGGTTGTGTCCCGTTGGAAGCTCATAGATCTTGATGGAGTTGCCTCCCCTCCCGAACCGGTGGGACCCATAGGCACCCCCCAGCGCCGACAAAATCGCGATCGCCACCCAGTTGACCGGCGTCCAGCTCTCGGATCTGCCGAGCGTAAGCTCCGCCCGCAGCACGGCCAGGGCCTGAAGAAGGTAGCAGCCCAGCAGGGCCTCGCAGATGTGCTTCCGAAAGCGACCGTCGTCCACGGCCCGGGCGTGCCAGAGAATCCAGCCGCAGGCCAGCCGGAGGCAGGCGTAGAGGCTGTGGCACGGTCGCGTGTGTGTTGCCAAGGCAGGGCATGGTGAGAATTCCATTCTATTCGATTGCACAGAGGCATGTTCCCATTCCGCACCCTGTAATGCGGTCTACCGTAATCCAAACACACTGTTTCGTTCCTTACCGAAAGGTCTCGTGCACCGAGTGGTTGTAACTCCCCGAGGTTATCTTGCGGATCAAATTGTGGGGCGCCAAGAGGGCGACGATTCCAAATACCAGGGAGCACCCGGCATCAAAGGCGAAGAGTTGATCGAGCTGCTTCCGCGGCGAGCGCGAGTAGGACCGCGACATTCTTTCTAGTGGGAAACTTCGATCACTTACCAAGATTTTATGCCGTGGACAACAGGAACAAGATCGCACCGAGGACTAGTTGATTGTTGTGTTAATGCATCGGGATTGGCTAAATCACGTGTTGGGATATTTTTCGCCGAGTGCCTCCACTGAAGAGAGACTAATTCTGTCCTTCGAAAAATTGCATCCAGCAACAACAACAAGAACGGAAGTGGAATAGTAGTACTGCTAGTAGAGAGTAGTAATAGTACCACCAATAATACGAAGCCAATGCAAGGTTTGCAAATGCAATATGGTAGTAGAGTCTCAAGCCGTTACTCAATGAATACCGCAGAGAGATCCATTTTGTACCTCTATACTAATAGTACTACTAGTACCTCCTACTGGTGTTGCGTCGTCATGGCGACACCTGAACAGCAACTTCTTCTACTGTGCTACTAGTAGTAGTATTGAGGAGTTACAAAGAGGAGTTCTAGTAGAAGTAGTAGTATAAGAAAGCCAGAAAATTTGAAGAAAGCAAGGACGTACAACCAAAAGCTACTAGTAGCTCATCGGGATGAATAGCTTTATTTTAGAATGATACCATGTTATGAGAACAAAAGGTGTTTGCTTCAATGTCTGTTGTCGCAGAGTGTGCGGCTTCTTACTACCTGGAGCACCTGGTACAGACATCAGGAGGGGCTTGACTCGTCACTGAAACTTGCAACTTTCTTCTGCTGCTAGTAAGTCACAGTCCTGTTGCTTTGATTGGATTGCTGTCGCGATCAATCATAGCATATTCAATCAGAGTTTGTCTCGGGCAAAAGTATTCTTTTCATACTACAAGCACTATTGAACTCACGATGAACGAAGGAATGCAATTAATTCCGTGAATACTTGTGTCGCACTCTTAACTATTGTTTGTTCCTTTAATAACTTGTTGCTAGATTCGTTGGCTATTAATTCCGGTCCTACAAGTCGAACAATTCTGATGCAGATACTACCAAGGTGGATTTGTAATGCGTACTACCGTACCTTACCACGCTGGAAGCTCTCCATGAAAGCGCACCCTCAGTCCGTTCGAACAGCATTTGCGTACTTACACGAAAACATCATCCGCGACGGCATCGGCATTTCTTTCTCCTTCGATGTTGTCGATGAGTATCATTGCTATTTTCCACAGGAACCATTCGCGGCAAATTCCCTTGAATCAATATCAACAACTACTGTGAGTCTTAGGAACATCGCAGTATGATCCGTTACGTATCTTTACACGACATCTTTTGTGTATTCCTAGCCTGAGGTATGCAAAATGTTCCATGAGTAGGAACACGTATGATAGATCTTAATCGTGTAGCGCCCAAATTTGAATGAATTTGTGCTGAGTTTGTACCACTGTGTAGTTCGCCCACCTCGCAAAGAAATTCGCGTTAAATTTTGACGCCATCCGCTAGGTTTTAAATTTGAATATAAGATAAAGGTCTGTATATAAATATAATGAAATGGGGATTGACTCGAATCAAAATTTATCGTTCAGGCGCGGCTCGCAGCAATAAACGTTCGATTCGAAAATCCTAGGTTTTGATTTTGTTTTCGTTTTTTATGTCGGTTTTACGGCCTCGGTAGCAGAGACGCTTCCAATCCGTTTAACTCCCACAATAGGTCACATCCTTCTGGGTGATTCCTACCGTACCCGCACCAGGACGGTTAACTCCTGTATTTCTTCAAACAGTCGCTCGACCGGACGCCTTTCGATCCATAAGACGCAACGCAGCTCTGCAGAGATCAACCCCATTAGATCTCTACCACCGACAGCAGTTGCCTCCTACCGTATTTCGTCTCGCATAACTCCTCTCTTCGCACACATCCCACAATATCTCGGATTCTTTAATCGCTTTCTTCGATCTCATCACTCGATAGCTCGCGGACGAGGTTTCAATCGAAGAATATTAAACAGCACCTTTTGTCTGTTCCACAATGAGCCCTCGCGATCGCTATGACGAAGACGACGACCGGAAACCTGCTGCCGTTACCACTGCATCCGCACCAAGAAGTGCTACCCATCGGATGAACAAAGCGCATGTCTCTGTCAAGCCGGGATCTTCAACGACGAGAAGAGCCCCGCTGCAGTCCCGTGATCCCAATACAATTTCTGGTTCGTATCGATCGGGTTCTAGCAACTCGACGGAGGAATACAATTCAAAAGACTTTCGTTTCTCCAACCTCGAGTCGTCAAACAATGAATGCAACAAGCGTTTTATGAACTCGACGAACAACAGTGGAAGAAATTTTAGTAGAACCCTTCCCGGGGGATCAAATTCCGCCACTAATAGCAATGTGATGCGAAGTTATTCGACTTCCGAGCTCCGGGAAGGATCGGATCCGGGTGTCCCCGCACCGGCCAGGGGCAGTGCGTACACCACAAGATCGACGTCCCTCCCGAATCTTGATGCAGACAGCGTAATAATCGAAGAGCACCGGCGGAAAATCAACGGAGAAGGTTACACCCTCCATCGGTATCTCCGTGGGAAGATGCTCGGAAAGGGTGGTTTTGCAAAGGTATATTTGTGTACTGCACTTGACACCAACAAATCGTACGCGATCAAAATTGTTCCCAAGGCAAATCTTGTGAAGGCAAGAGCTCGAGATAAGGTAAGAAAACAAATTCAAGTATCGCATTCGAGTCTTTTTCGACGGATTCGTTCTGACCCTCAGCGCACGTCCATGCTTCGAATCTGTAGTTGAAAGCCGAAATTAAGATTCACCGCACACTCCACCATATGAATGTTTGTGCGTTCAAGCACTTTTTTGAGGACAAAACAAATTGTTATATTTTGCTCGAGTTGTGTCACAACCAGAGTATGAATGAAATGATCAAGCGCAGGAAACGTCTTACCGAACCAGAGACTGCCTTCTTTATGAGGCAATTAATGGAGGCCACGAAGTATATGCACAAGGAACTTGTGATTCATCGTGACTTGAAGCTTGGAAACCTTTTCTTGGACAAAAATATGAACATCAAAGTAGGTGATCTGGGCCTGGCAACAAAATTACAATCGGCGGACGAAATTCGCAAAACGATTTGCGGAACGCCGAACTACATTGCTCCCGAGGTCATTCAGGGCGACAGGGCCACACGTGGTCACTCCTTTGAAGTAGATATATGGTCTATGGGGGTGATTATGTTTACTTGTTTGGTTGGAAAGCCACCATACGAAGCTAAAGATGTCAAGGCGACATACCAGCGTATCATGGCAAACCAATACAAGTTTCCAAGCAACGTTTCAATATCCGATGATGCGAAGAATTTGATTGTCAAGATGCTACAATCCAAACCGTCTGATCGACCTACCCTGGACGAAATTTCCGTCCATCCTTTTTTGACCTCTCGTTTCATCCCGGAATGTCTACCCTCCAATGCTACACACGTAGCTCCCAGATGGGAGGCCTCTGCCAGCAGCAGTGCTGCACAAAATGCGTTTTCCAGACCGGGCCTTTTGAAGCCAAATACTTCAAGACTTCCATTTGTAGCACGGGATGCCAATGTTCCTTCCACAGCGCAGCGGGACGAGAGAAAGAAGCCTCCACCTTCATCAACAACGAATCCCTCGCCGATGATGCAAGTTCAAGGAGCTGTAAAGTATGCGTGGTCCGCTGTCACTAGTGTGGCATCTCCTTCTCGCCCTGTCGCACAGCAGCCAACCCCCAAATTTCGAGTGTTCGATGAAACCAACGATCGACAGTCCAGTGAGCGTGACATTGTTTCAAGAACTGCGAACTTAGGGATTGGGGCAACGACAAGAGAGATATCACCCGACAACCCATCGTCTCACCGCAGAGCCGAGCCTGCTTCGTCGAACACGGATTCGTTTACATTGAACGACATGTTCGAACGTGTCAGTATAGTATTGGATATTGTTTCCTCGAGAGACTATTCCAATGTTCCTGCGGATTCTCAATCTCTTGTCCCTGTTTCTGATGGAGGTCCCACGAAGTGGGTGGAGCGATACGTTGATTACACCAGTAAATACGGTCTCGGATACTTGCTATCCGATGGAAGGTAAGTCGAAAGTTTCACTGATCGATGCAGCAAAGGTTTGATGTGTGACGGTATCTCATTTGGTTTGCTCTTCGCAACTTATATTTACTTTCGATTACGTTTCTTTTCTCTACATTAGTTCCGGAGTCTACTTCAATGATTCGAAAAAGGCCATTGTTGAGGCCCAGGGTGACAATTTTGAATTCATCGAGAGGAGAAGATCTTCGGAGGATCCTTCTCGTCGCAATGAACCAACGGTTGCCTCGCATTCACTATCGAAATATCCCGATTCATTAGAGAAATATGTAACACTTTTGCGACACTTTCGAAAGTATCTGATCGAGCAACACCAAAGATCAGACGAAGATATTTCGCGCCGTCCTGTAGGTGACAACGGTGGCAGTGGCATGGTGTTCCTGAAGAAGTGGGTTCGAACGAGGCACGCAATTTTCTTCCGTTTGAGCGACCAGACCGTTCAGATCGTGTTTTACGATCACACCGAGGTCCTCTTGACTCCCGACGAGCGCTATATTACGTATGTCGACAAGAATACGACTCGGAATACGTATTACATGACGGACGAGTTGGTGGGATGCAATGCCGAAATTGCCAAGCGACTGAAGTACACGAAGGAAATTCTGCAGCAGCTCGTCACAAGTTCTCCAAGACGTTAACTTGGGTTCTTTTTTGCTATGGGATAAGAATTTTTGCAAAATTCAGAACCGAGGGTGGGGAAAGAATGGTCATTATTCTCGACAATGCCCGTGACCGTGGATGATGAACAGCGTGGTGTCCAACTAATTATATCCTTATAAATCACAAGAATGGTTACTAGAATGCTTACAAAACTGTGCTGGTCGAGTAGGATGACTGATCAGATTCGGGTGAATAGTCGCGTCCCAATTTGTTGCTGTACCGGTACCAACGATCGGCACCGAATAGCCGCTAGCGGCTCCCGGCCCGGACGAGCGGAGCCCCGACGGCTGCCACGGCTCCCAGAGCGTTCCTCCGGCTGGTAGCGGTGTGGGAGTTCGCCAGGAGGAGCCGGGCGTAGCCGGCCTTGACCGGGTCGCAGGGGACCGGTCCGGTGTCGCCGAAGGTGGCTCGGCTCTTGGGCTTCCCGGGGTGCCGGGGCCGGTAGGAGTTGTCCCCCCCCACGCCGAGGGCGTCCTCCATGTTGAACCAGAGGGCCCGAAAGCTGGTGGCCAGGGCCCCGTCCCCGGTTTCGCAAAAGGCCCTCTGGACGGCTTGGATCAGCGTTTCCGAGGCGCGTTCGGTGGGAGTCTCCGGCGGCTCTTCGGTGTGCTCTGGCTGTTTCGGCTGTTGCTGTTTCAGCTGCTGCTTGTGCTGCAGGGACTGGACGGACCGGAAGAATCCCAGGTGGGGCACGCTGAAATCGGCACTCCCGTTCGGCTGCGCCGCAAAGGAAATCTCCCAGTGGTGTTTGCGGGCGGCTTCCACCAGGGCCTCCCGGTCCAGGCATTCCGAATGGGGCAGGGAGCGGTCCTCCTGGAGAACGCACCGAAAGGGGCCGTCTTTGTGGTGGTTTTCGTGGTGGTTGCTGTTGCTGCTGTTGGTTTTGCTTTCGTCGCTGCTGCTGCCGAAGGCGTCCCTCGGGAACCGTTCGTAAACGGCCGGCAGGAGCTTTTCGGCAACGATCTTCCGGTACCGGGAGGCCTTTTCCCCGGGCCCGCAGGGTCCCTCCCCCGGGACGACCAGGGGCCAGATCCCCAGCTTTCCGTCGAACCAGGCGTTCCGGCTCGCGTCGTGCCTCGGGCGGGCCGTTGCGCAGAGAAAGAGGACCCTCTCGGGGCCGGCGTTGTTGTTGTTGTTGTTGTTGCTGTCGTTTTTGTCGTTGTTGCTGTCGTTGTGGCCCGGCTCCAGCTCGGCCGGCAAAAAGTAGGCGTTCGCCGCCGCCTCGTCCCGAAAGAACCACTTCTCCGCCAGGTGGACGACCTCCTTCATCGGGCCAAAGGCACAGGCCCCGTTTCCGTTTAAATTTCCGTCCCCCCCCAGGTGGGAGAGGCAAAAGGCGATCCGTTCCTTCCTGTGGTCGTCCCCCAGGAGGGGCCGGAAGAGGTGGGTGGGGTGCTCCAGGACCCCCTTGCGGACGTACCGGTGCAGGCTGGCCTTGGGTATGCCCGTCTCTTCCGCCAGGGCCCTTAGGTTCCCCCGGGCTTCCAGCGGGACGGAGGCCACCAGGCAGGAGAGGTCCCCCTCCGGCCGGGCCTTGCGGCCGCACCTGTGCCTACGCGAGGCCCCCCCCGAGGCCCAGATCCTCGAGCAGGTCCGCGTGGAGGTCCCAAAGGCGGCGGCGGCGGCCTTGAGGGCCCCCCGGGCGGGCCTCCCGTTGGCCCCGCGGCGCCTCAGGAGCTCGCGGAGGAGGGCCTTGCGCTCGGGGTCGGTCAGGTTCCGGGAGGTCTTTGTTTTTTGTTTTTGTTTTGGTTTTGTCCTTGTTCTGCCCGCCCCCGAAGCGGTGGGTTTCGTGTTTGTGTTCGTGTTCGTCGTTGTCGTTGGGGTTCCCGCATTCTTGGCCGGGAAAAGGCCCGCGGTCTCTCTTCCGGTTCCACCGGTCCGTTCGCCGGGAAAAGAGCCGCCTCTGCTGCTGCGTCGGGCGTTCCGGGTGGCGCTCATTGTGGAGTGGAGAAGTCGAGTCGAGTCGGGTTCCCTGTGTTGCCTCGGCACGCTGTCTCGGTTTCGCTTCGCTTCGAACGCCAAACCAAAAGTGGGATGGAGTTCGGAGGAGGAACACCAATCCACCTATGTATCGATCGATGAATCATTCCATCACCGATCCAAGAGAGGTTCGTTCCGTTGGCTAACTCTTCGCAGAGAAACTTGACGCCAGCTCGGAAGAGTCGTGCCAGTAGTACGGTACGTATCGTACGGTACGTATTCTATTGCACAAACGATCTGCGCATACCGTCTGGGCTGCGGTCCGCGCCGCTTTTTCGATCCCCGAGGATTTTGGGATTGATTAATATTTAATATTGATTCATTCCTTCTCTCCTGCCTGCCTGCGTGCGTACGAGTACGTACGCAATCGTAGTGGAAAAACAAAAAAACTCTCCCGTACGGTACGATACTCGTACCACTTCAGAACACAGCGCAGCGTGCGGCATAGATCGAGTCAAATGAGTCGAAAAAACCGAACCACGCGAGTCCCGGGGTCATTTCCTTCCAACCGAATTGAATTGATCATTCAATTCAATCGATCGGGTCAATGGAAAGAAGATTTTCGAAAACGGTCGAAAGAAAGGATCAGAGATATCAGCATCAGAGAGCAGGTCGAGTCTCCAACGTACGCTACGGTATGGTACGGTACCGTACCGTACGAGCCCGACGAGATGGAAAGGAAACAAAACAACACCCGTAACGTATTATTATTGTCACATCCAAAGGAACTTCTTGGCAACCCAACAAAGTACCTTGTCCATTAGGCAACCGGCGAGCCAGCAACCAGCAATCGATTCGATAGAGGGGCCACCAGTCTAGCACAGCACAGCACAGTCTAGCACAGCACAGCACAGTCTATTAGGAACACAACCCAACCCAACACAACACACCCCAATCGACAACAAACAACCAACCACCCCAAGGCAATCCACCAGAACAGCAAACCCAACACACGATGCCGCTCGAGTCCTGCATGATCATCGTGGACAACTCCGAGTTCATGCGGAACGGAGACTACGTGCCCACCCGGCTGGAGGCCCAGCAGGACGCGGCGAACCTTTTGGTGGGTGCCAAGACCCAGTCCCACCCCGAGTCGACCGTGGGGGTGTCCGCCGGGACGGAGCTCCTGGTGAGCCCGACGGAGGACGTCGGCAAGCTCCTCGGGGCCGTCCACGGGCTGTCGATCGGGAGCAAGAGCCAGAACTTTCACCAGCACCAGCAGCCCAGCGGGGGATCCAGCGTCACGGCCTCCCTCCAGGTGGCCTCGCTGGCCCTCAAGCACCGCAAGAACAAGAACGGGTCCCAGCGGATCGTCCTCTTTGTGGGATCCCCCCTCGACGGCCTCGAGTCCAGGGCACTGGCCAAGGCGGGCCGCCAGCTGAAGAAGAACAACGTCTCGATCGACGTGGTGGCCATGGGCGAGCTGGAGGTCAACGAGGCCAAGCTGAGGGACCTGGTGGACGCCGCCAACGGCCGGAACGCCGGGGACGGGGCCGAGCGGACCTGCCACCTGGTCACCATCCCCCCGGGCGTCCTGCCCAGCGACGTCCTGGCCTCCTCGCCGGTCGTCCACGGCGGGACGGGGGGATCGGCCTTTGCGGCGGCAGCGGCGGCGGCCGCCGCGGGGGTCACCTCGCCCTCGGGCCACGGCGGGGGTGGAGGAAGCGCCGACGCCTTTGCCGAGTTTGGCGGCGTCGACCCCAACATGGACCCGGAGCTGGCCATGGCCCTGAGGGTCAGCATGGAGGAGGAACGGGCCCGCCAGGAAAGGCTCGCGGCCCAGCAGGCCCGGGAACAGCAGGAAGGCGCAAGACCGGAAGCCGACGCCGACGCACCGGCACCGGGCGGGGACGCCGAAATGCCCGACGCGGGGGCGGCCGGATCCTCCGGGGCATCGGCATCGGCATCGGCATCGGCATCGGCGGAAGCCCCCTCCGCCATGGACCTGGGACTCAGCGAGGAGGAGGCCCTCCTGCAGCAGGCCCTGGCCATGTCGATGAACGAGAACGAGCCGCCGGCAGCGGCCGCCTCTGCCCCGGCTTCCGAGGGGGCCGGCGGCGGCGGCGAGGAGGACGACGACGACGAGGCCGCCGCCATGCAGCTCGCCCTGCAAATGTCCCTGGCCCAGGCCGGGCAGGACGAAACGCCCGGTGGGAGTGGCAGTGGAAGCACCGACCAGGCCAGGTTCCAGGACCCGGGCTTTGTCAACCAGCTCCTGGGCTCCCTGCCGGGGGTCAACCCCAACGACCCGGCCATCCAGAGCGCCCTCCAGAACATGGCCAAGGACGGGGAGAACGAGAACGAGAACGACAAGGACGAAAGCGAAACGAAAAAGGGCCCCGGTGGGGACGACGGCGCCAAAAAGGAGTAGGCGAGGCGAGGCTAGGCTAGGCGAGGCGGCGGCTTCTTCGTTCGATACTACTGTACTAACTAGTAACTAGTAAGATAAGATGCTCGGTCGTTTTTGCGGCGTGCGCTGTTTTTTTTGTAGTTGCGTTAGTACAGTACAGTGCAGTATAGCACAGTAGTCTACCGGAGTGGTGCTCTCTTTCGTGGCTTTTTCCGGTGAGGGCAGCGCATTCCAAGTACTGTATACAAGCGAAGCAAGAATCCCTCTGATTCCAAGAGATGAAAGACCCAAAACAAACCGAGTACTGGAATGGCGGCCTTCAGGGTATGATTCACTAGTACTCCAAACCAACAGAGTACTGGAAGGGTAGCATCCAGGGAAAAAATCGGTACTACATTGATCTCGGGAAACAAATGAATGCAATCACAAAGCCTAAAAGGCATAGCTGTAGAACCAGGCGAAGCGCGTGAGGTGTAGTTCATAGTAACTTTTGATGTTTAGTGAATAAAAGTTTGTAAGTACAGCAATGTGTCGACGTGGGGATAAAACCTACGTAGTGTGTTTCGATCTGGTGAAAAGACTAACTTATGAATACGCATCGCGATAGTCAATCTTGCCGCAACACGAGAATGTGGAACCCKGGCAACCAGGAGCGTCGTAACATTCACGGAGGATTTTCGTCCATTTTCGCTCCAATGGTGGTTCTTGCCTCGCTGAACGATTTGTCGAACACCGGGCGAATCTTCGCAGCCATAGCGCAATATTCATCGAAAATTTTGAGCGCTGCCCGTTTGTTCTTCTGGCGTTCCTCACTAACTTCAAGGACAGCTTCCTCGGCGCAGGCTTTTTGACTGACGAATGCGTGGGAGACGTCCCTCATATCTTCGGCCCTTTCCTTAACTAAATCTTTAAAGCTTTGAGTCATCCCTTCTACATTTTTCAATATTGAAGCCTCGGCTGACCCAAAGAAATGTCTGTCTTCGAAATCTTTAATTGATTCCTCCATTTCTTTAATTTGATCAATCTTGAACTTTTCATCGTTCTGAAATGTTTCCAAAAACCTGGAGTTCTTTTTATAAAAGGCTTGATGTGCCTTGGCGTCGGCTTCTAGGCCCGTTAATATTTTGTCACGGGAACAAAGAGCGTTAAATTGTTTCCGTTTCTGCAATAAAGACCGGAGAGTTTCCATGCTGGCAATCTCGCTTTGCAAACCGAAATCTTCGAGCTGCTGGATCCGAGGAGCTTGTTGCGGTTCAAAAGCTTTGAGTACATTGGTAAGAGCGTCCTCTTCCTTCTCTACATCGTTGAGCTCCTGGGTTACAGCATCGTGCATATTTCGTTCGTCATCATATTCCTGGGTTGCAAAATCTAGCTCCTTTCTGAGATTATCACGCTCCTGGGTTACAACATCAAGCTCCCGAGTCAGAGCACTTAATTGTCTTTTGAGAGTTTCGCTGACCTTTTTTTCGTTATCACTCTCCTTGGTTACAGCATCATATACCTTCGTCAAATGCTCTAGATCATCGTTTTGTTTCTTTGATTTTTCGAGCTGCTGATTTAGAGTAGCCTGTTGCATTTCGAAAAACTCGGGTGCTTCCATCTTTTTGCCGAGAATGGAAGCCATGGCATCGGATCGAAAGGAGTTTTTGGGCACCGATCTATTCATTGTTGTTGACCTGAAGACCTGTCTTGATATAAATTGTTGTCTGACCGAGTGTTGATTCTATGGTTGCGCTTCAACTGCTTTGCGATGTGACGAAGAGGCAAGTGGTGGTGTGATGGAATTTATGTTATCAAATTAGTACTACAATAATTGATCCTTTTTGGACAACACCATAAATTGAAGGGTGAAGAACGACATGTTTTTCTCAGATACGCAGTCCTGGATGGAATTCGTGACATTTCCGTTCATTGTTTACCATCTAGTTTCTCAACGTTCAGTATCACTGCCTTACGGAAAGTATTGAGTTAATAACTAGACTGGAGATTGGAATATATGTAGATGTAGTACCACAGTAAATTAAGTGTGTTTGAAGTAAATAATTGAAGGGTATGAGTACATCAAAAATGGTCGTATCTTCTCGTTGTTTTCCATGTGGGATCTTTAAGTAAGAAGCGAACAGATTTTTCGTCAGTTTGAATAAAAATCTTGTTTCTGCGCTCGAGTGTCAGTTTGTTTTTACTTACAGTGTTGTTCCAAACTTGGTACGAGTGCATTTCCGTTCTCCCCCCATCCAAACAAAAAACTGGTCCCAAAATATTTCTAATAGGTCCTAATTACTGGGGATATAATATCAATGGTTAATACTTGAAAATATCCATTAGTGCTTACTACTGGATAAACTCTATTACTACCTCCTAGTGGGGATGTTATAGTAGTGAGCACAGCGAACCGCTAGGTAGGACTGTTCTATTGGTGGTGCTCCTATTGTCGGTATTGTCACCAAATTGCTCCAATTCGTTTTTTTTTCGTTTTGTACTTTGTAGAACACTACAATACTGTATTATACTACTTCGATGTCGTAGAATATCGCAGACGACGAGCGACGGCTTGTAGCGGGCGGCGGGGATGATACAGCGTTAGTTGACATCACCAAATCCTGTTCTCTAACCCCCGCAATCATTGGCACAACCGGAGTCAAGGCTCCGGACTCGTGCCTCTGTGCCTCCATCCCCCTTGTCGTTCGGCTCACTCTTGTACTTATGGTGGCGGCAGATGCAACACCCCCCTCTAGATCTACAGCATCAGCATCTATTGCACCCGTGTCGTTGTCCCGTTGTTCTCTCGTTTTCGCAGCAGGCGGGAGCAGCTTGCAGAACTGCTGCCGGCAGGTGGGACAGGATGGGTGGTATTCGTCCTTTGACCCGCGCATTCCCGGCTTGGGAGTCTTCTGCAGGGAGAGATAATCGACCATGCAGGATTTGTGGTAGACGTGCTTGCACGACCTAGTGTCCATGCTGCGCACGATGGTGTCCCCGGCTTCGAAATCCTCAAAGCAGATGATGCAGGTTCCGCGGACGTCTGTGGTTGTGGTGGTGGTGCTAATCCCGTCTAAGCTGGGTCGGTCGGTTCCACAATTATCGCTGGTCTCAAAGACGAGGAACGAGGACCGCCTGGTGCGGGTAGAGGCGGCGTTGGAAGCAAAACCAGAAGGATTCTCCAGGGACAAATAGAGCGAAGGATCGTCCCCCTCCTCGTGGTTTCCGTCCAGGTCTTCGACCGTTACTATCTGATCCTTGGACAGCACTAGCTCGTTCCCGTTCCTTTGGAAAAGCTCACTGTAGTATTCCCTTTTTTCCTCTCTGGTCATACCCGCTAAGGTAGCATGTAGCGACGGTTCTTCGTAGGTTTCGGATTCTCTTACGTCTTCCTCGTTTCTGCTGCGGTGCTCAGCAAAGTAGCACCAGATGAGGAGTGGAAGGAGGAAGAGTCCGGTAACGAACAATAGCTCCTGAAATCTCATGTGACAGTTGCGGTGACAAAATACGTAGTCAGGTTCTGGTATGGTCGTCGGTGGTGATGTTTGTGCCGATGGTGCCACTGTTTCGTCGATAAAAGAAGCGGTTGAATTGGACGAAGAGGATATTTTCAGCGCCGTTGAATTAACAAGAGAAGCTGTGGAATTGGATAGAATTGATGATTGGTTCATTGCTATCAAGCTGAAATCGTATCTGAGTATATGCTATTTTGTTATCTTGCTGTGTAGGTTGGTATTAATTGATGGATGTGATTTGTGATCCATTTGATTTGTGATCAGCTCAAAAAATGTATTACTGGTTAACAGAATACTAGAATATCATTATTTTGTACTCGAATTTGAAGTTTCGCGCGTGCAGGATTCTTTTTACTGTAATTGTTTATAACAGTGCTTTTTGTACAGTAAAGAACGTAATTGAGCAAAACCGCACGGGAGACTTTCAAAAGAGAAAAGGTATGAACGAAGGCACATGTAAAATATTGCTACGACTGAAAGCGAACAATCAAAACGTGCAGAGAAAGTGGAGAGGAATTGCTTGGGAAGGTTCTCTTTTATTAAATTGCCGCCATGACATCATGCTGTCTTGGCTAGTAGAGAATTATCATTACCATCATTAGTAGTTTTTATTACGAACTGCACCATATTCCAACCTGACATTCAATAAGTAGCCGAATGCAAAGCACAACAAATGCTTTTTGTTTGTTCTATTCGCAACACTACTCGCAGCAAGTGGTCGCAAGAAGAGGCTATAGTTAGGACTAGGAGACCATGATGGCCGATTCAGTTAGCTCGCAAGTTTTATTACATCTTTGTGAGATGAAAATCGTGCAAAGCATACTAGAATGGAGAAGAACCATATAATGTTCTAAATTATTGATCCATAGTAACAAACAGATAACATTCGAACAAATTATATATTATAGTTAAAAATATATTTAAAAAGGACGAGTCTCACGAGCTCCAGGGCATGGCACCGTCCTAAAAACGCCTTCCACGTGCTAGTGCAAATCGATTTGGCTTGATCGCATTAGACATTTGCCTCTCAGATTTCTGTGAATTGTACCTGCCCGTTCGATCCGAGTGGTTTCATTTGGCCCGCTTTGGATTGTTCATACCCGCAGCCGGCGCAGGCCTCCGTAAGCCTGGTGGCAGGTCTTGCACCGTCCGCCGGAGGCGAGTTTCATGGCGCAGCTCGTGCAGAACGAGGGACAACCACATGGGTCGCACTCGTACACTATCTGCTTCTTGTGGCATTTCAGGCAAAGAAGAGTGTTCCGGGACGACGACGCCGATCCAGCGTCGCTGTCGTCGTGGTGGGCTGTTTCGGGGGAAGTTCCAGCAGTTCCTGCTATTTGTGCCGGCTTTGTTCCATCCCGGAATTCTACCATAACCGATTCGCTTTGGTCGGGGGTGGTTCTTCTATGGAAGTTTCTTGGTTTGATGTGGTGGTCCTGCAGATTGTTGATTGCTGTTGACGTCTTCTATTGAGTTCCAGTGTATCGTCTCTCAAAATGTGAAAATCCATTCAGTGTTAAAAGTCTATCACCACTAATGCCATTCTTTTGATAGCTTATCACGAAGCATAGTATTCATGGTGATATGACCAGCACGATATGACATTAATAAATAGCATCACAACATGCCTGTTTCGGCGTGTTCGTGGGGACGCTTCGTGTTTCGCTTTGGAGAGAGGAAAGTGTTTCTTGGCATTCGATTCTCGTTCCGCGATCCCGAAACGAACTTTTTTATGAATACAGAACTTAAAGTTGGAGCCTCACAACGAGTACTTCAATCTTATCTTAAGTAGGTACGGGTAGGATCCACGACTGACAAGAAATTTCGTGTCGTGGTACCCGTCTGGCCGTAGCGCACTCGAAGTACTTTACCTACCTACCTTCAAAACGAAGAGGAGCCGTGCTTGTTCACATCAGGCAATCTTTCCTCCTCCATCTGCGAAATGCGGTACGAATGTCGCTGATGATGGCTGATGAGCGAGGTCAGTCGGATGTTGCTCATAACTTGCGAAATACCCCTTATTGAGGGATGTTACGTGGTTCTACCGGTACACTAAAGAGTGAGCTCATTCGCCATCTACTCTTGATTGGGGTTCGTATTGAGCGCCACACCAAAAGTGCAAATTTACATCGAACATTCTCAAATCGTGGAACTCAAAACGACACAATTCGAACAAAGAATACTGTAATCACCACAATCGACTTCGACCATGACACGGGCAGCACCCGATACAATTTGCATACTTCAAGCCATATGAATCGACCTATAGATAACTCTTCTATCACCGAACGCAATAGTAATATATACTCACACTCTGTCATGACGCCACCTCAATGTTCAACCAATGACGATGGCGGCGGCTTTCGCCTCCGCATTCCGCTGCTGGATGACGACAGCTACCATGATGATTCCGGGAACAGGGTACTTTCACAGAAAACGATCGATAAGTTTCGCAGCGATGGCTTTGCGGTTTTTCCTAACGTTCTATCCCCGGACGCCGTTGACGCCCTGAACGATCGCTTGGAAGACGTCCTGCGGGGGGTCTACGACCGGGGGCAAAAACCCGACAAGACTCCGCGCCTTCTTAAAAGTCATAAGCCACAGTCACTGCCTCGTGACGAATCCACGTATCCATCGAACGTCGAAACCGAAAACCCAGAAATAGCGGCAGCAGCAGAAATAGAACCGAAAGGCAGTGGCAAGAAGAAAAAACACAGAAAAAAGAAGGGATCCCCTTCCGTCGGGCCCATCGGGTTCAGCGGAAACCTTGAAAACGTTAAGGTGCTACAAATCATCAACATCCACAAGGCGGATTCCCTTTTTCGGAGGCTCGAAACCAGCGCCAGCCTGGCGAAAATCGTTGCCGAGCTTGCCGGATGGGAGGAAGGTGCCCGTCTCGCCCAGGACCAGGTCTGGGCCAAGCCGCCGGGGGCACCCCCGCTGGTCTTCCATCGAGACTCGCCCTATTTCATGTTCGATCCCCCGGACGTCGTCACCGTCTGGCTGGCCCTGGACGACATGGACGGAGCCCTGGGCCCGCTGGAATACGTGAAGGGGAGCCACCTGTGGGGGGACGGCCGCGTTGGATCGGCCAAGCAGTTCTTCCAGGCCGACACCAGGAGCCTCCTTCGCTCGGCTGCGGAACGAGAGGGAATTCCCGAGGCAGACCTGGAATTCGTCAGCATGGAGGGACTGGAGCGTGGCGGCCTCTCGGTCCACCACGGGAGGATCTGGCACGGGTCGGCCGGGAATTCCAGCACCTCGTTGCCACGGCGGGGCCTCGGCCTCCACTTTGTCCCCTCCACCGTGAGATTTACGGCGGATACAGCGAAGAGCAAGCTGTGGAAATCTTACGTGGAGGACTTGGAGGGCGATCCATCGGAAGTGGAGCTGCCCGAGGAAGATTTTCCGTTGTCGACAGCTCTTTAGATTGGAATTTTGAGAGAAGAGTAGTATGGTAGAAAGCAAGCACAGTAGACAGTGGGATTGGAAACTCAATGTGGTAGAAGGTATTATTAATTGTAGAACAATGAGGGAATCTACAATTTGCACAGTTGCTACCTCATTATTCTTTGCTCCGAACCTTCGTAACAATTATTTTCGGCTTTTTGAAGAAATCGACTGGAGTTGGAACATGGAGTAAGCTTAGCTTGTGTCTTCGATGGCCACGGGTTTTCGTTCTAGGTTGCCTGTACTGTGGCAAAAGAATCCAACATCCGAACAAGAATAGGATGTCATCCGATAAACACTTTTGCGCGGGATGGTGGTATGTGTTGACAGGCACTACTTGAACGATGTGTCTCGGATGTCTGGGAAGAAATGAGCCTTGGTTTCTGTTGTTTGTAACCATCTACGTCTGTTAGAACTTGCAAAGCCACTCTCTCCCAAAAATGCACCATCCATAATCAACCGCATTTTAATATTTTTTGCCTGCCGGTGTCACGAAATAAGAATTTAAATTATTTTACCAATAGTATCATTATCCAAGCCAGCAAGGCTTGTTGCATTGTGTATTATTCGTAGTTCGTACTTTACTCACAATCATCCCTAACCCTCGATGCATGGTACAACGGATGTTTCTATCTGAAGTATCCTTTGTAATAGCAAAAATACGGCGTCCAGGTGGACCATTTCCTCGGACGAGGCGTACACCAACGACTCGAGGAGGAGGTTTACGTTGTTTCCGTGGCGGGAAAAGACGGCTTCGAGAAGCCCTTCCCGGTGCCCCCCGTCCATGCGGTTCCATGGTGTCATGTCGTAGGATCCCAGGTGGAACAAGCCTCCCATTTCCTTTGGAAAATGCCGCAGGCCAATGTCGAAAATAGTGCGAAATTTTTTCTCGTTGCCGCTCGATTGGTATAGGTAATAAGCACAGGTTGCAGTGTGGATTGGTAGGCAGCCGCCCCAGCGGCAAGACATGAACGAGGTCGGATCCCAATCCATCAGGTAGCGGAATTGTTGCTCGAAGAAACCGTAACCGTAGGCTAAGTTCCTGTGAATCAGGTGGTAGCGGGCGATATCTTCCTTTCGGAAGAGGCCCACCAGTCGCAATCGGTGCAAGACATCGAGGTACGTTTCGTCTGCCAGACGGAGGTGCTTGACGTCTCGATAGGCCCTATTGGGCTGTCCCGTAGAAAGCGATTCGAGTACATTTATAGGCGCAGAATGTTTCACGGAAAGCAGCCCCCCTCGTTTCTCCTTCTCGAAGAGACCCAGCTCGATCCCTAGCTTCGCGAACAACGGAACAAAGAATGCGGCTTTTATGTTGCATTTGTCCTCTCGAGTAGCGATCTGTGCCCAGATGGGGTATACATGGTCCTCGTGTTTTGTGAACAGCACCCTCGGGAAAAAACGCAGCGCAGTTTCGACCTGGGCTTCTGTGTCGCGATCTCGGTTGAGGCCCTTTGACTCGTCGATGTCGCCCCGGACATTCCAGTTCGCCCAGATCAGTTCTGTCAATCGTTTCTCAACGCTCGAGAGAAAGGCTGCTGGCTCAAGGTTGTCCCGCAGGGCCTCGTCGATAGATGGTCGGATTTTCTCCGGAAATTCATGTTTCTTAGCGACTATGGCCTTAGTTTTGGCCTCTAGAGGCGACAGCTGCCGGTCGATTGCTCTTGTTGCCGTCGTAACGTCTTGCCTGTTCATTCTTTGGGTAAGGTTCGGAGTTGGCCCTGGGGAAAGGACGGAAGGGTTAGCGGTTGAATCATGTCCATTTGACTAACATGCCATGATCTTTCTTTGCGATCACCAGACGAAAAACAAAGAATTGTGTACCGTTGTATTGAGCGAACCGTTGTCAAGGAATCATGAGGGAGTACGAGTAGTGCGGCACATAATTTTTTCCGGAAAGATCCAACTGGATGCAAAGATTGATTCGTTCAGTTTCTCGCGCCAGCGCGAAAAAGAACAAATCCCCGGACAGAACGACAGGACCACTTCTACCGGTAGCAAACTTTCCTTTCGAGCAAAAATCGAAATAAATAAACTGATCACATTTTAATTATTTTTTGGATGTGATAGTATTTTATCACATCGTTGTTTTTAATCAAGAGCCAAAGCAGGAGTAGTTGCAGAAAACAACAAGTAACTTTCAATTGTAGATTGTTGAGCGGAACTTTCGGGGTCACTGTTCTGTCAACAACGTACACCGGTTGATTCTAGTACTAGTCTCGGTGTCGCAAGACCTAATATCTCCTCTACCCACAACGAAGTATCTTGGACTTCCCAGTGAGAACTTTAACCCATTACATATTAGAAGGCGTGTATCAGAAACCAACCCCAACGAGTGAACCCGCAACACAGCGATTCATTCGATTTGATTCGTCCGCTAGTGTTGCTGCTGGTGGGCAACTCGTTTTTCAAAACAATGACCAACAGTGGCGGATTGACGTCAAGATTCCGATGAAGGAATGTCACCTTCCCGTTGGTCAATAACTTTGAATGAATGTCTCCTCCCATGTGACATGGTACTGGCTCTCCATTCCTTGCCAGCAATTCCGAAGCAGTCTCCCAAGCCCAGTTCAATCCAACCCAATCGAAATCTCCGAAAAGCACGGACGATGCAAACACGATTGTTTCCTGTTTTAAATAAAGTGTTTCTTATATTACAGGTGGTGCTATCATTTTTGCAAGCAGTTGGAAGACGATGTTTTGTTGTTTTCTGTGACTCTTTGCGCTGTGGTTGGCAGTGTGGAAAGCCAATAGAGTATTAAGCGTTGTTCGTTCGTCTTGACTACCACTGGAAGCTAGTAAGAGTTTATGGAGTGCAGTGCCACATGCATTCGATAGCCCAAATAGTTTATACTATGCATCGGTCCGCTAATCATTCATTAAAGTTCTTGGCCTATGCTGGCTTCTTTAATCATGTCCTCCAATTCCCCCAGGGCGTGCCGCTGATCCAATTCCTTGTTGCCGCCAATGTGCTTCTTACCGATGAAAATATTCGGGAAGGACCACTGTCCCGTGAGTTCTTGCAGCTCCGTCATGAGCAACGATTTATCCCAACCCGGCAGCAAATCGACGTCTAGGAATTCGACGTTTACGTTTAGGGCCCTGGACAATCTCCGGAGAAGGTCCTTGGCCCGGCGGTTATGGGGCCCGTAGCTCCGAGCGAACACCATGACCTAAAAGGTATAAGCGGTTCGCGGTATTGGTTCGAAGGACAACGAAAAAGGAAGAGGCCAAAACGCATGTGAGAGGGGAGTCCATCAACTGCCTAAATTGGTATCGTGGTTGACGAGAAGAAATTTGTCGAGACAAACTGTAGACGCCATAACCAAACAAAACAGCTGGTGATCGATTGGCTTTCTGATTGGTTGCATTCGATCGTTCATTTCCTCATATCGCTTGCCGTTTGATTGCCCCGGCAACAGGAACGGTAACTATACGGCGCAACGATACTGAATACTCACGTCGTGTGAATCTATTTTTTGCTCGATAAATTTAGCCGGATTTTCTCCCGTGGAAAGTTTCTGGACTAACTCTTCCGTGCCGTTGATGCCACGAGCAAAAAACAGCGAGGTCAGCAGCAGGAAGCACTGCTTCATTATTGTCGACAGTAGTTTCATATTTTTAGCAACGCAATCGACTGCTTAGCTACAGAGAACCGAGGTGTCTGGATCAAATGTGCGGAATGCTTATCAGTATTTGTATCAATGTCAATGTGGATATTGCTATTGAGTTTATGTCGTTTGTCCTTTTTTGTGTTATCGAAATATTTTTCGCTTAGTTTGTGTGGCACTTCGCCTTAATCGATAAGAATATTGTATCGGTTTTTGTTTAGGTTGGATAATGGCTCATGGCGCTTCGTTATGGCAGGGCACGATGAAAGCTGTATGCTTCCGTAGCTTCGACGTGGTGATCATACCGAACCTTACCGCTAGAAATATCTGGCGAGAAGGATTTTTATCGACCCTCAACTGGTCGTGATCTTTTCGGAAAGGTCATCGCTGCCTTAAATTCAAATCGCTAGAAACGAAGAGGTCATTTCTCGGTCATAAGGGTTCGCAGATTAATTCGCAGAACCGACGAAATAACCATCCTCTCGAACTTCCCAGTGCGTCCTAGAAAGCAAAAACCCGAATTGCGGTGTTCGATTCGTAGAAGTAGTAATTGTTGTTCAGCTTTAATTATTGGAAGTATTGCTGTGTTTCCACCATTGGTATGGAAGGACGAACTCATCCTAATGTTGTAATATTGCCCTATCTTTTACGGTATTGCCATGAGGTAGAGATCCCCCGAAATTTTGTTGGGGAAACTTCCACAACAGATTACCGATCCATTCGATTTGTAAGAAGTAATCGACTGATACGACTCAAACCCACGTCATCCGGCCTGATTGCGTTCCAAAATCAACAAATCACGTGCCAGAAAAAGAATGCCACCAGCACAAGTTTACATCTTGTTCAAACGCCTATCGTCCGAATTCAAGAAGGTCGGCTGGTCTTCACCATGGCGGTACAATACCGAAAGCTCTCCCGAGGAAGTAATCTCCAAAACCACTATTAGTGTACTACAATGTATTCGTTTCTTTTCGCCGCTGGAGTCCTTGCCCTGCTTTCCGATAGGGGCCACGGCTTCTCGCCGTTCCCCGTCTCGTCTTCGTTGAGAAAGTCGTTGGTGTCCAGCCCTACGTCGCTGAACAACCTGTTCACGGACATGGGGGATGCCCTGCACGACATGGGGGACGCTCTGACGGGAGGAAAACTGGTCCCGCAAACCGAGCCCCTTGTCTACGGGACGCCACTGGGAGGAGACGACACTCTTTCCGAGGAGCTCCGAACGCTTGCGGTCCAGGAACGGCTCGTCTCCTTCACGGGCGAAGACTTCGACATCCAGGACCTGGACATCAACGAGCCCTACTGCAAGGTCCGGGGGGCCATGCTCCACCTCCCCGGGAAGGACAAGATGAGGATCAGCCTCGGCGGGGAGCAGGTCGCGATCCTGGACCGAAAACTCATCGCCATCACGCCCACCTACGACATCCTGAGGGCCGACGGAGAAAAGATCGGCTGGATCGAAAAGGCCACGATTGCCCTCACGGACACCTTCGAGTTCCACGCCGAGTGCGCCCCGCACTTTGGGCCCATCAAGCCCCCGGCGGCCTACCGGCTGGAGGGCGACTTTCTGGACCGCCGCTTCGTTATGAAGAACGACAAGGGAGAGGCGGTGGCCAAGATCACCATGGACCGGCTCATCGAATTCGACGCCTGGGACCACTACCAGATCCGGATCGCCCCGGGAATGGACCCCGTCCTAGTGGTGGCCTGTGCCTGTGCCATCGACGAGGAATTCGACGAGGAGCACAAGAAGAAGCGCGAGGCGGAGGGTCGATAACCGGGTTTCAGCTCGAAACCAACCACGGTGCAAGATAGAAAAGTAGTTGGCGAAGTATTTATAGAATAGTATCAAAGCAGCTGATTGTTGGACAGTGTTGTAATAGTTTTCAATGCTTTTCTAGCTGGTACCGCGTTCCGGCCTTCGAATCCGTTGTCAAGGACGAAACGCCGCCCGTTTCTTCCCCATCGAGCGTCGCTGGGCCTCCCTTTGTCTGCGCTGCGATCCTTCCATGCGTACCGTGTTCGCTCGGCTACCCCCCCTCGTCGGCCGGGGCCTCCTCGACGCCGGAGTTCCGCTTCATGCCGGCCGCCTCGCTGAGGCTCAGCTCGTAGACCATCCGCTCGATCTTGGTGACGCTCTGCTGGAGCTGGCCCATCTTCTTGGAGATGTTCCCCGGCGGCTTCTCCAGGGACCGGATCGCGGCCAGGACGGCCCGGTTGGCCTCGAGGCACCGAAAGACGCCGTCCTTGTCCCGGGCGGTTCCCCGCTGGACGGCAAAGCGGCCGATCTCGCCCGTGAGGTCGCAGATGCCCCCGAGGTAGTCCCCCGGCTCGAGCGCGATGGGAAAGCTTCCGGGGGAGAGGAGGGTCCCGTCGATCGTTTCCGGTTCGGTGTTTTCTCCGTCGGCTCCGAGCAACCAGGAATAAAAGAGCTTGGCCTCCACGTACTCTTCGACGACGCCCGCGTAGCTGGAGGCCCGGAGGGGGGGTTCCTCCGTGACGATCGGCAGTAGGTCTTCGAGGATGCACTTCTCGCAGTCCTGGATCAGCTTTGCCGCCTTCTTGTAGTCCTTTCGGTGCAGCGCATAGATCGCCTGCTTTGCGGCCTTTTGCCCGTCGCGGGATTTCTTGATGAGCTGTTCCCGCAGGCCGTCGCGGTGCTCGTACCGGAGCCGGAGGGCATCGAGTTCCTCGGAGAGGGCCGATGTTACTGCCGTCTCTGGCGTGCCGTCGTCGTTGTCTTCGAGGCGGGCTTTTTTCGCCTCTGGTTCTTCCTCGTCGTCCAGCGATGCACCGGTTACCGACAACTCGTAGAGCAGAGTTTCTAGAGACTGCAAAGACAGATGATTTGTTCATTCGACAATCAGAGAAAAGCGATTGGATCGATTGCATACAACGTGGTGAGAAAAAGAAAGATCCAGTCTCTCCACTCCACACTCGTCGTTTCCGTTTGCATCGCTTTGCGGTACAAAAGCAAACGCAGAAGCCCGGAGCCAGCCTGCTTACCTTGAGCGCATACTTGGTCCCGTCGTACCGCCTCCGGAGAACGCCGTTCCGGAAGTCAAAGCCCATCAGGTAGGACAGGATCTGTTCGACGAGGTCCCGGGCCTGGGAAACGCTCCTTGCGTCCCGGACGGTGGCCCGGCCCAGGGCGTACCGCGACAGGTCCTGGCCGAGGCCCATGCACGCCCCCACCAGGTATTCCTCGTCGGTCGCTCCCGCCCAACCGATTGGGCGCTGCTCGTGCCCTCGCACCCGCACGCCGAGGGGGGGAGGAGCTTCCCGGTGCGCAGAAAGTGCCGAAAGGCCGCAAACCGGCAGAGATCCTCCGCCCGCTGCGCCAGGTTGGCGATCCGGGGGGCCCGGTGGTGGCGTTCGGCGTCGCCGGTGCCCACGGCGTCGGCCAGGAGGGCCTCGAGGTCCGAGAGCGAGTCCCCAGCGCTACCCCCGTTCTTCTCGAGATCGGTCTGGGCCGCCGCCAGGGCCTTCTGGAAGGCCCGGGACTTTTCGTAGGCGACCTGGCGCTGCTCGTCCGCCGCGGCGATGGTGGTGGAGAGGTCCGACAGGTCCAGGACGACGGGCGGGCTTCCGGAGGCGCTTTGGTATCGATAGGGGGGCTGGGGCATGGCTTTTTTGCTGCTGCTGCTGCTGCTGCTGTCGTTGGAGTCGTCGCTGGTTGCCAGAGACGAAAACAAAGCGGTGCCGATCCTAGTATCGACGAAAGGGAATGGTATGGACCCGGGAAGATGGTGGCGGTAGCGGTGGCGGTGGAGTTCCTTAACGCTGTGAAACGGCGCTTTATCGGCTAGTGGTTTCAGAGCGGCGGCTGTTGCCAGAACTGGTGCGGACGACAGTGAAAGCGATGCCGATGAAAAGGACCTGACCCAACGAAGAATCATTCGGCGGTCTAGCTGTTGCGGTCGCTTTTGGTTGCTGGTGCTACTGTCCGGTCCGATCGCGGGTTGTTCTTTGATTGACAACGCACCCAACCCGAATTCGAAAGTGACGGGCGACGGGATTTTTTTCACCGAAAGGTCGATCGAGATTTTGGTGTCAACTCCAAAACCCTCTCGCTCCCAAACAAAAAAGACTGGTGGTCAACGAGCAGACTGAATGCCACCCTCGTTCTTGCCCCCCCCCTTTTCGCATTGGCGGTCTCTTCCCCCCGCGCTTGTCCATCTCATTGAAATTCGAGAATTTCGCTCAACCAACGCAAACCGTTCGTACTCGTACTCCTCGTACCTGGTGACGTACGTACTTGACACAAAAAAGTACGTACTGGTACCTTAGTTACTCGTACTGGAGAGCGCCCGATCGCGCGTTTTTTAATACCAACGCGCGAGTAATTAAGACCTCAAAAACGCTTACTAGACAGACCGTTAATTTTAACATAAACTCAAGAATCTTTTGTTTTGGGGGTTATAATTTCCAGACTTTTGGGGGAAGGCACTAGTTAAATTAATTAACTTCACAACTCGGGTTAATTAACTTAATTACTCGAGTTAATTAACTTAATTACTCGAGTAATTAACTTTTTATATCTGGGTTATTAAACTTAATTACTCGAGTAATTAACTCGAGTAATTAATTTTGTTAATTAACTACTCATTTCAATGACATGAAGAAGGTCATGATATTTGATACATAACCCTGATATAAAGGGGTTGTAATAAAACGCACAGTGGTCTTCAAGTTGCGCGTGCCGGCCGTGTTGATTCCTTTTTAGTTCCACGCTAAACACCGTGGTGTTATCGTGTTATTTGTTGTATCGTGCTCTTTGGTAGTACATTTTCTACGTACTAAACTCCCCTCACACAAAAGACCGTGTTATTTGCTTGCTTTGAAATATTCCCCCCACAAAACTACTGCAACAACAACTGCTGCGGCTGCGTGAAGAACCACAAGAGCAAGAAGCAGCAGAACCACCACCACCAGCAAGAACCAGGGCCCGCCGCAATGGCAAGGACGCTTGGATCAAATAGTAAGATAAAGAAAGGTCAAAATCCTGAGGTTTCATTCTCAAATCTATCTGTCATAGAGCAACTTGTAGTGTACTACTATTGGTCTTATTGCCAAACAGACGGACAGCAAGGCTGGGATATTTCCAAATCTGGTTGCACAGAACATTGGAGGCACTATCAAGTCATTCATCAGCATTGGAAGACTAGGAGTGGATTTTATAATCGAGCTAAAGTAAGAATCGTGCTGTAGTACATTCTGTCATTATTGCTGGTTTCTTTCCTCTCACTTCTTGCCTCCTTCACACGCTCGTCACACGCATTGAAAAGAAATTAGCATTCCTAGCAGAGGAACTTGCCGACATCCCATCATTTCAGTTATCAGAGCCATCCGTTGAAGGTATTCCGAAAACGCCATCAACTGCAGCAATTGCTGAATTATCCTCCCCCAGAACAAAGAGAGTCCTATTTTCTCCTGAGGAGGAAATCCTTGTCACCACCAGCACGCCATCACCAAAAAGAAGCACACCATCACCACGACTGACTGCTCACAGCACCACCAGCACCAGTATGCCCATTGCTTCTACACCAAGATCTGCTGCTTCGTCGAAGAAAGCGCCGTCCGCAACAAGGGCTTCTGCTCCATCCTCGGCGGTTGCAAACAGCAGCAGCAGGACAATGATGACTATGACTGAGCTAACCGAGGCTGCGAAAAGACTCAGTCTTGAGGACTGCAGCCATGTTCAAGTCATTGGCAGTGCCTATCCAACCATCGTTGGAACATGGGACAACCAAAACACTGGCGACAGTGATTCCTCTGATGAAGACTATGAGGACAATGTATACACCATGATCAGGATTATCATGCACAATGCAATTTATAGTGAGCTCATTGATCCAGAATGGATCGACTGCCACACTCTTCTTGTTACCATTCGTTGGCCCAAATGGTTTAAGAAGGTCTCTAGGCATGTTGCCATCCAAAAGGGACAGGCACACCAGTTTGACAAGGGTCATAATGTCTTCAAAACAATGAGACGTTACCTCCGCAAACTGTACAAGAGGGATGAGGATACTGGTGATCCATATCCAGAAAAGATAATCGAAGACAGCTTTACCATCCAGTTTGCAACGCCAATGGTCACCGATGAGGATTCCGTGGATGTTGAAGTTGTGGATGTCACTGTCAGCAAAGATGATCTTGATATTGGCGAAGCACTACCTCCTGGAGGAATAATCAAAGTACTTCAGATTATTGCAGAGGCTCAGATGCCTGAGAAGAAGAAGATCAGTCAACGCCGCATCCGTGTTGGTGACCGGAAGGCTGCACTAGGTAAGGAACCAAGTGGTAAAAGAATCGATGAGGCTTCTGATGCTGATGAGGAACAGCTCATCCAGAAGAAGCAGGAGGAAGCACACCAGCAGCAAAAATTTAAGGAGACGATAGACCGGATTCAACAGGAAAGTCGGCGCCTAGTAAAGAAGAAGCAGGAGGACGAGCAGTCTGCTGCTGCGGCTAGTACTGCCTGCGAACTAGTACTAGGTGATCCTCGTCATCATTCTTCTTCTGCTGCGGATACTAATAGTAGTATGGATGAAAGAGAAGCAAGTAGAAAAAGAACACGAACTGACCAGCACTAACTTGCCAACATCCCCCCCCCCCTTCCTTTATCCTCCTCGTCATTGCCACCACCAACGCTAATACTACACTCGATTCTTCCTGCAGGTAAAAAGATCTCCGGCAACGCGATGGATGAGGCTGATGATGACGACTTGTGACTGCTGGGACTATCACCAGTATCAAGCTTCCGTTCTGTGGATGACTCTCTTTCCTCAAATGATGAGCTGGATCCAATTCGTACGATGATGCAAGATATAAAAGAACTGAATTCAGAGCTATCTAAGTTTTCAAAACAACGATAGCAGTTCTACTACTAGCAAGTATTCTTGTTGTTGTGTTGGGGATTAATGAACAATAGAGTGTGGCAGCTGCCTGTAAAGTTTCCCCATCAGCTGGCGCTTTGTTCATATTAAATTAGTAGTATACGTAAAAATTATTCTGAAGCTGCTGGATAGTACACTATTTAGTATTCGATTGTCGATTGCTATTGTTAGCAGTGCTGAAGTTCCCCCCCCCCCGCGCACCTCATTACGTAGTATACCGAACATCATATTCGACAGCATACATTCCTTCTCCGAGTTCTAGCTTCAACTGTGTCACCACTGCCACAGCTCCGAAGCACATTCCATGCTTTCCTATCATCTTGTCCCTATCTCTACCTTCAGTGTGATGGAAAGAAGCGTTCAATACATTAAAGATCTTTAGTCTTCCATTCACATTCTCATGCCGGCCACGGATTATTGATTTTTGTTTCCTTTCATTCGAGTCTATCCCCTGCCCAGGAGTCTTTGCCTTCTGTGTTCCTCTCAAGCCACTATCAGCTTCAACGCACTCCCATTCCTCCAGTTGATTTGCAAGATCGCTTTCAAAGATTCGTTTTTCAGAAGTGCCAGCTGGAAAAGGACCATTTATCCAAACAATGTAACCGGTTTCAATGCAGATCGCTACTTCATATCTAATGGCAGGCCCATTGAATTTCTCGGAATACATGTCTGTTGTGAAAGGATGTGGTTCATAGCATGGGCAATCCATCCAATCTACTGATATCATGCAGTCTGCTTTAGGCAAGTACATGCCAGTTGTCGATTGAGGTTGACCAAGGAATCTGTTCTCCCATACGATCACATCTTCCTGGAGCTCGAAGATCCTTTTCACAAAATACCATGACCATTTCCTAAATGTATCACTATGGGGCCAGCCAACGATTGAGCAGTGGACTTCTTCAGATGTAGTATAGACCTTAAGGAATAACAACGCCCATAATAAATGTTTTGGTTCTGCTGATTCCGATAAGGACTTTGCTTTGTGGTGAACAATACGATTCCATAAATCGGCAATGACTTTGCTGGACGCACCGAATAAGCTAGCAATCCGACGGCTTCCTTTCTCTGGGTTCCAAACGCGATCCTGAGGCCATTGGATCATTTCTTTTACTATAGCTTCAATGATTGTGCTATTCATGGTGGTGTTGTTGCTGCTGCGTTTGCTGCTTCAATTAGATTGCTAAATAAGCACGCTAAACAAGAAGCACGCTAAACAAGCACGCTAAATTAGCACGCACGCCGTATATCAGCGTGCTGGAGGGAAGTTTTAGGTCAAGACAGTAGGACACAGTATGATTTTGAACGTCGAATCAAAACCCTTCTATTTTGAGCAAAATGGACAGTGTACCCCCTTGATTTTGAATTTTCTACAGGATTTATACGAGCGTTTTGTACTAGGAAGCTCCGTAAATCAGTAATTTTGGTCTCCAGTTTGCTTCCTATCTGATTTTAGGCCAAAAGCTAATTTTAACACGGCGTTTGCGAGTGAAGATAAAAACCAACTGATTTTGCCCAAATTCGACAGTATACCCCCTTGATTTGCTGTTTTCTACAGCGTTTTCTACACAGCTTTTGTACTACAGAGCTCCAAATAGATCCATTTTGCTCCTCGCTGAGCAGCAGCTGAGCAGCTGCTGCATCCGTTGTACAGTAATGCTGCTGTTGCTCGTAGTGTACTATGGTACAATGAGTACTGTGTACAATTCAAATAGTTAATTAACTTAATTACTCGAGTTAATTAACTTAATTACTCGAGTTAATTAACTTAATTACTCGGGTTAATTAACTTAATTACTCGAGTTAATTACTCGTGACATTTCAATTAATTAACTTTTTTTTAAAATGTTCCCCCATTATATAATATACAATTCCCCCAATATAGGAGAACCCATTCTATTAAATAGTTAACCGTTTAATTTACTTTTACCGTTATAAAGTTTTGTGAACGTCGCGTGGTATTAAAAAACGCGCGATCGGGCGCTCTCCAGGTACTATTAACAATGCACATGTAATGTGCGATACATACGAGTACTCGTACCGTCCGTAGGTACAGTATCCTACCGATCTGGTCACGTGACGCAGAGCAATCCGCAAAAAATAAAAACCAGAATTCAATGGGCGGAAGGATAGCAGTGACAACAACAGACGAGGGGCCTACGGACTCTTTTCGTAGCAGTAGTAATCTTTTTTTAACGCGTGCATAGCATACAGTGCCGCCGCAACTCTGGCACGCCGGTTGACCACCTGTGGATTCTCGGTTTTGCCGACACGTATTTTAAACGTTTAGAGCGAAAAAGAAATTATGCCGATCTTCTTCCCCGTACTCGTACCCAGAAGCAAGGATCGGGGTTGCTAGCCTCGGCACAAAAATCGAACGGATTCGAACGATCGACAACGAGCAGGACACTCGAGAGCACAAGAGAAAGGCAAACACGGAATCGAGAAAAACGCTGCAATCACAGAAACAGAGTTTTTGGCAAAGTGTTGCAGAAGTACCACTAGAAACCAAACCCTCCCCTCCATGTGCGGACCAACCAATCGATTGCCCCCGGTGCAGGACGGCCCGGCGGTAGATGCTCGCAGCTCGAGCGGCAAGCCACCCCTGCCCAACCCGGCAACGCCGACCACCGGACACCAAGCACCACCGGGCAGCAGCAAGAGAAGCTCCGCCGTGCCCAGCGGGATCCTCCACGTTTCCCCGGCGGTCGCGGCCGCTGCCCTGGCCGCTTTCGTTTCCGTCGCCCCGTCGTACCTGTACGTCAACCGCGGGTTCACCGTCTGGTTCCACTGGGCCTCCCTCGCCTGCGTCCTGACCCGTTCGCACTTCCTGGCCCAGGCCCTGGTCCTCTGCGGGACCTCTATTTGCCTGGGCTGGTACGCCTGTCTGGTCCACGAGTACGCGGTCCACGGCCGGGTCTTCGACGCCCTCCACAAGAACATGCCCGGGGCGCTGGTGGACCGCATGCTGCTGCCGGGGGGCGGCGGCGGCGAGAGCGGCGGGTCCCCGAACGGAGTTCTGGATTTCGAGTCGACCGGGTCGCTGCTGGCCATGGCGGTCTCGCACGTGCTGGATTTCTTGGGCCATCCGTGCCTGACCTATTATTTCTGGAGAAAGCACCGCCAGCTCCAAAGCCAATCCAGTGTTGGAGGCAGCAACAGAAACAACAACAACAACAACAAGACGCATTCCAATGGCACGAACGAAAACCTGGTGTCAACCGCTTCCAGCAACACGAAAGGCGACGACGAGGCACTCTTTGCGTGGCCCGTGATCCTGGCGTCCTACGGCTATTCGAGGGTCTGGAGTTTGTTCCACACCTATCACAATCACGGCGCTTGCTCGTGGTTCTATGTTGGCTTCGACGTCTACGTTCTCGACGACCTTGATGCCTGGTATGTGGCCTACGCCATGGAGTCACTGTTTTATGTTTCCATCGTGATATGGAAACTAGGAAAGTCGTTAGCATCATTGAAAACAACGACGACGACGCAAATTCCGCCCTCGACAACGAAGGCTTGCTAGCAAATAAATTATTGAAGAAAAAGAATAGCAAAAGACAAAGGGAATCGCAATTACGTAGTAACACCGGAAGATCCCATTCCAGACAATGCTCCGTAGGATGGGGTTTTCCACCTCTTGCCGCTGACCCGCGGTACTGTACTCTAGAACAGCATTCCTCGTTCTCTCTTGCCCCAAATATGCGTGTGCTCAGTACCTCTGCGGGAGTGGGTGGTAGTGGCGGTAACTGGGACTCAGCAGTGCATCTAGCACAGCCTTTGCCCTCGCCCGCTGTTGATCCTGGGCCACGAGGTATTCGTGTGGCCGGCCCATGGTTCGGGCGTCCCTGGCCTTGGAGAGGCACCGATCGTAAAGCCTCTGCGCCAGCTCCAGCGGTGAGCCCTGCTGGGACCGCTGCCGGGGATCGGCGCCCGTCGATAGGATTCGATCGATCAGCCGCGGTTCGCTCGCCGCCTCGATGGCGGCGTAGAGCAAGGAAATTCCGTGGATACCACGAACGTTCGAGGTAATCTTGGTCTGTAGGGAACGGGAGTATTCCTCGTTGAATCGTTCGACGGTCTCGATCTGGGTTTTGATCGTGGCCTCGATTTCTTGCCTCTTCAGGGTGATGTATTCGATGTCGGCGGTCCTTCTCTGGACGTGCAAGGCAATCGTGCCAACGCCTTCCAATCGCTTGGAAATTTCGAACCAGGACCCATCGGACGGGCTTGCAAATCATCGATGAGCGGAACAATGGAAAACGGGAGAGACGAGAAAGAACGAAGACGTTTGCATCAGAACGAGCAACGAAATAATTTGTGTGATGGGAGAATCCATACCACGTCCAAACTGCCATCAATTCCAAAAGGTTATCTCACCATATCCGTTCTATATCATTGAGTGGTATAGCAATTGTACCGACTTCTTTGGGTCGGAAACGATCCCTGTGAGGATCTCCTTTCAAAATCTTTACTTCCAGTTGTCGATTCTCGAGGGACATCATGTAGTTGTTGTGTGTAGAGAATCTATTCGCCGGGTAGTCAATTCTGTGCCCTAGCGGCAGAGCCGGAAGACGGCCTAGTTCTGCATCCGGAGATCTAGTCCGAACCTCGGTCCCTATTATGTCACTTCGTCCAAAATCTTCGGCCGGATTGGCTCTGTCGAGACACAAAGATTTCAGCTCAATATACACCAACGACCAGGTCCGCAATGACATCGCTTTTTGTATTAGATAGGCACTATTGATATAAACCTTGACAACCTTCTTTTTTGCCTCCGTGTTTCTTCCAGTTGCAGAATGAATATTCAATTTCTTAAGTTCTTCTGTAAGGTAAAGGTTCTGGGGCTGTAAGACATCAGCAACGAACTCATGGCTAAACTCGGGTCCATTTTCCAGCAAGCTAATCAGATCTCTACATGATTTGTTGCGCACGGTATCAATAAAGTGTTCTTGAGAGGAGGAACCTCGGGGTCGTTGGTCACCTCCAGGGCTGAATGCGCCGTGAAATCTGGGGCTCCCTGCACCAGAAAATTCGTGATTGAACGGTGGCCTAGGATAAGGACGTTGATTCGTATCCCTGGAAGATCTTACTGATCCTTTCAGCGCATTTTCTAAATGCATGTCCTGTTGTTGATACCGGTGCTTTGGCTGTGCGAGTGCAGTTCCTCCACTCCACCCACCTTTAATTTTTCCTGTCCAAGCACCGGTTCGAGTCCAGTTGCTCCGTGAGGCGGTAAGAGTTTCTTGTTTGCAGTGCCGATCATTTTGAAAAATGACGCAAAGATTCTTTCTTCCCCGCTTTGCAGAACCATAGAAATCTTGGAGTTGGTGATGGTGTGATACAGCGTTTCGGTGCGTTCCTACCATCACCGCCGTGACTTGCGTTCCTACCTTAATCCTATCATCTGTAGCCATCGGTCCTGAATCACACTTGGAAAGAAGAAGGCATTTCGACTCACCATTTTGGCCTCTTTCTGTTCTAAAATAGCCTCCTAGTGGTTTGATTGTATTGAATACTATTTCGAACGGAAGTTCGACAGAAGCGCTAAAAAAAGATGGGCGATGGCCGGTCTCTGTTTGGCGGGATTTTTTCCTTGCGGGCGTTGATGCAACTTGAAGTGAAGTAGAATGTGCGTTTCTTTTCTCGGAATTTTGGTCGCCCTTTCGTGTCGAAGGGTCACTTCCGAACCTCTTTGGTTGACCCTTTCCAAATAAACCCTCCCAGCAAACTTCGCACTGGCAGTCTTCTGAGCAACGCACGCCAAACATACCACTGTTCAAACGAGTCTGCTGGTGCGTATGCCACATTTCTACAAGCCTTTCGATCAACTTCGTTCCTGTCTCGTTTGGATATTGATTTGCTAATTTGCCAATGAATCTCGGGAAAAAATATAGAAAAATCCCGCGAGTCTTTTCCTTTAGATCTTTCTCTGTAGCCTGTAAGTCCAAATCGTCGTCCTTCCATTTAAATTCTTTTTTTACATAGGCTTTGATCATATCGTTGGCAAATGTTCTCGAGAGAGTCATGTGACATTTGCAATCGTCGCCGCATGTACCCCCAATGTGGATTTTGTGCTGTTCCCACATGCCGAAACAAACTGCTTTCTCTGATATTCTTGTATCTCGGAAGTCGAGCTGTATCAGCTTTTTATATCTTCGTTCAAAATGATGATAGGAATTTTTCGACCTATTTTTGCTTTCCGTCGTGCAGATTTCATTTCCTGCTACATCATTTTCGTCATCTGAGTCGATCAAATCAGTGACTGCGTTCAAAGTTGTGGTTTTGATTGCGGCTTCGCCTTGTTGTTTCCGTCCACTTTTGTTGGTTGGCATTTCAGGGCCATTATGGACTTCTGTCTGATTATTGCTATAATTCATTGCTTTTAGTGCTGTGTTTCCAATTTGTGACTTGCCAGATTTCAATGATTTGCTACTATCCCGTTGTTTCGACCCATCGGGAGAAGCTGTCATTACCAATGAGTCGCTATTCGATTTGTTGCTACCATGATCCAATCCATTGACCTCCTTTTGACTGGTGCTGGTGCCGTTGGCCTCAGTCGATATCATTTCCTTCGCCGGAATTTTTGCAGGAAGAGTTCTCTTCTTTTTTGGAAAGTGTTCTGCTCCAGCATTTCCTGTTGATAAATCTGACCGTAATGATGGTGACACTGGGTTCAATGAGGAGGCACTACTGCTGCGTGGAGCAGGTTTTTTCGAAGAAACTTCATCGGTCTCTTTGAAAACACTGTCTTCCTTTTGATTTCCTGATGATAATGGTGCTCTGGTCGGCTTCTCTGTTGCTGAAGTTGTCGATGATGATGTTGCCAGTGCTGGATCTAGCGAAAAGGCGGGATTCTTTTCGGAACGAGATGATTCATCAAACACGTCGAGCGTTTTCTGAGTAATTGGTTTTGTGGCAATTATTTTCGAAGGAACCTCTTTTCCGTTTTCTACTGATGAAGTTGCTTTATAAAGCTTTTCTTGGGCAGGTGCTATCGGTGATCTTGCTTGTGCAAAACCGGGTGAAAGTGCGGGAAGGTTTTCTACAGAGGTTGATTTATCCAAAGAGGCAGGCAGTTTTGTGGAGGCACTTCCTTCCAAAGGAACAGTTTTCGTTTTTCCTCTATTGGAATCGTCTCGTTCCATTCCTCCCACTGGTATTCCTTCGTGCAGTTTTGCTCCCGTCGCAATAGTGTATGCTTTTGGCGACGTTGAGTTCAGTTCTGGGCTTGAGGAATTGAAGGGAAGGTTTCGAAGTTTTTGATATACTGCTGGGTCATACGCGGTTTTGTCTCGTCTTCGAATTTTGAATTCCCTTTCCAGCTTTTGAATGGGTATCCTGCAGAGATCTGAGTCCTTGGAAATGCAAATCGTCAATATGATGGATTCTTGGGAAGCTTTTTTAGCCTTCACTAACAGCTCTTGGAGGTCCAGAGGGTCCGAAACGGCCAATTCATTCACTGCCAAGACGGCCGCTCCGAAATCGAATACTTCGTGTCCTCCCATGGCCTTGGCCAATCCCTTGCAAGGCAGAACATCCTTGATCCAGATACCTTTCGGTTGCGGTGAATGAGCTGTATTGTTGGTACTGTCTTGTCTTTGATTTGCATCGCAGCGATCCTGTTTACTCCCCTTGTGTTTGACGCTAAACTTGGCGAAGCTCACGCCGATGGGTTCTCGAAGGCTCAACGGAACGTCGAGTTCCAATGAGAAGCCATCCTCTAATAGTAGCCGAAGGTTCACTGCGGCAATTTTTGATCGAATGTAGGCGTCGGTAGTGGCTCTGAGATGTTCCAATCCATCGTGATCGTGTGTGGCGTGGGCTTCCAGGAGGTAGGAACAGGGATCGCCGGGGTGTGGATCGGTAATCTCAATGTACAAAAGGGACTTGGGGTGGTCCCGAACGGCCTGGGGGAGCTGGTTGTGCACCGACCCGATCACACTCGATCGAAAGTCTTCCGGTGAAAATAATAAATTCATTTTATCATCTTCGTTTTCGGAAGCACTGCTGGTTGGAATCCATTTCGGAAGGGCTCGTCGAATCTTCGTGATTTTAAGCAGTGATCCTTCATTTCTTTTGCTGTTACTAATAGGTTTTTGTACTGATGCTACTCCTGGATCGCGGGTCACTGAAGAAATCCCTGGCAATTGCTTTTGTGAACGTGATACAGCCTTTGTTGTCACTAGATCCATAAGTTTCTTTTTCTTTTGCTGCGCCGTATCCCTAACGCCCAACACTGACTCCAGCCTTGCATTCATTGGCGTTTCGCAACTTTCCTCGTCCTTGCTCTCGAGACTTTCATTGTCCTCAGAAACCGATAACATGACATTCTTTGTTTCCTTCACCCCAGCCCCTTGCTTGTTGTTGTTGTTGTCGTTCTCGGTCGTCCTTTCCATTGTTTCTGCCGATGTTCCTAATCTCTTGTCTTCTCTTTCTTCTCCTCGGCAATGGCCTTTGGCGGCATTGATTGCGTGCAAGAGCTGTTGCATCAGAATTCGTTCGTCCCAAACGTCCATGAGGTATTTTTCTTCTTCGTGTTCCGCTTTCGAAATTATTTTGTCCAGCTTCTCCATGATCCATTGTTCTAGGAAATTCTCATCGGCTGTCATCCACCACGATTGTTTTGGTTGCGCCGCAGTACACACATCAGATTCATCGTTGGCATTGCTTTTGCCGTTTTTGCTCCGTATTCGTAAAGCCTCGCCCTTATGCACGGAAAGTTCCATCGATATCTCTGTCTCTGTCGACGAGTCAGTGCCGTTGTCTATTTCTGTAATACGGAGCTCAGGGTTGTGTTGATTCCGAATGGTTTGTTCGCTCTCAGCTGGAGTCTCGGCCGTCATATTCGGGGGCATCTTTTTGTTGTTGCTTCTGCTCTCGGTGCTGTTCACGTTTTCGTTTGATTTCTGAAAGGCCATTGAATCTTCGGAGGGAGCAATGTACGGAATGCCGTCTAAATTGAAGACTGCCAATGGCTTCATTCTCACGCGATGCCCTAGTTGTGAAGGAGGCAGTCTCTGTCCGTGTGGCGGCGACATGGGCGACGGGTTTTTTTTTCGTTATTTTTTTTTTTTCCTGTTGTTTGTATTCCTCTTGTGTTTCTCTTGAGTTTCCACGCCAAAGTGTTGCTCTAGTAGTACGTAGCTCGTTAACTGAAGCCAGCATCGGAGTGATGATGAATTTGGAATAAATTATTAGGGTACAGGAGGGGCTGAACTTTGAAAGCGGCAGCTGTCGAGTGAATTGTAAAAAAAAGAGCAAGCATATGCGGCTTTTGTAGAGTGCACCTATTCTGCGTCCAGTATTTTCGTTGGGTAGAGAGTGATAATGTACAGTAGCGTTGATTGGTTTCGGTTTTGTTTGCTCCTTTTCGAAAAAAATTATCAGGAATACGAAACAAAGAGCCTATTCGGTAGTTGTACTGCATGACGTAACAAGGACGAAGTACAATACGCACCGGAATTGTAGATCTCTGAATTGTTCTTGTCTCCTCAAACTTTTCGAACGCAACACCTAGAGAAATGTGGCGCGATTTCCATGGTGCTCAGGTGCCGTAGCCGTAGCCGTAGCCGTAGCCGTAGCCGTAGCCGTAGCCGTAGCGGAGAAGTACTTCTATTTCGTATTAATCCTGCGCGCAAGATTGATTTAGGAACGACAAGCAAATTCGCGCACGAAGTGAGAGAAGCAAGGTACATACTTACAGTTTAGACGTACCCGTACCAGGTACCTACTTGATGTTAAATACCCTATCGTACCTTGTACGGTACGATGAGCCAGAAATGCGAAATCACTATCTAGCAGTAAGTTATTATTAGCATGATGTCGCAATAGCTATGATATTAGTAATGGGAAGTACTAGTGCCCCTGCGAATCATAAAAAAAGACTAGCACATGCTAGCCAACAGGATTTTTTCACTAGTTTTCACTAGTTTATCGTCCATGATGTGCTCTGTCTGAGTCGCGTCGAGAATCATAATAATCATTATGATGATTTTGTTTGTTACCATGGCGACTGTGGCGATTTTCGTCTCGAAAATCGTATGATTTATAATAGTGACTGCGGTCTCCACTGTGTTGTCTTTGATGCTGATGCTGATGCTGGTGCTGATGCTTTCGATGGGAAGTGTTTTTTGATTGGTTTGTGTAGTGACTACTAGAACTGCGGTCACCGTGGTCGCTATTTCTTCCACGATGGCCAGATGGTGCAGTGCGAGTCGCATCTTCGTTCTTCATTTCAAAGTAAACAGTAAATCTGAGGCCCACTAGTGCGTCGGCTCGGGTACGGAACCAGCAAGTACCATCGGTCCCAACGGACCCAGAATATGACAAGATCTTTGTCACATAAATGATCAGGTTCGAATCACGATCGGCGTAGGCCGCGGTATGCCAACAGCCAACCTCTTTATAGACCACCTGGTGAGCCGATAGCACCGGCAAATCGGCGAGAGAGGGGAGGGAACTGACAGGCGGCGGCGATATCTGTCCGTGGGGCAAAAGATTTCTCAAGTCGTGCCAAAAACGACATTTCCGTTGCTTGAAAAATCTGCAGTCATCGCCGTGTACACATTTCTTATAATGACCTGTCCATTCACGGGGGAATTCAAACCAATTCGGATCTTTCAACATCGGTAAATGTATACCACCTTTCGCGGAAGTAGGCTGAGGATTCGACTGCTGCGAGTAACTTATACTTTCTTTTGAATCTGAAATCATCGCCGAGGTTTCCCTCGTGGACGACGCGTGTGAAACAGTTGTACGAGATGCCAACTGATTATATTCTGTTGCTGACATTCTTTGTTTAGGAGTTGAAGTAGATTGTATGTCGCTTTTGGAAGACAATGCATTCGATTGCCTGTTCTGTAGTACATATGAACTTTGCTTCGAAACTCCGCTGGCTAAAGATGAATTGGCTACCGGGGCGTTAGGCTCTGTGGAATGATTCTTTAGCATTTCCACTATCAACCTTGCTTGATTGGATCGTTTTTCGTGCAGCTCGAGATCAGCACTATTCTCACATCTCATACTTTTCTCCTTCTCTGCAGAGTGGTAATAATTTCGCTGGGCGAGACTTAAGGGAGATCCGATGCTAAGATAATCACAGCTTCTTGGGTTCGCCCCAAGCTTTAGTAACTTTCTAATGAGATCGTCGTCATCCATAAGATTGACAGCAGCGTGCAATATGGATTTGCCATCCAATCCGAAGATATTTCCGTTCATGTGTACGTCAGGGTCTATTTTCGGATCTTGATTGAATCGCTCAATCTGAGCGAATTGTTGGCGTAGCTTCTTCGATACTTCTCTCTTCTTCTCCCTAATGTAGCTGCTGTCCGCCTTTCGCTTTTTAACAGTGAAGGACGCAAAGCCACTTGAAATTTCTCCTGTGCCATTCCGCACAAGCAATTGGGAATGTTTTACGTGACTTCCATCCGAGGGACATTTTTCCTCGATTTCGTCTAAGTTCAGTTTGAAACAACCGACGTTTGTCGCTGTAGCTTCTGAACCCTCGGAAGATCGTTTTGTTAAGGCAATGATCAAATTACGTTGATCGAAAGAAAAGGCTTTGTTGTTATGAACATTGAATAACAGAGGACTCTCGCTATCGCTATAACTCATATGCTGAGAACACTGCCGAGATGGCAGACGACCCTATTTCAAGTAGACAAGATTGAGGCAATGGAACGAAATGGCAAAGGAATATATATCATAAATTGCAATCCGGAAAGAAAACTCACCAAGTCCGTCAACGCGTTTCCATTTTTCGATTTCAGTGAAACGCCCCCTTCAATCACATCATTTTGGGTTTGATTATCTCGCACAAGATCAATATAGTTTAGCTCGATCTCAAGCGCATACCACTTTTTCAAACACATTGCTCTTTCAATCAGATGTATGCAGTGAATATAAATACTAAGAGCTCTATACTTTGCATAAAAGTCATTGTTCTTCGAGCCGTGACCTGTTCGTTGAGGGTGGTTTCGCATCTCGATTCCGGTAACAGAATATTGCTTTTGCAGCAGCGATTCGAGATTCGGATCTTCGCAAGGTTGCATTTGCAAGACTTGTAGCATGTCTTTACAAGATCCATTTGTAAGAGCATCGACTAAAGTCTGTTGAGGCTTAAGCTTCTGAGAAGTTTTATTTGTTTCTATTTTGCCTGTAGACAAAACTCTACGCACATTTGCTGCTTCATTCTTGCAAAAGTAAAATTCTTCATTTTTGGGTTCCGAAAACTTAACTTTCTTTGAGTGAGTTCGTTTTCTACGGCTTGTTATTCTTCCTTTTCCTTGAGAAAGGAGCCCTCCAATTCCTTGGTTGGATTTTTGGAGACTTCCTATAGGCTCGTCAGGGAGAAAGGTAGATTGCTTTCCAATCAGTGGTTTTGGAGGCACACGCTCGTTGTGCCCTGGCTTCGTAGTGTTGATAATGGAAGTCCATTCCTGGACAGTCGTTTGTCGTGTTTTGCCGTCTGCATTTGGCTCGAATAATTCCTGTCCAGGTAGAATTGCTTCTATAGGTTTCGATGAAGCTATTGATACCTTCCTTACTTGTGGTGTCTTCACTACAGTTGCGCCTCCAGCCCAACCATGATCGTCGTCAAGATAATTTGTACTAATCCACTGACCTAAATCATCCCATCCGCTTTCGCTTTGAGCATAGTCGGACTTTGCACTTTGATTGACAAACAATATGCACAATATGCTCCTGGTTCTTTGAGCATTTTCATAAAAATGTTTCAGATCATTGTGGCTATGAATTGGGTTTTTGGTTTCCCCTGTAACAACTGACACAACTGTGGTTCCATTTCCAAGTTTTTGGTGTTTTGCCATCTGACCATCTTTGTATTTTGAATAGATGATACAGCGCTGTGGATTCCCTTCAGTTTTGAAGTAACCACCCAGAGCAATTGAACTGTCAAAAGCAATTTCATACGGCTCATTCCTTGAAGCCATAGAAGAAATTAAACTGCTTTCTCCTATTTTCATCATTGAAATGACCTCGTTTGAATCATCGTGCTTCTTGTGAGTCAAAATAGGAGCTGGAGTTTTTTTCTTTCTAGGAATTACTAGACCTTCAGGCTTTGCTTTCTTAATAACCTGTGAAACATTTCTCTTCTGAAAGTGCCTGGTTTGTTTCAAAAATGCATTAGCTTTCTCTCTGTCTCCCTTTCCAAACAACTGATCCCATTCACCTTCACATGCACAGTTTTTCTTGCATCTAATTCCATACATGCGATTCTCTTGGTGCAATTCCCACATACTAACCAACCTTTTGAGTAGTTTGCTTTTAGTTTCATTTGGGTATTCCATTTCCAACAGAGGGACAAACTTTGGTGCAAAGTATTTGCATAGTCCATTTGTATTTTTTGTAAGAATTTCCTCTGTTTCAACAACTTGTTTCTTTTTCCTCTGTCTTACAATATAATCTTGAATCACATTTTTGGTTATGTCAGGAAGCAACATGATACATCTGCAGTTTTCACCACAAACTTGATCTTCTCCAAACAACTCTTTGTGTTTTTTCCACATGCTAGAAGTGATGAGCTTAGAATTAATCTTTGTGTCCCTAAAGTCTAGACTAATAAGAGGCCTCATCTTCTCTTCAAAATGCCAAAACTTTTTGATACCATCATTGGCTGCCCTTTTCTTGACTTTAACAAAAGTATCTTCTGTCAGAGACAAACTTTCTTCTTCACTGCTACTTTCTCTGTCTGATTCATCTTCAATACCAACTACCTTTCTCCTCTTTGTTTTTGTTTTATGGCTGCTCCCTGATGCTCTCTTCTTTGAGATTTGAGAGGAATTAAGTTTGAGTTTTTGATCAGATTTTGAACAGTTTGTGTCCTGTTCCTCTTGCATTTGTATTTGATCCACTGTTTTCTGCTGGGTCGTGCTGTCATGACACTGAATAAAGTTTAAGTCTTGCCTTTGTTCAATTGCTATACAGCGTTGAAGCATAAAGTTTAAATGTTCTTCTTTATTGTATGGGGACCCATCATTCTTTCTAAGGTTCATTCTGAAGAGATTTGTAGCTGCACTAAGGTCACAATATTTTGATAAGCAAAGAGTCAGTTGTATTGTTACAGTAGGGCTGCCCTTTGATATCTCTGATATCTCTGATTTTGCCTCCGTCACAAGCTTTCCAATTTGAGATGCTTTAGCAATTTTTTTGCCATTCACAGCGAGCAAGGCACATCCTCTACTACATGCATCATTGCCAAGGGCCTTTATCAAGACACTGTCTGGATGGACTGTTTTGATATACGCTCCAACTGTGTTAGCATAGTGCACGCCACTTATACGAGCTCCTAAAGTTTGATGTGAAGGATTAGCTTGTAAATCAATCACCCAGGGAATTTCCACAATCAATGAATTATCATCGTTCACCAATCGATTTAGATTCGATCTTTCAATTTCTAGCCTCACGAACACCTGTATTAGCTGTCTCAAAATCTCCAAAACTTTGGCTGTTCCTGTTGCTTCTACTACGTAGGATTGGGGTGAAGTATGATCATTGGAAGATAATGTCGCCTTCCACAAGTGATGCATATTGTCGAGTTTTTTTATCGCATCTTCAGCCCTAACAAGGACGTGCTTGGAAAATTGGGGAGGAGTAAACAACAAGGACGTAACATCTTCATCCAAATATTCCCCAGAATCATTTGGAATCCATTTTGGAATGATCCACTTAGTATGATGGTATGCCGTGTGAACTTTGCTATCACTTTCCCAAGGACGCAGTTGCAAACTCTGCCGTGGAAGTGATGCTATCTTCCAGCTGCCACCGCTACTGATACTAGTAAGACTTCCTTCGCTATCCATGGCCCCTTCCACGGCACCGATGGACGCGTCATAGGATAAATTGGTGATCGTTGTATTTGGTATACATGGATACAATTTAGAATAAAAGTCTTGATGTTTTCGTTTGACAATATCATCGTGCGAACTCATCTCGCCTTCAATGATGCTTGTTGTTTTAGAAGGACACCGTCTCTTCTGACCAGATACGGAAATGGGCGATCTACCTTCAGTAGCACTTTGAGCTGAAATTGCAACGCCCATTACTTCGCGCTTCTCTTTATTCGAGACCCAATTCTTTGGTCGTTGGTCAGCATTTTCCTCCTTTTCCCAACACTGTACCGCCTCGTGGCCTTTCTTGCCACAGTGGGTACATTTTCCCAGGAAACGCTTCTTCGTGTTGTTGTCGTTGTTATTGTGGCGGTGGCCAGATTCAAAAATTTTAACGGCATCGACAGAATTGAGATTGTCTATATGGTTTTCTTGAATCTGATTGTTATGTGAGTTGTTCTCGCCTTTGACGATGGTTATTATTTCTGAGTCGGCATTGACGGTGGAATTCTCGGTGCAACTGCTCTTAGCGACCGTATATTGCTCTTCATCGAGATTACTTTCGCCTGTCAATATTGTCCCTGATGATGAAGAATCGGTCCCCGACCCGAGCTTTTGTTCCTCTACCAAACGCTGTCCCGATCCTTCATATTTGTATTTCTCGCTTTCTTCGCTAGCATCGGCGCTCGGAAGTGTATATGACACCAATGGTGGCAATTGCGCCATATCATGTACGGCAAACGTGACCAGTAACTCACAAATGGCAACTCACAATAGGGTCGGATTGTACAATTTGTGCAGGCGAAACACGAGAATTAAAGATTTCATACATTTATCGTACAGCAAATTTGTTCTGTTGGAGCACAAGTACACCATACATGTGATCTCAGTGACGCTTGTCGTGCAGATGGAAGGCTATCTCGGAAGTTGTGTTGATGTAGCAATGGGAGGCGGGCTCAAGGATTGCATTGTGTTGGTTCTCTGTGTTATCGTACGGTACCGTACCGACGTCCAAAAATGTACGGTACCGCGTTCAGGTACATACTTGTACCAGTACGTACCGTAGGGGATGGATGAGAATGATAATATTTTTTATCATGCTCGCATGACTCATGAATGGTTCGCAATGCATTTAGTGAACGAAACATCCTAATAATTTTTAGAATACTTAAAATACAGGATATTATGTTAGAAATCTGAAGGTGGTGTTCGCGCGCAAGCAGAAAAATCCGTTGCGTTTGTTGTGATAGGACCAAATTGTGAGAATAGATTGCGAGTACGGTGGCTAAGAAATACTTTAACCAATAACACAACACTCGTTTCGTATTACTGTAACTGAATTTTGGTTACAAACGGGATTCATATTGTTAGTCCCATTGTTAGACTAGGAAAAATACTAAAAAATATGTTTTTCATGCGCCTCCCAAGTTGTCTCCCCTCTGTTGTCTGCAGTCGTAATAGTAGTACATATAGATTGATGCTAGTAGTTGGAAAAAACAATCTGTCTGCGATTGCTAAAAACTGTTCTGTCCATTCTACTCTGATTTGATCGGCTTGTCGTTACTCAGTGGTTCTTCTTGTTGTTTCGCATCTTCTGATTTCGCACTGTTAGCTCCCAGCTGTGGCGCTTCAATAACTCAAAAAGGGAATATGTAGGTAGAAGCAAATCGAGGCAAAAGAATTGTACAATAATGATTCAAATGCTACGAAGTAAATAGCATGTCACCGTACAGCCGAGGTTCAAAACACTTTTGGATGACTGGTTGGTTTCGGATGGCATTAGTGAGAGTCGTTCCCTTCGTGACGTGTGGTCACGACGAATGATTTCTTTTCATTTGGTTTCAGTCTCTCACTTCGGTGTCTTCTTGTGCGTCAATAGTGGCAACAGCCCGATGGTAACTATTACATTAGCCACCGCGCAAATGAGAATCAGACGATCCATGTTCAGAAAATTGTTATCGCGGGAAACGCTAAGAGCTGCCACTAGTGGCGCCGCCATCAGAGATCCCAGCTGATCGCCAAAATCAATACATGAGACTAAAGTACCGTACTCCATGGCAATCCGTTTGTCATCTTCCCGTTTCGAGCTGGAGTTTCTCTCGAGATTGCTTGGGTGACGAGACGCGGTTGTGGTGGGAGATATCGGGCTGAGCTCGAGTTCCTCGTTGTTGGAACCAGTGTCTTCTTGTCTATTTGATCTGTTGTGATTGCTTACTTGCGCGGATTGCTCTGTTGGTGGGACGATTGGGATATTTACTGAGGTCGTAGCCAAGACGAGTTCTGGCAAAAAAGCCCATTCCTCAAAAAATGCCGTCGCGAACTTGGCCAGTACAGCGATGAGAAAAAGTTTCGTGCTCGTTGGACTCGTTGGTGAAAATGCATCGCTATCCTCGGTGCCGGCATGTGCTACCGTGTGCTGGTACTCTCGAAAGACGGCAATGTTGAGCAAAGAGGCTACCGAGGCCATGAGAACCGTCCCACCCATCAGGCATAGGAGGGGACGCCCGGTGCTGAACCTGGTCGAGAAAAATTTCGTGTAAGAAAGCGAAGAGAGACTGCCAACGCCCATTCCCAAAAACCCGAGGAGTTGCAACACAAAAGGTTGGGATTCCCCAAACAAGGAATAGAAGAAGGAAGCAATGATGGCTGAATCGCTTGGAACGGCATTTCGCAGGACCAAATAGAGACCTACGCGGAGCGTTTGCTGGCTATTTCCATTCTTTGCTTTCCCACAGAAGAGTGCCAAGACGGTAAGAATAATGCAGCACAGAAGCGTTCCCATGGAGACAGACCACAAAAAATGAGATGACCATTCAACGATCGGTCCTTTGAGGGCAATTATTACTAGAATGCACTGCAAGAGCACAACCAGTATCCAATGGAACAGTTTGGTAGGTGATCGACCGGCAGTCCCACTGATATAGCTAGTAGCCGAGACGATATCGGGAGCACTAACGCTGTTGCTATTTCCCGTCGAGGTACTACTCAGGCTGTCTTCGTTGTGGGCAAGATCTTCCAAACTGGAATATGACGGGTGGCTGCTCTCTTCATCTCGCAAGGAATCCAACTCTGTAGGAGCCGCCGTGAGATGGTTTGTGAATAAACCGATTCGGTCGTTTTCCGTGTCATCCTCGCTGGTGAACTGTGCCGATGCGGTGGTTCGAAGTTCCCGATACCCTCCAACCAGATTGGTTACAAATAAACGCGTGGAGGCGAGCCTGCCATTGTTGTACAGGAACACCGCGAAGGCACCCATCAGCTGCATGGAAGCCGTTACGAACACGAGCGCGTTTGCTACGCCTCCACTAAGCTGTTGCGAATGTTCATCTCCGCCGTCGTCGTTGTTATGTGCCACGGCATACCGAACGGCAAACAGCAGGCAGGTTACAAAACTGGCCAGCCACGCACCGAGATTCCCGGCGGTGGCAGCCTCAGCCTGAAGCTTCGAAACGGTCGTGTCATATGGCGATGATGTTTCCTCGCTCGCCCGAGCTCGAGCGTGATCGATCAGGGTCAAACCCAAGCAAAACTCGGCCCAAGAATCGGTTATGCCCCGGAAGAAGGCAACAACTAAGACAGCGATCACCCCGCCTTTTGGAATACAAGCAAACAACAGCGTGCAAACGCTGTTGCAGGTCAACAGCGCACTAAACAGCCGCAGATGGCGGTAGCCATTGCGATATTGGCTGTTGCTGTTAGCATTGCTTTCTGCGAAAGTTGTGGGCGATCCGGTCTCCTCGTTAGGAGCCTCCACCGCCAGCAAGCCACTCGCATAGGCGTACATTGGTTTGAGGGAATACGGCAAAAAGGCAATCGCACCATACGCCGGAAGATAGGGAAGGGGAACCTCCACCCGCGTGTTGAGAATATACATAATGGGTAGGGTCAAGAGGGAGAGAGCGAGTCCGTTAAGGCCAAACAACAGACGCAGGATTGGTGGAAGCGAAACCGTCGTTTCGGACAACGCTACACCCGGCCCTGTGATATATGTTGTTGAAGAAGAGTGTGGAATCTCTATTGCCGCCATTGCGATCTGCTGTGGCGTGATTTCATCGTTGCCGGTGCTGGGATGGTATCTTGTGGGCTGCGCCAAGGATTGGGGATCTTCCTGCACGTGGCAAGGATCGAGGCGAATCAATCCGTCGCGATATCGTTGGTCTTGAATACCGCCATTGTTGTGATTTCCCACAGGAGATGAGCTGAACTCCTGGGAGTGATCCATGATATTGTTGCAGATCTGTGCGAACGAGAGAATTGATGATGTGCGTACGAGAGACAATACGGATTTCCTATTCGTCCGTAAGTTCCTTTTTCCCACCCTTGCCTGTCGAGTTATCTTTCTCCCGCCATATTCTGCTTTGAAATACCAGTTATCCGGTTGTTTTCATCTGCGATTCTTCTGGCACAGTCACTGTAATCCGGCTTAACTGTTTTGTTCGCAATGAGAAAAAAGGACTTCACTGAAAACGTCGATGAACCAACTTCGAAATAGGTCCTGTATTTTTTGTGTTCCTTGTTATTCATATTCGTTTTGGTCATCCTTTGTACAAGAACGTACGGTGGAACGGTAAAATCAAGAAAATCCTGAAACTACAGCAAGTACTAGTACCGTACCATGTCGTACTGCACTGCATTCTTTTGACTCGAACTTCGTAGTACTCCTCCTAGTCGCTTGAGATGCGAATATGAATGATGGGATGAGGGCCAAAACGGGAAGCACGTTCTTCGTGGACCCTGCGGGAAATTATTTAAAAAAATATCGAATTTAATTGAATGAATCATGGAATCGACTCAGTCGTTTTTTTTTCAGGTTTTATTCATTCAATTTTTACTTTATTCACGAGTTTCCCATCTCTGCCATATCGCTGCCGCACAAACCAGCAATCCGGCACTGACAAAACGAACTCCGCGAGTACTGGGTACGAGTACGCGTACGAACGGATCGTATCGCACGATACCATACCAAACAAGTGCCTCATCGCTCCGATGGCAGCTATTAGAAGTACAACATACTACGATAACTTCTAACGAAGCTTCGGATTACCTGCATCCCTAACAGACCATAGCAAGACACAACATCTCTCTCTTAAAAGAAGTCAGCGATTTGATTGAAGTAGCGAGTCAACATCGATATCAAATCAAATTGAAATCGAAGCAAAAAGGAGCCGGACCTCGACCATCTTGTTGCGAAGCTCGATCACGACACAACCCACCACAAGCATCCATCGATTCAATTCCTTCAAATTCACACAAAGAAAGGCTGGACACAATATATATTGATTTATACAATGAATGGCGAACAAGATTCCGATTCTGCCCTGGACCTTAAGTCAGGACCCTTTGGCGTGTTGTGGAGGGCGGTGAAAGGTAACACCCAAGTATTGGTCAATGTTCGAAACAACCACAAGCTCCTGGGCCGGGTGAAGGCCTACGATCGCCACATGAACCTGTAAGAAATTAAAAACAAACAAAAAAGGGGAGAACCCCGGAAGAAACTGCGTCCCTCTATTGAGCAGACTGTCTTGTCCGGTTTGCCGATAGATGGATCGATCGACCAATTTAGTTTACCTCAGTTTATATGTAATTTTTTATGCCACCCTTCTCACGCAAAATTTTTGCTTCTGATTGTCGCACCAAACAAATAAACCAACAGACTTATGGAGGATGTCAAGGAAATGTGGACAGAAACCTCCAAGGGTGGAAAGGGGAAAACTCGAGGGACGGCGGTCAACAAAGACCGATACGTTAGCAAAATGTTTCTACGGGGAGATTCGGTGATCATCATTGTGAGCAATCCGGCGGCGCTGGCAGAAGGAGGAAAATAATTCACCACGTGCATTGTCGAGAGGAACAGACAACGCAGCGCAACGCAATGCGATTTGGAGTCTCGCAGGCGTTGGCTGGGTGTGTATAGATGGCTTTGCTCGGCTTGAAGTAAAAACAGTGGCATAAAGATCGATCGATTGTTCAATTTAGGAATTCAGAAAGCATGGAGAAAGTGTCAAACATACTCGGCAATGCGGAGAATGATAGTGTTTTCGCACCAGAGAAATCTAAACCGACTTTCTTGGATGCAAAATTTTTTTTACAAAAAGTGGCGTAACGAACGAACAAGCCAGCAACAGTTCACGTCTTCCCATAAGCGTCTCCGATTATTCGTGACGAATCTGCAATACAATCATTTTTCCTGTCGTGCGTTTGTTCGTTAGTTGCGTCAATCGACTGCACGAGCCATAATCTAACGGCACCGCTGTGTTGTACTCCATTGTGCTATCTATTGCTGCCATTTGTGACCCTTCGGGGTGCCGCCTCTCTATCGAAAACATGATGTTCCTCATATCGTTGGCTCGTACTGTGTGCTGGCTGGATGGTTTGAGATTTTTAGTCAACTCCAGGAGTTGATGCTTTGACTGTTCGATTCCTAGACTCGACTTGTATATCCATCTTCCTGCTTGAATGAGGAAAATCGTTGAAGTTTATACTACGCACATCTCGTTGTAATTCAGTGTGTAGTTTTTAGGGGGGTTATGAAGTGGCGCTTCCAGTGCTGCTTCAACCTTTGCTGAGAACTGTTTAGGACCGACATCAATCGGGTGCGTCGAATTGAGGCCATCATCTACTACCAAATTATCTCTCGTAAACCTGCTTGGGAAAGAAACCCGGCACAACTGGTAACACGGATTGTAAGAAAAAGAAGCTACAGGAAGTAAAACACAATTGGGGTGGTTTAGGTTCGCTATTTGATTGTTGTTGATGGAAAAAGGTTTATTTGGCCTCGGCGGCAAGCTTGGCAGATTTTCTGGACGATCTTCGCTTGGAGATGAGGGAACGACGGGCCTCTCTCTTTTCGGCGTTTCGTTGGGCAACGAGTTTCTTGTAAGCGGCAGCTTCTTCCTTGTTTCTGAGGACAGAGGACATCTTTTCGGCCTTGCGGGCACGCTTGCGCTGCAAGGTCAGTGGGGTAACCAATCGTTGGATCTTGGGGGCCTTGTTGCGGTCCTTGCCCTTCTTGGTGGTAAAGACACGACGAATGACGTATTTGCGAACATCGTCCTCCTTGGACAAGTTGAACAATTTGCGGATGTTGGCGGCACGCTTAGGACCAAGACGACGGGGGATGGAGTCGCTGGTAAGTCCCTCAACGGTGTTCTCACCGACCTGGGTGACGACCAAGTTCAAAACGGCAATGTCTTGTCCAACGATGCACCCGCGAACGGACTTGCGCTTGCGCTCACCGACACGTCGTGGTCGGTAGGCCTTGTGTCCCTTCTTGCACAGAAGGCGAACACGGGTGTTGGTCAAGACACCCTGACGCATGGGGAAACCCTGCTTGTCGTTTCCTCCACTGATGCGAAAGATGTATCCTTCGAATTCCTCACCAATGGTGGATCCATCAATTTCTTGGGCCATGCGGCGTTCGTACAAGGCTTGGAGACGCTTTTCATCATCGATTTCGATGACTTTTTGCATCCCAGTGCTGGGGCAGGCAATATTGATCTACGGATAGTGACAAGTGTTTTGGTGTACAGTTGTATTTGCGGATTGTTTGGTTTCGTGTTTGTTCAAAGGTTTGGAAAATACGGAAGCGCAGGGAGAAGAGATATTGAGATTAAAGGGCAAGAAGGTGAGAAAATCATCTTGAACACTCAACATGGTGCCGCAACATCAACGACCACAGGCTCTTCCAGATAATCTGGAATGAAAACTTTACAGACTTTATGGTGTTGGTTGCGTTGCGTTTCCCCTTAAATGCGAAATTGCATGAAATATCTTCCACTATGTTGGAACTACAGCCATGGCATCCGATCCTTCCACCAACCCTGCTCCATCGATCGGTACACCAACATTTCCCTACAACCGACTACAACATTAACATCGACCTTCTATCCGAGCAAAGGGTATCCGTACCTTCATGGTTCAGGTGTTTTAGTTGAAACTTGGTATAACCAGGTAGATGAGATTACTCTTGCTGTTAACACTATTGGTGTGTCGGGACAACACGGGATCGAAGAGTTGACGATGGCACTGCTCTTAGAGGTGTGCGTGAACACCGCAATCATGCATTTACTAGTAAAGCGGTTATGGGCTTACCAGAGAAAAAGTAAAAGGTAACGAGTAACGAGGTAAAACGGTACAAATCGTGACTCAAATTCCGTCTCAATCATGTTACTGTACGAGGTACTGAACCACTGTTCGTACCTCCGCATGAGGTACGAGTACTGTACGGTACGTACGAGTTCGTACCGTACCGTATTCGGTAAGAGTTCCACAAAGTAGACAGTTCTCTATTACGAAGTAGGTACTAGTATTATGTAGGTATCGATCGTATTATGTAGCTACGAGCAGGGGTCATAACTTCAGAGGGGTGCGCAACGCATCGAAACTCATATTCCATCTATGGTACCAATAAGAAAATTTTACCCCCAGGGATTTTTTTCAATTTCATTTTTACTCCATATCACTGCAAAAAGTATACCTGAAAGACCCCATGCACAGGAACACTTCTAATCACTCTCTAATCCATTTGGCATCTGGTGGTATAAATGGACATATTGGCTAACAATAAAGGCAAATCCATTTCTGCTCATTTTGTTCCTGACAAAGGGAGCTTGTTGAATTCTGCCATTCTCAAAAATATTGTTTGAGCAGGTGGTGATTGCTTCTTTGAACTAAAACATCTGAAGTAAATGCATACCAATCCAACCTTTCCACCTTGTCAACAACACAGCCATCCACTGCTTTCTTTGCTGCACAGGAAGGACCAGGAGGGGTTGCACCTCCTGCTGCAAGTGAAGTATACTAGTAGTAGTACTACTACGTCACATAAACCGTTTTCATGGTGTCGCGCTAATCGCGTGGTGAAGGAGCCTCTAATTTCGTAGTTACCCCCGGTTATATCTTGCCCGTGTTGTTTATTTATTTCTGTATCACCGTGCTACCTTGTCCCGCAATATATTTTCTCGAAAACAATAATATTTTCATCCTGTGCAAGATATCACATATCGCTAGCCCTC